CAACAGATGCAGGCCATATTCATCTCCGGTTATATGGGTGAACAACATGTTTACATGAACGTTGGCTTCTTCAACACAGGGTCAATTATTTCTCAAGGTTTTCATACCAATGATGTTTGCGACCTAACCAAACATGGATGTCACAATACACACATACACTTTCGTTATTCAGATGACGCTTGTGCAAACACTTGCCTTCTTCTTTGGACTAGGGTAGATTGTATTAGCACTGGGTTGTGCACTCCTTGGTAGGACTGTATGTAAACTAACAGAAAACAGGCCATTTTAACACAATGATAAGGAATCTGTGTTACATGAAATCTGGATGTTTTCAGTGTTCACAACTAAAGATGAAAGGGTATTTCTATCCCTAATGTTAAGGATTGAAGATTTATGGGGATTCAAAATTAACAACATAAAAATATCAAATTGCAAAAACATATAGCCAAAACAGTCCTTCAGTTCATTTACTGCATTTGCCAACACTAGTACAAGAGACAAATTAATGGAGAGCTATCATTTCACATGGTTCACTTATAGGACAAGTTATATATTTTACACTTGAGAAGATGTACCCCATTGTTCTTGCACGTGAGATGCTGACTCTAATGACTTTCATCAATTATATGTCATGTATTACATGAAATCATCTTTTTGCCATGATATTTCTCTAATGGATGACTGTATTACAGGTGTTGTTTATCAACCCTGACTTCAAAGGACAGTATTTTAATTTCAGTCAGAGCATTTGGAACAAGAATTCAGATTATGGCTGGCTGGTAAATCAACAGACAGAGGAAATCAACACTAATTGTCTTAGTCCATGAAATACAATCGTTAATATGAGGTGGGACCAAGGATGTTAAATGTTTGCAACTATCGTACTTGAATCGGGGGATTTTCTGAACTTTAAGCTTTTAATGCTGATGTCATGACAAGGACCCCTGACTTTAATCCTTGATTTTGAACACTGATGATGGTGCCTTTCCTTCATATAAGATCCCTATGACATATTTTCAAACTAACATGAGCTATTGAGGTATTTGAGCTCCATAATCCTTAATGTAGCCTTGGACCCGTATGTCTTGCTGTGAAGACCTTGACATGTAATCTGCAGAAAGCCCTGGAGCTATAACCTGGGAGTGATGTAACACAATATGACGAACGTATAGCAGCCATTAGGGTCTTGCTCTGGTCACCTCACAGGTCATCTGGTCTCACATCGTTTGTTAGATTTTGTGATTAACAATACAGCCACTGCCTCAGGGTTTAATCCTTCGTTCAATACATGATGGGCATCCTTTATGGTAGTGATGTGTAGAGAAAGATGTTATCTTTCATATCACAGAAACTTGAGTCGCTGCAACAGTATAGAATATTCAAAAGTTTTTCACAAATATGAAAAAAAATGTGCCTGTGGGGAGGGATACAGTGTAATGTGTGATCATGCATAACAAAGTAATAATGTATAAATCAGATGCAGGATTTATTTCTCCAAATGGGTTACAACTGTGATGTCCTTGTGCTATCACTGTGGGAAATCTTCACTTGGAGTAAAACCCTACCAAATGTGTGCTTAATGTGTGTAATGCATTATGAAACACTAATTACTTGCATTTAGCACCTTTGGTAAACAAGTACCATTTTAAAAAACAAAACACATCATTCTTCTTTGATGGTGTCTGTAAAGTAGCCTGTTTAATGGTATTTACACTTCACACCTAGCATCGTACATGTAACACACTCAGTAAATGTTGAACCACTGTTGATTGTTTTTAACTATCCAGCAAACTGCCAAAAATGTTGAAAAGGCCTTTTTGTGTTAAAGTGGCTGTTTTGTTAAAACTGTACTCATTTATCCCTTAGCTGTTATTGTGGCCCCATCAAACAAGGACATCCAGTGAATAATTTGGTTGGATTGTATAATGTCAGAATAATTATAAGGCAACCAGTTGCACAATGTTCTGTTGAACTTGTCAACCCTCTAACCTTTACTCAAGGATTTTTTCACAAGGAACACTCTGATAAATGTCTCCATTGAATATAACACAATGGCAGTGAGAATTGGTCAGTGAGTTGTATGGAGCATTGTGTGAGAGTCCATGGATGAAAGGGAACCTGCTGTGTTCATCACAGCATGGGAGAGGTGTTACTTGGTGGACCATGAGAATCATCTTAGTAGGAATTGGTTTGTGGTAAATCATGTCACCCTACATTTGTTTACCCCTGACAAGAGCAATCTTTCAGGTCATTGGAATCTGATAATGTGTCTTACACTGATAAGATTCAATCTTGTTGTTCCAGTTCTGCATTAACATGACGTTCCAATGATTGATAGCTCTGTCATAGATGTATGGCATAAGGACATTATAAACAGGACATTCTTCTGTGTTTCTATTGTTCTTTGTAAATAAGGCATTGTTGTTTGAAAAAACACCTTTGACTGTCCTCCAGGATGTCCCAGTGTTCTGGGAAAAGAACCAATTTGAACCCTTGCCTTCTCATCTTGGTAGTGGAGATCATAAGTGTTAAATGTCCACAGGTTGGAGACTGAATATCTGTAATTAATAGCATCTGTGATTTATATTTTATGGGATGATATTGATAATAATATTGAAGGGATGGGTGTTCCTTGCTTTTGTAAGGAATGAGATATTCTCTACCTTTAGTGTGATTACCAATGGTGATAGTTCTGTTCAATGATACCATGGTCTATTAAATATAGATGTGAAATATTCCTGTCAAAACAGTTCCCTCTATATGTTGTTAGTCATAGACACATTTGCATTAAATTAATTTAAACTTTCAATAATAGTTTTCTTTTATAGTTTTCTGTAGCCACCTTCCTTCATATGTTTTTCTATTGTCCCTGTTATTATTTAGTGCTAAACATCACATTGTACATAGTGTAAGCCCCTCCTTAGCTGTTAACTGCAGTATAGTAACCAGACCACTATGCCCCATCCCTGTCAGCCTGATGATATCAGTTTGAATTCATAAAATTGTTTATGGCTGTTGGGACATAAAACCAGTGTGAACTGCTAGACAAAGATTAATCCCTGATATGCTGGAGGACATATCTGAAATAAGTATGTGGTGTGACCAGCTCCAACTTGTTGGCCAATATACACCATCTCTGTCACATTGCTACAAAATAACTTTCCAATATAACTTGACTATCCCTTTATACAAGTTTTACTGATGGTCTACAGAATGTTGAACAGAAGTACCTATGTGTTCCATCTTTAGATTTATAATTGCAGGACTGTTCTAGTAAAATCATTTAACTCTTTCTTTTTGTAAACATATGCATTTTTTTTATTGTACTTTAACCAGATAAACATATGCTGTATATATTCACGTGCCTGTGTGATCTAGCCAGCACCACTTCATAAAACACAGGTTACACCCCTCCACTGCTACCTGGATGTAGAGGCATTTAGGCTGTAGTTATCAGATAACTGTCATTGTAAGCCAGCAACACTGGACTCGCATGCTGTGAGTACTGCCAGCTGACCCAAAATGCTACCTACATCTGACAACTCGATATAATCCATTCCTGAATCAAAATCTGTACTTCTGCTCAGATCATTAACAAAATTAATGTTTCTATGTCAGCAAAGAAGTAATTAATATAGAAGGTTATCAGTGCTGAAATTGTCTGCATTGTTTGCAAAAGTAGAGCAGTCACACCAGGCTAGAGCTAGTTGTGTGGATAGTACTATCAGTACCCGGGGTATTGCATGTCAGGGCTTTGGCAGGAGTTTAGTGGTGGTTTACAATGGAAAGATCCAGACTAGAATGTAGGTGAAGGGCTTGGTTGACTGCATTACTGAAGGGTAAAATCTACAATCTTGGCTGGAAATCCTGGTCAAATATGCGTGACTGTCACTCTAACTGAAAGACGCTGCATGATAAGTTGCCAAACATGAACCAGAGATCCGTCAAAATATACTGCTATATGCCAGTTCAAAGGGTTAGAGGGGCGGTGGGGTAGCCTAGTGGTTAAAGCGTTGGCTCGTCACGCTGAAGACCCAGGTTCGAATCCCAAATGGGTACAATGTGTGAATCCCATTTCTGGTGTCCCCTGCCATGATGTTGCTGGAATATTGCTAAAAGCAGGGTAAAACGAAACTCAGTCAGTCAGTCAGTCAAAGGGTTAGAAATACATTTTATATAGAACAAGTTTAAATAGTGAAGTGCTGGATATTCAGTGATAAATGTGATATGAAGTGTCCATTGTGACCCCTTTATGTTGTGTCTTATACCATTTCTCACCCAGTGTGGTGTTTGTGTAATGGCTTTTGTATTGCAAACAACGAGTAGCTTTTGAATTGTGACTAGGTCATGTTTGATCAAGTATTTAATAGTAACTCCAGAGTTAACTCCCTTCTTTAACAAGTACATATTATGAAATTAGGGAGAAAGTTATCATGATCCAAAAGTTAAAAGTTAGATAAAGTTCATAGAGCAAAAATTGCCAAAGACCCAGATATCTTGTTAATTCCTTGCACAAACAATAGGTAACTAGGATCGACTAAACATTTCTGTGAGTCGTATTAGTCTTCATCCTAATGTAGGTATGCAATTACAAAAAGCTAATTGATGCCAAATGAATCAATATGTCATGACGTAACTTGTATACTGTCATGCACGTGTATTCTGAGTGATATGTGTTTTGCCTAATGCTCTATAATCTGTATTGCAGAACGGAACGTTTTATGTTCTATATTTTATTGTGCTCTGAAATGTGTGTTAATTGTGCATTATTACTGGGAATTATTATCATAAGGAATCATTTTCAACATTTTTAAGAAATAGATAACTTTTGTGCACACACATGTCATAAGTGTAATGAATGAAGAGATGATATGTTCTATATCATAAGTGTACTTATCCAGTAATGAAGTGAAGAGATGATATGTTCTATATCATAAGTGTACTTATCCAGTAATGAAGTGAAGAGATGATATGTTCTGATGTAATCTTGTTGTTTTCAGCATGACCTTGACAACATGGACCGAATCCTGCAAGGAATCATTTCCTCCAACCATCCCGAGCGGATGAAGAAAGAGCTTATTGATGCTGTGGCAGTGAAAGGACAGAAGCAGGCTCCAAGCGTGATCTCCTGTGTGCTGGAGTTGGCAGCAGGATGGACCCTCAATGGAGAATCGGAACTGGTGGTTACATCAGGCTTCAAGGTCTACGTTGAATGGGCCAAGACAAACATGGCATCAGCTGAAGCATTCTTCAACAGGGAATATCTTGTCAACCTGCTTACTGAGAAGTACAGAAATGAGGCCAATGTCCCTTTTCTGCTGCATGAAAACATGAGGCTGCTGAAAGACACTGCAACAGCTCAGGCACATTTCAAGGTCATTGAAGCTAAGGCCATCAGCTATGTTCAGGAACACACAGACTTGAAATGTCTGAATAACTTTATTGTGTTTCTGGAAGATTTCAAGGAATGCATTCCGAAGGGGGACTTCACCAGTAAGTTCTGTGTCACCATCCTTCAAGCAATGAGTATGGCAACCATACCAGAAACAGGCCCAGAGATGATCACATTTGTGAAAGATGCAACACGAATTGGTAATTTCCTGCATTATATCTGGTCCCAGAACAACAAGGACTGCATCATGGACTCCTTGAGGACCATCTTCAACATCATATCGACACCAGACGACTTGGACCCCTGCTTCTGCCTTGGTGCAGTCGTCAGCTTCATCCCACTCGACATGGCCAGCTCAGTGGTGAAGAATGCTATCAGTGATCCAATCATTGATGACTTCAGCATGACTTCTGCTGTTCAGAGGATGATTGACTGGCTCACCTGGCCAACTGTAAAGAACATCGACCAGTGGGTGATCATGTTCCTGAAAGAGTTGGCAGCAGCTAAGAAGTACACCATTCTGATAACTGTCACAGACAACAAGGTAGAACAGGTGAGTTGGCAGATTCTCTGAGCCAGGTCTTCATGGAGATTTCCTGGCATAGTAAGTCCAAAAGGTTCATTTTCTTTCTTAATGCAGTGATTTTGCATGAAAATATGTCTTCATGACATGTTCATGATTACAATAAATTTTGATAGGACATCAATGTTTACCAAATTTGAACAAATCTGAAGGACTTTTGGATGGCAGTCATTTAGTAAGTGAACTTAGTGTTGAAGGAAAGTTGAAGCTCTGATATACCTTCTCTAAGCTGTGTGTGTTTGTATTGCAGGTTGCTGAAAAGCTTCAGTATGCTCCCCTTAGAGAAGCTAGCTACAACATACTGGCTCACATGCTGCTCAGTTTCCAGCATGCTCCAGAACCATTCCACAAGGTAACACTACAGTTTATAATGTAATACAAGCTGGTAATGTTATATTGGGCAGGGAGAGAATGTGCGTGGCCATGCCTCTTACATTTGGTTCCAAGGTTCAACCAATGGTTGGATTGAATTCTAGCTTTGACTTTTGAGCACTTAACCTCAACTCTTGGATGTTTACTAAGTGGAACAGATCTTGGACAAACTCCTCCAGCTATAAAATGTTAATGTGGGAACTCTCTGAAACTGACAATAGAAAGAAACTCTTTTTACTCACAAATCTTTATAATGCATATATATATGGAAATATTCAATTGTTCTGAATAATTTACTAGTCCCATACCTACCTCAATTGATAATGCTTTAGTAAGGACTAGAGCCAGGACTTTCCAACAGTCTTATTTTAAGTATCTGATATAATTAATAGAGATATTAACTGTAATCTTGATTTTCCATACCATGTTGTTGCAACTGAGATTGTCCATTTTAACATGAATTGATAATTCCAAGACGTAATATTCATATGCATGAAAACATCCACAATAGTGATTGTCCTGAAAGTATGTTCATCCATGATCATGGTGACTGCTGTTGGAGATACAAGAAGTCATGTTGTTGTGTTGCAGATCCTGCCCATGATGCCAAGAATTCTGCAGGCGATGAAGCAAGACCTCAGTTCAGAGAGTCAGCACTTCTTCATCCGCACAGTGGAGCTCCTCCACACACTCATGCAGCTGCATGCAGGCTTTCCTGACCTCTACGACCCAATCCTTGACGCTGTGAAGGTAGCCATTTTTGTCTTATAATGTCTTACAGTTGAAGAAAATCTCCTCACTTTTGTACCAACAAGTTTCTGGTGATAATGTTGCAGTATTTGTAATGTATATATGCAGAGTGGTAACATACAGTTACATCATTGACTAAATCCTCAAAGGAGAGGCTTTAAATTGGCCTACAAGATACTAAATGAGAATGCCTGATAACCCTGACACCATATGCTTATACAAGTGCATGTTTCAAGCAGTGAATACATTGGTTGCTAAAATGATAGTGTAGAGACTTTCTGGAAAGTTATGCATCCAGTTTCAAAATAAGATCATTGAAGAACAATCATATCTTGAATAAACACAGATTTGTGACAGTCATTCTGCAGGTATTATTCAGCAAAATTAGGCCCTCTAGGTATTAGAATGTGAAATCTGTTGACCCTTGCTATCCACCAGTGTCAGTGATACAATTTTATGAATGCTATATCCCAGGGTTACCCGAAGCCATCAGGTGAGGCTGTGCGCATCATGTTGGAGGAGAAGAGATGGAACACAGCTGGTGTCAGCGGACTCAGCCCCTCACTCAAGATATCTGAACGATCTGACACGGGCAAGACTGGCCTGTTCAACCTCGGGAACACATGCTACATGAACAGCATCCTTCAGGCTCTTTACATCAGTGATGAGTGAGTATAGTGAAACATAGGTTAGACCATCCAGGGTTGGACATTGTCACTGGACTGTCAAGCATATGAATGTTCTGGATATCATTGGAATTCATATAACATAAGATCAGTAACCAGACTTAGTAACTTAATGAAACAGACAACTACCTATCATCAGAAATGTAGTTATGTTATAGGAACTACTTGTTGTAATTTAACTGAAGAAATACTAATTGAAAAAAGGGACATGTTTGTATGCCCAAAGCATGTTTAGATGTGTGATCAAAGCATTCTGACACAAAACTGACTAGCAGGACACCTCTTCCACACCAAGATTGACATGATAAATGGTATGTGAAGTGTCTACCAGCCAGTGATGCCAGTGCTTGTGTGTTCCAGATTTCGCCAGAATGTGTTGAGTCACACGGCGTGTCAGGGGGAAACTCTGATGGCCAAGCTGCAGCAAGTGTTTGCCTTCCTCTCTCTGTCTCAGGTCAGTACTTTGTGACGCACTGCCATCATTATATCAGGGATTTGGATAATATGCAAATCTTCCTTCTGAAACAATAGGGGCGGTGGGGTAGCCTAGTGGTTAAAGCGTTGGCTCGTCACGCCGAAGGCCCGGGTTCGATTCCCCACATGGGCACAATGTGTTAAGCCCATTTCTGGTGTCCCCCGCCGTGATATTGCTGGAAAATTGCTAAAAGCGGCGTAAAAACTAAACTCAGTCAGTCAGTCAGTCTGAAACAATATTTATTCGTCAAAGGCAACTTGATTAGATGAAAATGAATAACTTCTTTGGTCCTCTTTGACTTTGACTTTGTAACTCGCAAATAAAAACAATCCCCAATGTTACCAGTACATTTGATGGTGCGGGTGTATTTTTATTGTGGTCAAGTATAGGAGTCTGAAGACTATGATCTGTTGTATGACTGAGACACAATGCTATAAAATAGAGCAGGTTACTGATGTAGTTGCTTAGACTGCTGTGGGTATATGCCATTATTGGGTGCCCTGACTGCACTACTGCAGCTGTTGCTAACCAGTTCTTGTTCCTTCCAGCGACCAGCCTATGCACCAATGCAATTCCTACAGGCGTCTCGGCCTCCCTGGTTTACACCTGGCTTCCAGCAGGACTGCTCCGAATTTCTCAAGTTCCTCCTTGACCAGCTGCACGAGCAGCAGCTGAAGATCAGCACAATGAAGATCCGGAAGAAGGAGGAGAAGACATCCACTCTCAGCAAGAAGTTCAGCCGCAAATCACAGAAGGTTAAGGAAGTGGCTGAAGAAAAAGAAGTAGATCCAACATTAGTGCAGAATATCTTTGGTGGAAATATGTGCACAACATTTAAGTGTCTGAACTGTAAGAATCAGTCAAGTAGGACAGAGAGTTTCACTGACATACCTCTGGCTTTCCCAGAATATCCCCAGTCAAAACAGAAGTCTCTGGCAGGAGGGAATTCAGCTGATGCCCGTCTAAATAAGGACACAATAAGGGCAGAGCCAGAGGTTGAATCCACATCCTCCGACGGAAGTCTTACGAATATTCCTCAAGCTGGTCTGGATCTCTCTGATCTGGTAGATCACTACCTTCAGCCAGAGAAGCTGATTGGGGACAATAAATACTTCTGTGAGAAATGCAGAGGTCTTCAAGAAGGCGAGAGGAGCATAAGGATCACAAAATCCCCTGAAAACCTAATTTTAACTCTGCTTCGTTTCTCATATGATGCCAAGCTCCAGTCTCGGTCAAAAATATTCCGTGAAGTGAGATACCCAAAGACAATAGCTTTACCGATTGATAACTGTTGCGACTCAGATGGCAGTTCTGATCCTCAGCAGACAAAACGACAACGCACACTGCCAACAGTTATTGAGCAGAAACTCTGCGGGAACAGGAAAACAGGGCATATGGCAATCTATGGATTAACAGCTGTCATTGTCCATTCAGGGACATCATCAGAATGCGGGCATTATTACTGCTACGCCAGACATTCGCCCTTGAAAAGCATGGACACAGTGTGTGATGAAGTTCAGCTGGCAGGTGGAGAGGGAGACATTGACTTTATGCAGGAGAAATGGTACCTGTGTAACGACAGTCGAGTGTCTTATGCCAACTACAATTCCTTCAGTACTGTGTCGAAGCGCTTCATGAAGGACACACCCTATGTTCTGATGTACCGCCGGATCGACATGGATGCTTCCAGCACCCAGGAGAGAGACTCCGACCTAGCCCTCAGTCCCCTGCAGCTGGACCCTCCCATCAAACAGGACTTGAGAATGGCGGTCTCCAAAGATAATCAGGCATATCTCCAGGTTGGAATCACAATTCTTTTTAGACATTGATCCCAATTGCACAAAATTTGAAACTGTTTTTTCATTACATAATTCTGTTTCAGTTAAACTGTGGGAATCCGCACAGTGGAATTATTTATTTTCGGACAGCTAAATGTATTGTAGGCTATTATTGCAGCATAGCCAGTATTGGGCAATCCAGAATCCTTTTGTTCTGGTGAAAAAACTCACTCAGCTCAGTCCTATGTGCTGAAAAGGTAGACATGATCATGAGGACAGTAACTTAATTTACCTGTTATTTGGCCAAACATTTTGTAATACTTAAAAGAATTTGAACAACACTAAATGTTTTCATCTGTCCACTTAAACTTTTTGTGAGTAGTATTAATAGATCTATCTTATAGAAATGAAAATGGGTAAATGGGAACTCAAAAGTAGGGCTGAATCCAGACGACACATGTCTCATTGACGGTTTGTTGGTAGTGTTTATAGGCTGTCCTCTGATTTATTATACTACTGCCAAAAGGCCCCTGATGACTCCATTACTTGCCAGTGACTTAAGTTCTTCCTTGTTTGTTTTTCCAGGAGCAGGAGACAGCAGCAAAAGCAAAGCAGGCCAAACGTGAGCGTACAAGCTCCACCAGCTCTGTCACTCTGTATAACTGGAAGGACGAAGAACAGGACCCCCCAGACAATTGTGGAGGCGGAGGCTTTGGCAGCTTAGATACATCAGGATCAAGATTTGTCTTTTAGTGTCTTCTCTGATGTCTTCCCTAATGAAGAAAGAGACTGTCAGGCAACTGTCAGTGACCTGGCAACATCTTGATATGTCATATCAGCCGTGCTCCAAGATGGCAGTAACTGCTACATATATCACGCTTGTTTCCCAGTAGACAATAGAAGATGCATCAGCAGTATCATCTTCAAGATACGTTCTTCCATGTATAACAGTGTCAAGCTGTCCTGTATATTGAAGACATGGGAATTTTAAGATCATAGTGACAAAGTTTCCTTTCATGGACAATGCCAAGTTGTGCCTATTGTGTACCAAGAATAGTGCATATTCTCTTAACCTGGACTGTAATGTCAATTCAGGATCGTGCTATGAACACTGAACACAATGAACACAGGTGCAAATAACAGTACAGCTCACGCCGTTTGTGCTGGAGAATGACTTCTACCTTGTCTGAGTTGAATTCTGAGGAGGTGTTGCAATATTAGTTTCAGAGTTTATTTCGTGGGTTTATTCCTCAAGCAATTTTATCTGTATGTTACAGTTTGGAAAGTTTTTGTTTTTCTATGTTTTAGTTTGTAAATATGCAAAGAATTGTATCAGATGTGCAAAATTACTGCAGTTTCTTTATGTTCAGTCGTAAGTGAAACTACTGATGGAACGGATTGTTGCTATGATTACATGAGATTATCATCCATGAAACTTTGTGATAGATGGTGTATATACAAGATGTCTATATGTTGTTTGTGGTAAAGTATTCATCAGATTGCTCAAATTCTAGATGCCAGTGTTTCAAACAGATTTAGGCTTGCATGTTATTTACGAAAATAATGTTTATAGGTAAGTTATATGGGAATGTAACTCTGTCTCATGGAATTTGCTGAGTGTCTCTTTTCACAGTTAAATTTTGACATTTATTTTAGTATATTGGCCCTGGCAGCATGAAGCAGGTAAAACCAGAGTTTGTTTTTGTTCCAATTATGATTTGTATAATTTGTATTTAAAAATTTCTTTTGTGGACATAATGGATCTCAAAAGTATGAGAAGAGGGTGCCTATCAAAAAATTGCAAGAATCTCTTTTTGAAACAGCATTTTTTTTTCTCTCCCTAATTACAGATATGTTACCTCATTTCTTTTTTTGTATGAAATAATCTTAATCAATCATTGTCACATTATTGTATATATGCAATATCGCCTATGTTTGTATTCAAATATTTCATATATTATATACTTTTTGAAAAAATAAGCTGTTTTAGCAGTATATGACAGGGTAAATGTATCTGAACAGCTGTTTATGAAAATAGGATTTGAGAAATCTTAACAGATATTACCCATTTAGATCACTGAATTATGATATTGTGTGCCTCTGTGATACTTTATTTGCAGATATTCCTCTCTTTTTTGTAAACGGACACATACCTTGATAATACATACCAATACCATGGTAGTCTTGCAGATTACCTTTGATTATTAGACTGATTATGCAATACCATTTGGTTGTACAGTATGTTAGTGACTGTCCTGCAAATATCGCATCTTCAAAACTATCTGCCAAGATCTTAGTCTTGTGTGTTACATTAAGTTGATAAAGGTTTACCTCTACTAAAATATATTAGACTGCCTAGGGAAGACAATTAAATTAGACTTCATTATAAACCATTATGTTGCTGGAATACTAACCCTCATGTCAATGGATATTTTTGTCGCTGTGTCCAAACACATAATTTTTCATTGTGCAAGTAGGGACAGAAAATAATGTATGATTTCATGACATTCTCTTTTACAAGAAATCCAGCATATTCTGTCACAATTTTATGTTTGGGGGTAAAACAAGAAGTGTTCAATTACATATCACAACGATATTTGTTTTTAAACAAAATCCGAAGGTCGCCACCAGAATCTAAAGGGTCAGTCCCTAGTACAGTAGATGCAGATGATGACACACCTGCAATCTGTATCATGATAGATCTTCCTTATATCCTTGTAACCTGCTCATATCACCCATATAAGCTAAGAACCATGTAAAGTGTACACATGTATTGTACGATGCATAACCAGACAATGGGCAACATAAACTACATGTACTTCACAGATGTATAGTCTCAGATCAGCGAGTGTTCTTAAACTATAGTAAATACAGACATAGTGAGGGTTTTGTTGCATGATTGAAGAAAAAAAACATTTTGTGTTCTATATTGTTTTATGGGAGTAATTCTAAAATAAAATGTTTGCAAGAAATGATAAATTCTGAACATGGCTTACTGTGAAATTCAACATTTATATCAAACTTATGCCAATAACAAATATTTGCATAGTTTCATAACAAAGTGATAAAACATGTTACAAATACCTTTTATTTCCATAAATATTTATTACAAACAGTTCCAACTTAAAGCTATTATCATAAATCTTGCATATAAGCTTTAAATGGGTAAATATATGATTAAACAGGTACACTTATATGCTACAAATATTTCAGATACAAAACATGCTGCTGCTAAGAGATTAAACTATATGCAACAGATGTACAAGAAACGGGAATCAGTTACATGATTGTGTATTACTGAGAATAAAGAGAATACTAAAATTGTGTTTGTTTCTCTATTATTGGTTAAGGCATTTTGGGATGGATGTTACTAATAGCTCTAGAAGTGTTTTGCTTGTGCTGAGAGGACTACTTGAAACTTACAAGAGTTGCTTCCCTTCCACTAGACACATCCAAAGAGAATGTCATCAGTACTTCATCACCCATGACTGCTTTCACCTATTTGCCTTCTTTACAACTGTGTCAAGCTGTCTTGTACCCAGTGAGAGGAAAACCAGCAAGTGTTCATACCAGTGAAAAATGGAGCCATGTGGCAGTTTACTCTGCACTTAAGTATTAAACAAATGGTGGCTCTTACACACATGCACAGAGTGGGGTTCATTCGACTTGTTTATACACAGCCTCATGTCATTAGCTAACAGTCACACATTACTGTCACACCTCCCAGCTGACATATGTATCTACTGGAGATGGAGGAATGTAGATATTATTGGTGTCTGCTTTTTGCCTCAAACAAAATGTAAACCCTTGTTTTTAATCGCTGTAGGTTTTTCAGGGCAGATGACCGTCAATGACAATCGATATATCAACCTACAACAGATCTGAATAAAGATGTGCAGGTTACAGACTCATCAACCACAAATAATTACTGACTTACAGGATTAATGACAAGTTTCTCATTTCCAATATGTTACAACTATTTTGAAAGACATTTGCAAAAATCTTTTCAAACAAAGTTCACTGGCTCACTACAAAAACTCTGTAATGAACAGAAATTCATCTCATCTAAATTCTGATGTAAACGGATTATCCACTTTGTTTAAATCAACGTCCACATATTTGTTCTTGGAGCCTTCCTTCAAAACTTTTAGTTTGATATGAGAGTGTTCTTTCTGATCTATGGTCCCATGGGACTTATCTGTCAGAATGTCATCCCTATTGGGAACAGACAATTTGATGGTGGAGCCATTGCTGATCAACTTTCGTTCATGGGCCATGGCTAGCTGAGTCACAACACGCCTTTCAACCTGAAACAATAAATAAATTATTGACTCTTTACAAATAAATGAAATGTGGTTTGTATGTGCATTTTTTTTAATTCAAATGATTTAGAAGAGTATTTTTCTTTTGAAAAAGATATTTTCATAATTGAATGGCTTCCTTATTCACATTTCTGGTGTCCCCCGCCGTGATATTGCTGGAATATTGCTAAAAGCGGCATAAAACCGAACTCACTCACTCACTCTTCCTTATTCAACAACATCATATTCATGTTCCGTCTGGTAGGCATACCCTGCAGTATAACCTGACTCTGAGAAGAAAGTAGTGTGAAACAACCAATTAGAAGATTTCTTAAAATGCTTGACCATGAAACACGACCCAAGGGTCAATCCTAGTTCTGTACCTCAAACAAAACTTTGCACATACTCACAATTATCAGAAAATAACAACTTTGATGTCTATGAAATAACATTTAGAATTACAAAGCAATGGCCCAAATTATATCTGAAGTCTGATTGGAATTCAATGGGGAAAATTCGAAGGACCATCCTTGCAAAGAGGCAGCATCTGAGGGCGTGTTGTCTCCAATGACTGAGTGATGCCACCAACGACTGACTGAAGCTCTAAAAGCTGTTTTCCCATGATTCAGTTGAGCTAAATGAGCTATGCAGAGTGCTGCTATCTCATTTGTTAGTGTTACCTCATATTTGATTGACCTGGCTCCATAGTGTACATCGTAGCCGTCAGCCAGCACGTCGACAACATGGTGGTCCCAACTCAGTTCAATCTGATGCTTCGTTGCCGCCTACAGAAACATATTGTAATCAGTGTCCTTGGGTTCTGGCATGGTGAAGCCCCACTGAGCTAAATGTATGCCAATACAATATTTCTCTAGTCACTACAGACAGACACAACAGAGAGTGAGTGAATTTAGTTTTATGTCACTTTCTGCAATATTCCAGCAATATCACTGCCGGGGACACCAGAAATGGGTTTCACACATTGTACCCATGTGGGGAATCAAACCCAGGTCTTCAGTGTGATGAGCAAATGCTTTAACCACTAGGCTACACCACCACACCCACAACTGAGATGGAGTTCCATATAATAGTCTATCACCTTGTCACAGTCACCTGGAAGTTGTGAGGTGAGAAGAAATGTGATTAATTGCTCTGTTCAAGATTATCACTGCACCTAAAAAATGATGTGTGGTTTTTGCATGTACTTTCTGGTCTTATTTTCATAAGTTTTATAAGGCTGGATAGACAGCATACCATGCTGCGGGGTTAACATGGATACCCCTCACAGACACATTATGACTCCGTGCAAAACATTCCTTCTGTTCTGCTGAGCGCCAGACAGGCACCATCTTTTAACATCTTTTGATTGACATGATCAGTGGATTGAACTCAAACCTTATGCTCTCTTGGTGAACACTCTGTCCACTGGACTGAATGGTTGATTTGGGATTAACGCTGCTCTGAATGATCCAGATATGAACCACTTTGGTGAAACCCTGGATCTCCAGCATGGAGCAGACAAACCAAAGATGATAATTGTGGAAAAATCTGGATCTGAACCAACAATCATTACATCTGGCACAGGAAAGCGACTCTACACTGCATATTGAAGCTCTCCAGAACCCTAAACCATCTGTACTTCCAACTGTGAGGGGGCGGTGGCGTAGCCTAGTGGTCAAAGCATTCACTCATCACGCCGAAGGCCCGGGTTCGATTCTCCACATGGGTACAATGCGTGAAGCCCATTTCTGGTGTCCCCTGCCATGATGGAATATTGCTAAAGGTGGCATAAAACCATACCCACTTACTCACTCCAATTGTGATATGAGTTTGTCTGCACCAGTGGAACATCAAAGATACATGTATCCAAACTGTCAGGGTTCTCCTTGTAGCACAGCATGAATTGTTCATGTACATACACAGCAGAACCTGGTAAAACAAATCCTAACAAAGAGTCATAATGCTTGGAGTATCAGCACTGTGTATTAACAGTTACATATCTAATCATACTGATGCAATCTATGTATCACCTATGTGTTCAAGTAGTGTTTGGGGCGGTGGGGTAGCCTAGTGGTTAAAGCGTTGGCTCGTCACGCCGAAGACCCGGGTTCGAATCCCCACATGGGTACATTGTGTGAAGCCCATTTCTGGTGTCCCCCGCCGTGATGTTGCTGGAATATTGCTAAAAGCGGCGAAGTTAATTCGATCAGCGGCGTAAAACAAAACTCAGTCAGTCAGTCAGTCAGTCAAGTAGTGTTTGAAAAGACAAATATAAGTTGATGTGCAACCAAAACGTATAAACTTACCCTCTTTGCCCAGAAGTCCAACTCCTTGGTAACAAGCTTGGCAAGCTCAGATCTTGAAAATGGCAGGAAGTAGACAATCTCATTAATTCTGCCTAGAAACTCATCCCTTCTGAAATGATACTGTTGACAAAACAAAACACATAATTGGGCAGATCCTTTCACAGTGAACAAAAACAACACTCTACTGCGGTCTCTCCTATGAATAAACTCATGCTCACATTGGCACAAACAAGAGTTACTTCCCTTGTAATGTACTGTCAAGCACCTTCTCTTTTGCATGACACCTTCCACCCTCCCAGTACCATAATGGTCACAGGTGCAAGCAACCATAGCAAGAACTTCCCACTAACACCAAACACAGTGACATTTTAATGTTTGTGCATGTTTATGGGGAATGGTTGTGATTGATTCCGGTAGCAGACACAGTATAGGAACCTCTGTGAGAGGCTATCACTGTCAGGTGGTAGACAGTTAGACTAACGCTTAATCCCTGTTAGTCATTATTCATACTTTCAAAATTTACATATATCCCTAACTGATATATACTCCCTATATCCCTTTGATAGTAACAAACAAACCCATTTATACTGAAAAGGAGCCAAAGTGATATTCCCCTGAATCTGGGGAAATCTAGACTTGCTTCATTTAGGGCTTTAGCATTGCAGGGAGGGCTGGGCAGTAGGGAAAATAATATGGTTCAGGGACTGTGAGACAGTCTAGTAGACAGTATACACATAACTCTGGAAATGGGCTACCATGGTGGAAGCGGTAGTATAGACAACAGTGTGAATGGGCTACCACGGTGGAAGCGGTAGTATAGACAACAGTGTGAATGGGCTACCATGGTGGAAGCGGTAGTATAGACAACAGTGTGAATGGGCTACCATGGTGGAAGCGGTAGTATAGACAACAGTGTGAATGGGCTACCACGGTGGAAGCGGTAGTATAGACTAAGGCTGTAATGATTCACTCGCATATTTGGTGAATCGAACCGTAGCCCTTCATGAATTCAATTCGTTATTCGTGGTCACCAGAACCGAATATTAACGAATATTTACGTTTTTTTAAGGAAGCATGTTTTACTTGAACCCTTGTGTACTTTTTGAAGGGACATATGCAGTAATGGAATATGTACTAGCCTTGCAGTAGCCCAAGTCATGTTAGTTTGCCAAGGCCACACATGGTACTGTCAATTATAACTATTACATACCAAATTTGAGTGTCATGAGATGACTGGTTATTGCTATGACAAATCAAAACTGTCAACATGGGCATTCCATATTGTACATCAATCACTTAACTACAATATTGTATTCGTGAATAATTATTCGTATTCGTTACCCAATATTCATGATACGTATCATATTCGCCACAAAGTGTATTCGTTGGCTTGCAGCCCTAGTATAGACAACAGTGTGAATGGGCTACCACGGTGGAAGCGGTAGTATAGACAACAGTGTGAATGGGCTACCATGGTGGAAGCAGTAGTATAGACAACAGTGTGAATGGGCTACCATGGTGGAAGCAGTAGTATAGACAACAGTGTGAATGGGCTACCACGGTGGAAGCGGTACTATAGACAACAGTGTGAATGGGCTACCATGGTGGAAGCAGTAGTATAGACAACAGTGTGAATGGGCTACCACGGTGGAAGCGGTAGTATAGACAACAGTGTGAATAGGCTACCACGGTGGAAGTGGTAGTATAGACAACAGGGTGAATGGGCTACCACGGTGGAAGCGGTAGTATAGACAACAGTGTGAATGGGCTACCATGGTGGAAGTTGTAGTATAGACAACAGTGTGAATGGGCTACCACGGTGGAAGCGGTAGTATAGACAACAGTGTGAATGGGCTACCACGGTGGAAGCGGTAGTATAGACAACAGTGTGAATGGGCTACCACGGTGGAAGCGGTAGTATGGACAACAGTGTGAATGGGCTACCACGGTGGAAGCGGTAGTATGGACAACAGTGTGAATGGGCTACCATGGTGGAAGCGGTAGTATTGACAACAGTGTGAATGGGCTACCACGGTGGAAGTGGTAGTATAGACAACAGTGTGAAAGGGCTACCACGGTGGAAGCGGTAGTATAGACAACAGTGTGAAAGGGCTACCACGGTGGAAGCCGGTAGTAGTATAGACAACAGTGTGAAAGGGCTACCACGGTGGAAGCGGTAGTATAGACAACAGTGTGAATGGGCTACCACGCGGTGGAAGCGCGTAGTATAGACAACAGTGTGAATGGGCTACCACGGTGGAAGCGGTAGTATGGACAACAGTGTGAATGGGCTACCAGGGTGGAAGCGGTAGTATGGACGACAGTGTGAATGGGCTACCACGGTGGAAGCGGTAGTATGGACGACAGTGTGAATGGGCTACCACGGTGGAAGCGGTAGTATAGACCACAGTGTGAATGGGCTACCACGGTGGAAGCGGTAGTATAGACCACAGTGTGAATGGGCTACCAGGGTGGAAGCGGTAGTATAGACAACAGTGTGAATGGGCTACCACGGTGGAAGCGGTAGTATAGACCACAGTGTGAATGGGTTACCACGGTGGAAGCGGTAGTATAGACAACAGTGTGAATGGGCTACCATGGTGGAAGCGGTAGTATAGACAACAGTGTGAATGGGCTACCATGGTGGAAGCGGTAGTATAGACAACAGGGTGAATGGGCTACCATGGTGGAAGCGGTAGTATAGACAACAGTGTGAATGGGCTACCATGGTGGAAGCGGTAGTATAGACAACAGTGTGAATGGGCTACCACGGTGGAAGCGGTAGTATGGACGACAGTGTGAATGCGCTACCATGGTGGAAGCGGTAGTATAGACGACAGTGTGAATGGGCTACCATGGTGGAAGCGGTAGTATAGACAACAGTGTGAATGGGCTACCATGGTGGAAGCGGTAGTATAGACAACAGTGTGAATAGGCTACCATGGAGGAAGCGGCAGTATAGACAACAGTGTGAATGGGCTACCACTGTGAGAGTCTGTGTCTGGTGCAAGCAATAGTATAGATATAAATGATACATAATTGTTAAATCTTTCATTCCTAGGGAGATTCTTAGCTGCAGAATGTACAGAAACGACAATATTTAATTCCAAAATGGATCTTGATTTGAAGCAAACCTCTTTTCAACTTTTACCAGAAAATGTATTTTCCATCAAATGTCACCAAAAGAACCCAGTATCCTTGGCTATATCATCATACAACCATACAATCAACATTATCTGGAATATAAGTTACCTTCAGTATTGGTCGAACTACTTTGTCTTTGAAGTTCCGTGATATTGTTATTTTCTCAGCATTCTCCAAGTCTTCTGAACAAAGAAGTAGAAACAATACATAGAAAACAACTAATATTCAGCACTCTGCAACACTACACTTGCTCATAACACTATGCACATCACTGTAGGGGAGCGTGGTGGACGAGCTGGCTAAGACACCAGGCTAGTGATCCAGCGAGGTTGAGGTGTCGGATCGAGCCCACCTGTGACCGGGTGCGAAACCCTTAGAGTCAACTTTGTGTACAGACTCTTTCAGTGTTGTCACAACCCCTAGTGTACAGTACACAACCCTGTGCACTTAAAAGAACCCACGAATCCGTTGGTATATGACCAGATGATGGCCCCATGAATACGTGCAAACACCTAGTTGCGGGTACAGCAACATGCAGTAAACTTGGACAAAGTACTGTGACTATGGGTCCCAGTTCACCAAGCTGTGAATGGGTAACTGGTAAGGATGCAAAAGCCACAATAACTCGGTACATCTTGTGGCAGCAAGAGTTGTATGCTCCACAGGGAGTTGAGATTGATAAGAAGATGTGCCGTTGATCGAGGGAAAAAATACCAGCGCCTTGAGCATGCACTAGTGCGTGGATATGTGCCCTATATTATATCCAATAATAAAAATAACCGTAAAATGAATTCATATAACACTTTTATACATTCAGATTTTATGGAGTCAAAGTACTGTAAGTTCTATCTGATGAAACTTTACTGGCATACGTCATTTACTAAACAGTATAAACCACTATCAGTTCATCTGAATAATAATAATAAGTACTATTATTACAAATACTACTTCATCATTATGCTGTGAAGATCTGTGTATGAATTGGTTTTCAGCAACCCGTCTGTTGTAAAAGAGAAATAACTGAATTATGTTGCTGACTTGGTTGTTGCGAGTCACTGAATCCTAGGTATGTAAATCTATGCTCATGATGTCAATCACTGGACAGTCTCATCAAGACGTCACTACATATGAACTGCTTTTATGTACACAGTAGCTAAAATATTGTTTAGTGACATTTAACAACAAATAAAGACATAACAAAGTAAAATCTTCACCATATTTACAAGGGGATCAGGCTAAAACGGCCCCATAACAAAACGGCCCCAATTTTGCTTGGCTAAAACGGCCCCAAATTGGCTAAAACGGCCCCGGTGTAAAACGGCCCCGATGTTGCTATCAACTATGTTGCTTGAAATGACCCCGTACAATTGCAAAAAAGAACGTGAAATATATTTCAGCATTTATATTAACATGTAACATATATTGAAACCAGAAAAAAATCGTAATACACTCCTTGCAGCACACACAGCAGTACCACTAACATGCTTGACGATGTATTTGTTTTCAATTTTAGTGTAATCTGAAGTTACATAATGGGTATTAAACAGAATAACAACACAGACAATAGACTTCCAATGGTTCTTGCATGATATCAACAAGGGAACAGTTCTTAGACATGAAGTCAGCGGCTGATGGGTCCATGGATTTGGCTGCATCTGGTCAAAAGTTGACCCAGCGATAGGTATCCATCCTTGTAACCTCTCCAGGACTCGAAGCTATTTTCCTGTGTAGCTGTGGCAGAGTTGCGCAGGTAGGTTCGAAGTCGGCCTTCTTGGATCATCCGAACCTGCAAGGGAAACAGACTGGCTTCTCTGTGCAATTCAGGGATTAGTCTGTATATGCCAAGGGGCTGATCACCAACTTTACTGTTGATTCGTCTGTGCCAGCCTATTAAGAATACAAAAACAGTACCATAATGCTATTCATCAAATATTAAATACAGTCAAATGTTTAATACTTTTGGGGCATTACATAGATCTTTATTTCTCTTTCATACATTTTAGTTCTCTTGTATATAGGGTATAAATATTGATATACTGAAAGAAACCCACCCTCGACATGTAGGGTGCTTTCCATGGGGAGCACTCTCTCTGACATCCTTTCAAACAGGCTTGAGATGTGTGAAGCAGGCAGGAACGGCAAAGCCATTAACTTCTTGATGAACTTGTGTGTTGAGTCCTCTTTCATAGATGCAACCTAGTTAAAAGAACAGTATAAACATCAGTCTTAAGAAACTCTTAATTTAGGTCATTATCAATGAAAGTCCGACAGATTTTAGATATAGTATATTTAAACCTCTTACCTGAAGTACAAGTTCTTGGTCAATGTATTTCTGTTGAGCTCTCTCAACGATGGTGTTGCCTGATGTATACAGTTCTTTAACTGCTTGGTCTCTCACTTTTTAAAATCATAAAAGAATATATAGTTACTCAATGAGATGAGTAAACAGGTAGCTAATCAATGCAACGAGCTGCTACCGGTAATTAAATCATGATTAGGTTAATCCATTTAATCTCCTTAGGCAATACCGGTAGCTAATCAGTGCAATTAGCTAAACAAACAGATCATAACCACCTCCATTCTGACCCTAATGGTTGTAAGTTGACCAGGTGTTGGAGGATGACAGTGCCGATGGATGCCATCTTCAAACTTCTCACCAGTCTGTATGACAGAGGCTGAACAGGTGGTGGTGGAATTCCGGACACTACAGCCAGTACACGTTAGCTCCATATCTTCTTTGCTTCTGCATATTTCCTTGTATCTGAGTGCTGAAATCCCTGTGCATAAAAAGGCGGTGTGTCCATAGTTGACAACCATCACAGCTAATGGCGTGCTGGTTTTTCCAAACTGTCTTATTGCAAACTATGCAGCGTTTTGTCATTGTGAATGTACAGTAACCATCTATCCCCACCGATTAATACTGTATATAATTGACACAGAACACTCTGCCATAGTCTTGAGTTCATAGACTTATATTTTATCATATTCATTTAAGTACTATTGCTAATGTTTGCCAAAACACCAGCTCTGTCAGGATTAACTCGACACAGAGCAACTGCTACTTCAATGTTGTTTTAATGACTGTATGTGTGACTTCATGGTATGGATGTGTTTTTAACAATTTGAATTCTGATTCTGAAATCTAATGTTTTATTTGTCAAACTTAAATTTTAGTGAATATTAGATGATCTGTACAATATTCAGTTTGATTTATATCTTCCACATGTATTATTGGCCTCATGGCCATTTAAACAGAATACAATCATGATGAAAACGTCAAAGTTAATTAATTTAATAAGTAATTGAAAAATATGCATTTTGATCTATCATTTATGACTAAGGACACACATTGAAATAAAACTGATTATTTTGGGGCCATTTTGGCAAATATGGGGCCGTTTTTACTTGGGGACGTTTAGTCATGGGGCCATTTCAGCCAAAGCATTTGGGGCCGTTATAGCCAATTTGGGGCCGTTTCGTCTTGGGGCCGTTCTGCTGTGGGGCCGTTTCAGCTATAACCCTTTACAAGAGTAGTTGACTCTTCTCATGAAAGCCATTACCTAGTTTTCCAGATTGCCTCTGTTTCGCCACCTCCTCTGCTTCTCCTCGGAGTCGCAATGCATGATGGGCAATCTCCTCACTGGCTAGATTAGATGTCATGATAAAGATGGCATCCTTACAATCGATTGTCTTGCCCTTCCCGTCTGTTAGACGACCCTATACAAAACAAATACACAAATGAAATCAGCCACAATTAATCTTAAATGAATTCCATTCCTATGAGAATACATTTGAGATGTATCTTCCATATGCTTCTTCATAGTTTTTCTTGTAAATCTTTCATGGTTGTTAGATTCACAAGATTGCCTCTTGTGATGCCATCTTGTACATGATCAGGTTTTCGAAAAATCAACTGTCTATGTTTAGGAATACGAAAACTTACTATGGTTTGAGACCAAACTCCGAAAACAGTACTTAACAATCACATTTTCATATGATTTCCATATTTTCATAACATAACCAGTACCAGGGATGGCAACAGGAAAATCTATTTTCAGCGGAAAACTTAGTATTGTGTCATCGAGTTGAGGGTTTCTCAATGGATTTAGACGATTCACAATTGGACAATTTGAAACAAAATCAGCGCAAATCCGCGGATCAGCGGAAAATTGCCATCCCTGCAGTACAAAAACATTTTGTATAGATACATGAAATAATGATTCACAACTTAATCACAAATAAACATACAGCCCTCAAATGAAAACCTTCTCAAGCATTGATCAAAGGTCCTTTGACATCTATTTTCTGTACTATCAATTCATTCACCGAAGGTGCTAAGTGTAATTCAAGGAATATGTCCATATGTCTGTAATGTGCACCATGCATAGGTTTAAGCTTGAAGGAAGAGTTCTACCTCATCAAACAGCTGCAGCATGATCGTCAGGACATCGGGATGAGCTTTGTCGACCTCGTCAAACAGGACAACTGCTTGTGGACTTTCAGTCAGCTTCTTGGTCAACTGTCCTCCCTCCTCGTGTCCGACATAACCGGGTGGGGACCCGATAAACTTGGCAACCTGTGGACAACACATGCTACAATCACCTGTGCATGTCAGGGAAACAGATCTAATGGTCAGGCAATGATTTACCGCATACCAAATACACTGTCTGCAGGGTGTTGCATTATACCTGGACATTGTGTATTGTAGTGTTAAACAACGTTGTAAGTTTGACAGTTCTATTTTTTTTTTTACATTTGTTCATGTTAATTCCCAGAAGATGATTGTGTGCAATCTTGGTACTGTGAGTGGTGTTGGTACCATGGGTACTGTGGTTACTATGGGAACTTGGTGCTATGGTTACTGCAGGTACTGTGGGTAATATGGGTACTAAGGACGATATCATTACCCCTGTGGTTGCTATGGTTACTGTGGGCGCCTTTGGTACTAAGGATCTATATGGTTACCCTAAGATGCTATGGTTACTATTGGCACTAAGACTGCTATGGTTACTGTTGGTACTATGGGTGCTAAGGATGGTTGCTATGGTTACTGTGGGTGCCTTTGGTACTATGGGTACTTAAGATGCTATGGTTACTATTGGTACTAAGACTGCTATGGTTACTTCAGATGTTGGTACTATGGGTACTAAGACTGCTATGGTTACTGTTGGTACTATGGGTACTAAGGATGCTATGGTTACTGTGGTTACTGTTGGTACTATGGGTACTAAGGATGCTATGGTTACTGTTGGTACTATGGGTACTAAGGATGCTATGGTTACTGCTGGTACTATGGGTACTAAGGATGCTATGGTTACTGTTGGTAATATAGGTACTAAGGATTCTATGGTTACGGTGGTTACTGTTGGTACTATGGGTACTAAGGATGCTATGGTTACTGTTGGTACTATGGGTACTAAGGATTCTATGGTTACGGTGGTTACTGTTGGTACTATGGGTACTAAGGATGCTATGGTTACTGTTGGTACTATGGGTACTAAGGATGCTATGGTTACTGTTGGTACTATGGGTACTAAGGATGCTATGGTTACTGTTGGTACTATGGGTACTAAGGATGCTATGGTTACTGTTGGTACTATGGGTACTAAGGATGCTATGGTTACTGTTGGTAATATAGGTACTAAGGATGCTATGGTTACTGTTGGTACTATGGGTACTAAGGATGCTATGGTTACTGCTGGTACTATATGGGTTACTGCTGGTACTATGGGTACTAAGGATGCTATGGTTACTGTTGGTAATATAGGTACTAAGGATTCTATGGTTACGGTGGTTACTGTTGGTACTATGGGTACTAAGGATGCTATGGTTACTGCCGGTAATATAAGTACTAAGGATGCTATGGTTACTGTTGGTACTAAGGATGCTATGGTTACTGTTGGTACTAAGGATGCTATGGTTACTGTTGGTACTATGGGTACTAAGAATGCTATGGTTACTGTTGGTTCTATGGGTACTCACTTCATGTTTTTCCTGGTACTCTGACATGTCAATTCTGATAAAACCCTGCAAAGATAACAAGTTTAATGATCTCATGCATGACACATACACCGATATACACACCCTAGATATACACACGCACTAGATGACCTGCATGTCTGTATCGGATCACGACACCAAGTTTACTGGATAGGTATATTGCATCAGTCACGCTATCAGTTATATCAGAAAGCAGGCTACTATTAACTATAACTCCCTAACAATGGAAACACATTGAATAAAGACCGAGTCACCTTCTTCACATCTTTATGCAGATACTTTGCAACTTGCTTTGCTAATTCAGTTTTTCCTGAAATCAAAACATAGACAGATATCAAATATCTTCAACATTCCACACAAAAACATGTGAAATCCTACTTCCTTCCTCACAAGTATTTATTTTACAATTACACCTTCAGTACAAACTGAATGATGTTTTACTGTTCTTGTAAAACAGTATTAGAGGATAGGGTGCCATGAGTTATCTCCCTTGAGAGCTCAGTAAGGGCAAGTCATTGCAGTATGTTCCAATCAGTTCATGGCCATCCCTATTGTGAACATTTACCCCCAGATGGCATTTGTTTATTGTAAGGGTTTAGATATTCACCAGTCATGGCAGATAAAACCCCAACCTAACATTTAGAATATGAAAAAGACATTAAACTATGAATAAGAAGATGTTTTAGTTCATTTTTTTACAATCAATTTTCATCAGTTAAAAAATCTTGAAAATCCCACCCACTAACCATTCTCCTACAAAGGCAGGTACTATGGGTATCTCTCCTCTGTGCAATACTAGTCACATACCCATTTCTTACATATGAGTTCTACAAATAACAAGAGCCCTTCCTCCAAGCTACGAACTGCTCTGCATACATCAACTTACCTATTCCTGAAGATCCAAGAAAGAGGAACACCAAAGGGTGATCTTCATCATACCAGCCGTTCTCTTTTCGACGTATAGCTTATAAAACAAATATTAGAGAAACTAATTAGATAATGTGTGCTTAAATTCTAGAAATATTCTAACTACAGTTTAATAAGTGAATGTATCTATCAGCTTATGCAATAAGCTCAAAATGTGAGGTTTCGACTGTCATTATCACAGGGAGCAATTTTGCTGCTGAAAAACATTTGACAGCAACACACTGGATTATTGACTTAAAAAAAGTCTCAATTCCTGAGACCGTTCATTTCAACATCATAGTACATGGTTCAATAGATACAGAATACATGAAATTTACAATGAACAATGCATCTGGCACATATCGTAAGCTAACAATGGTGGTCTGTAAAGAATCAGGGTGGTGGGGTAGCCTAGTGGTTAAAGCATTCGCTTGTCATGCCGAAGAACCAGGTTTGATTCCCCACATGGGTACAGTGTGTGAAGCCCATTTATTCCCCACATGGGTACAATGCTGATATTGCTGGAATATTGCTAAAAGCGGCGTAAAAACCACACTCACTCACTGTAAAGAATCAAATTTAGATGAGATGATGCAGAGATTTTTTTATATTGAGAACAATGCTCATGCCGTCAAGGTACAGTGACATGTTATCAAGCAAGTCACCAACTTGACCAAGTCTGACCACCCCATCCAGTTGGTCGGCTCTAACTACCAGCAAAGGTTGCTGGGGCCTAATGTAACACGGAATCCTAATGTCAACTATAAGGTGAGTGAGGGATTATGGTTTTATGCTGCTTTCAGCAATATTCCAGCAACATCATGGAGGGAACATGAGAAGTGAGGCAGTGAGTATGGTTTTACACCTTTTAGCAATATTTCAGGAATATTATGGCAGGGGACACCAGACATGAGCTTCACACATTGTACACAAATCATCGACGTTATGAGCGAACACTTTAACCACTTGGCTACCCTGACACCTAAACATGAGCATCATGCTTTGAACCATTGTTAGGAATCACGCCAGGGCCCCGCTTCACAAAGCTCTTGTAAACCTAAGTCTCAGAAGCATTCGTAGCATTCATACTTCCTATACTGTAACATTGACTTACGATGGTCGTAGCGCTACGAGAGCTTCGTGAAACGGACGCCTGGTCAAAGGGTGGACACATTAACCTCTAGGCGTCAAGTGTTGAGTGTAATGATTCATTCACCTTACCTGCAGCGACTGTGTTGATGGCAGCCTCCTGTCCTATGATCTGTTCCTTGAGCCGCAGCTCCAAGGGGAAGCGTCTCCTCTCTTCAGCTTCCCTCTCCGCCTTCATCTTGTTATACTGAACACACGTCATATAATACAGATGGTGAATTTGAGGAGAACACTATATCATGTCATCCCATGGATTTCTCTAATGCTCCAAACCAATGACTTTTGGAAGGCCAATTGGGAATTTTGTTTTATATTTTTCACAAATCTTTTTTTCAATTGAAAATATTAACTATCAATTTTTTATTTATAATACTTATCCTGTCTCACGTTATGAACTTTCTCCAGTTCTTTTCGAACATGGAGTGGAAACAACTCAGCCTCTCAGCCATTACTACTGTCACTTGCTGCAGACTTGGTTCAGAACATTGGCCTCTAAGCATGGTCAAGTTGAATCCCTCTACCCAATATTTACACTTTGATTTGGACCACAGTACATGAATAAAGGTACTCATAGTGAAAATAACAAATCATAACCATGAGCAGAGTTGATTTTGCTTTCAATTTGCTGAATTATGCCTGCTATTTAGTGTCATGACACTGAAAGTTTGGGGTAATATTTTCCCCACCCGAGTGAGTGAGTGAGTGAGTGAGTGAGTGAGTGAGTGAGTGAGTGAGTGAGTGAGTGAGTGAGTGAGTGAGTGAGTGAGTGAGTGAGTGAGTGAGTGAGTGAGTGAGTGAGTTTAGTTTTATGCCGCACTATCCAGCTTCATGGCAGTTTTCCCCAGAGAACAAAGTAAATTGATAATACCACATACAGCATGAATGTACATGCATAACTGACATTAGAATGTGAACGTGAATCAAGTGACAGTGTCACGTGATTGTGTCACATGACTGCCTACCTTCAGCTTGTAGTCTTCCAGCAGGTGCTTCATGTCTGGGCGACGCACATAGTCCATGGGGCAGTGTCCTACAACATTCTCCATCATCGGATCTGCTCCTGAACACAAACATGGTATCAGTCGAGGTGTCGTCAGTGTCACTACGTTATATCGGAGGATCTGTTTCAACTATAAACAAACTGCAAGACCAATATTTGTCTACACTTCACAGACCCATAATTCTTTTACAAGATACAAGAATGATCAGTGGATGACATATCCACCAAGTTTATTCTCATATCTGAGCTTATCAAGAAGTATATCCTCCAAATGTGTCATAAAAGTTCTTTAAAGAAGTAACCTAACCACTTCAATGGCATTGTCTGTCTATCTCCTAATCCCAAAAAGCAATTTAACCGCTTCTGTTTCATTTCCATTCAGGGAGTAGCATAACCACTTCATCATCATTGCCTACCTGCTTCAAGAAGTAAAGTAACCACTTCATCGTCATTGCCTACCACTTCAAGAAGTAAAATAACCACTTCATCGTCATTGCCTACCTCCTTCAAGAAGTAAAGAAATCACTTCATCGTCATTGCCTACCTGCTTCAAGAAGTAAAGAAATCACTTCATCGTCATTGCCTACCTGTTTCAAGAAGTCAAGTAACCACTTCGTTGTCATTGCCTACCTGCTTCATGAAGTAAAAAAAACACTTTGTCGTCATTGCCTACCTGCTTCATGAAGTAAAGAAACCACTTCGTCGTCATTGCCTACCTGCTTCAAGAAGTCAAGTAACCACTTCATCATGATTGCCTACCTGCTTCAAGAACAAATGTCACCACTTCATCGACATTGCCTACCCACTTCAAGAAGTCAAGTAACCACTTCATCATGATTGCCTACCTGCTTCAAGAACAAATGTAACCACTTCATCATCATTGCCTACCCACTTCAAGAAGTAAAGACACCACTTCATCATCATTGCCTACCTGCTTCAAGAAGTCAAGTAACCACTTCATCATGATTGCCTACCCACTTCAAGAAGTAAAGTATCCACTTCATCATCATTGCCTACCCGCTTCAAGAAGTAAAGACACCACTTCATCATCATGGCCTACCTGCTTCAAGAAGTCAAGTAACCACTTCATCATGACTGCCTACCCACTTCAAGAAGTAAAGTAACCACTTCATCATCATTGCCTACCCGCTTCAAAAAGTAAAGAAACCACTTCATCATCATGGCCAACCTGCTTCAAGAAGTCAAGAAACCACTTCATCATCATGGCCTGCCTGCTTCAAGAACAAATGTAACCACTTCATCATCATTGCCTACCCGCTTCAAGAAGTAAAGAAACCACTTCATCTTCATTGCCTACCCACTTCAAGAAGTAAAGTAACCACTTCATCATCATTGCCTACCTGCTTCAAGAAGTAAAGAAACCACTTCATCATTATTGCCTACCTGCTTCAAGAAGTAAAGTTACCACTTCATCATCATTGCCTACCTGCTTCAAGAAGTAAAGTAACCACTTCATCGTCATTGCCTATCTGCTTCAAGAAGTAAAGTAACCACTTCATCGTCATTGCCTATTTGCTTCAAGAAGTAAAGTAACCACTTCATCATCATTGCCTATCTGCTTCAAGAAGTAAAGTAACCATTTCATCGTCACTACCTACCTGCTTCAAGAAATAAAGTAACCACTTCATCGTCATTGCCTACCTGCTTCAAGAAGTAAATAACCACTTCATCGTCATTGCCTACCTGCTTCAAGAAGTAAAGTAACCACTTCATCGTCATTGCCTACCTGCTTCAAGAAGTCAAGTAACCACATCAGTGTCATTGCCTACCTGCTTCAAGAAGTATAGAAACTACTTCATCATCATTGCCTACCCGCTTCAAGAAGTAATGAAACTACTTCATCATCATTGCCTACCCGTTTCAAGAAGTAAAGAAACCACTTCATCATCATGGCCTACCTGCTTCAAGAAGTCAAGTAACCACTTCATCATGATTGCCTACCCACTTCAAGAAGTAAAGTAACCACTTCATCATCATTGCCTACCCGCTTCAAGAAGTAAAGAAACCACTTCATCATCATGGCCAACCTGCTTCAAGAAGTCAAGTAACCACTTCATCATCATGGCCTACCTGCTTCAAGAACAAATGTAACCACTTCATCATCATTGCCTACCTGCTTCAAGAAGTAAAGAAACCACGTCATTTTCATTGCCTACCCACTTCAAGAAGTAAAGTAACCATTTCATCATCATTGCCTACCCACTTCAAGAAGTAAAGAAACCACTTCATCTTCATTGTCTACCCACTTCAAGAAGGTAAGTAACCACTTCATCATCATTGCCTACCCGCTTCAAGAAGTAAAGTAACCACTTCATCATCATGGCCTACCTGCTTCAAGAAGTCAAGTAACCACTTCATCGTCATTGCCTACCCGCTTCAAGAAGTAAAGTAACCACTTCATATCATTGCCTACCCGCTTCAAGAAGTAAAGAAACCACGTCATCTTCATTGCCTACCCACTTCAAGAAGTAAAGTAACCACTTCATCATCATTGCCTACCTGCTTCAAAAAGTCAAGTAACCATTTGATCCTCATTGCCTACCCGCTTCAAGAAGTAAAGTAACTACTTCATCGTCATTGCCTACCTGCTTCAAGAAGTCAAGTAACCACATCAGTGTCATTGCCTACCTGCTTCAAGAAGTATAGAAACTACTTCATCATCATTGCCTACCTGCTTCAAGAAGTAATGAAACCACTTCATCATCATTGCCTACCTGCTTCAAGAAGTAAAGAAACCACTTCATTGCCTACCAGCTTCAAGAAGTAAAGAAACCATTTCGGTGTCATTGCCTACCTGCTTCAAGAAGTCAAAATAACCACTTCATCATTATTGCCTACCTGCTTCAAGAAGTAAAGTAACCACTTCATCATCATTGCCTACCTGCTTCAAGAAGTAAAGTAACCACTTCATCGTCATTGCCTATCTGCTTCAAGAAGTAAAGTAACCACTTCATCGTCATTGCCTATCTGCTTCAAAAAGTACAATAACCACTTCATCATCATTGCCTATCTGCTTCAAGAAGTAAAGTAACCATTTCATCGTCACTACCTACCTGCTTCAAGAAATAAAGTAACCACTTCATCGTCATTGCCTATCTGCTTCAAAAAGTACAATAACCACTTCATCGTCATTGCCTACCTGCTTCAAGAAGTAAAGTAACCACTTCATCGTCACTACCTACCTGCTTCAAGAAGTAAAGTAACCACTTCATCGTCATTGCCTATCTGCTTCAAAAAGTACAATAACCACTTCATCGTCATTGCCTACCTGCTTCAAGAAGGAAAGAAATCCCTTCATCGTCACAGCCTACCTACCCGCTTCAAGAAGTAAAGAAACCACTTCAGTGTCATCAGCCAGTACAGCATAGTGTAGAGCAGTGCAGCCCTTGAAGTTGGCTCGGATGTTGAGTCGGTTAGAAAACTCCTCCTCTCTTTCAAGATGCACTGAAACAATTCATGCGTTATATACAGAAACCTACTGACTGACTGGATGCAGGTCTTTCCTATGTCCTACATTCAATGAACCACCACATATCGTATTCCCTATAGTTAATGACTACTAAACTTGGGGCCTTCCTTATTAGACACTGGTGTATAAAACACACTCATGTCACTGTGACCTTGAATCATGTTCAGCCAAAAACATTGCAAGTTATGACCATCATGCCATGATGATCACTGAGTTAGTGAGTATGGATGGTTTTATGCTGCTTTCTGCAATTTTTCAAAAGCCATGTATGGAAAATCCAAACCTGAATGCTGGTATACAGAGAGCACTTTAACCACTCGGCTTTCCACTGCCCAGTGAGATGAGACATACTTTTACTTAAATCATTTCCTTCTATATATGCAGATACCAGTGCTTTTGCTTCCCCTACCCTGCAGACTGTTGAGTTTCTTCTCCCGAGCCATCTGACCCACGTTGCTGAAGTCGTCCCCCAAGTTGGGATCAGCACCTGCCTCAAGGAGAACTCTCACTGCTCTGGAGAAGACAGCATATCCTCATACTATCATCATCACATGTAACTCTTTATATATCATGCAGTAACAGTACAGTCGTTGCTCTTGTTCTGATTATGACAAAAGCATTTATGTTGCATCACATTACATTTTCAGGAATCGGTTACTGTTTACAATATATTAATAAAGTTGAAACAGTGGTATACACTGCTTATAGCATTCTCTTCCCACAGAGGTTACTTGTCATATCTTCCTACGAACCTCTGTTTTAATACGGCCATATGTCCCAGTTCTCGTAAAATCCCCTAGCAGCAAAAAACACGAATTATCTCCCTTCTTTCTATCCAACCAGAACACGTTACATAGACTTGGATCCAGCTTGACTAATGCAAGTAAAAATAGGGCCAAAAATATTCCTCTCCTCTGCCAGGGACTTGTGTTGATGTGACACACAAGACATTTAATGGCAAGCTTGTCCTTTGTCAACGAGGGCATTGGAGACGCCATTGATCCGGCATTACATGACTGAGTTCTGTCTAGAAGAAACGTTTGTGCATCGTGCAGGGGAAGAAGTTCTAGTTTTCCCAAAGCAAAGGAAATTCCCGAGGCCTTGTGAATGATCACTCTTGAAACGTCACTGATTGCACAATTAAAGCTGATTGCAACCAATCACGAATCCTGAACACTCGCACCATGAAAGGGCCGTATTAGAACAGAGGTTCGTATGAAGATATGACAAGTAACCTCTGTGGGAAGAGAATGTACTTATAGATAATGCAATGGTATATACTGAGTCGGCACTCATAGGTTCAGTATAAGAAATATATTTGCTTATACAGATTATATTGAAAATAGTAAGTTAACTTACTCTTTATGCTTGTTCATTGCAGCAACATGGAGGGCTGTCCAACCCAGCGGGTGACGAGCATTTACATCCACGCCTAACTTTATCAGTCTGCATAACAAGAACTGACAATAATATATTTATTCAAAAGTTTGTTAAAAATATTAATAGAAAGGATGTAATGATTACAACAATGCCTGGTGTATAAAGGACAAAGCATAATTGTTTGCTTTTAAACTCCTTGCGGATATTCTGTAGCATAATAATGTCACTAAAGTGAGGATTCCATGGAAATGATCTCATTTACCTCGTCTAGTCTGGTCCAGAGTTTCTTTCTCAAGGTCTGATGTTATTTGATATTTCACATGTACAGTTTGACATGGCATAGTTTTCTTTCCACTTTTGGTTATCTTTACATTATATATTCAATGCTTACTGCAAAATAATTGTGATTGGTTTTTCATATAAATATACAAACACAAAATATACAATTTACAAACAGGCCCATACTACTTTCGGAATCTCCACACTTCCTTACTTGTTGATCATCTGTGATCTCACCTCACAAAGAACATGATAAGTTCATTTTATGTACTTTACAACATACATATTCATATGTCATTGTAAAACACGGGGAAGAAGTAACACCTGTATAAAGACTCTGAATTAATCAGTGAAAACCTTTGAAGAATTACCTGTTGATCAGTGGAAATCTTCCCTGAATTACCTGTGATTGTTGATTTTGTTCCCTCTCCCACATGGGCTGAAGGGGTCGTTGTTGACACAGGTAGTACTGATGTGTACCCCAGGTACATTTCCGCATTCAGAAACGTACTCTATAGTGCGTTTGACTTCATTTGAGACCGATGAATTGCTCACCAACACAAAATCTAATAAATGCAACAAAATCAAACTTTGCACAGTCACATGAAATCGATAGACCAACTCTGATGATTTGTCTCATAATTTTGGACACCCGAATAAAAAAGTTGTTTAACAAACGATCATTATTTTGTTGTCACTTTTAGCTATTTTTTTTATGAGGGGTGACCACTTCGGCTAGGGTATGTTGGGTTATAGCTAAAACGGCACCACAGCAGAACGGCACCAAATTTGTGTGGCGAAAACGGCACCATATTGGCGAAAACGGCTACTGATTTCTGGGCTAAAACGGCACCATATATAAAACAAAGTATGACGTTGACTCATGTTTTATTTCATTTCATTATAACATCAGCAAGATTATATCAACATATGAGTCATTCTCAAAATTAAAGGTCACATGCAACGTAAAACACAAGTTTGCAGATTCTGATACCTTTCGGTATGGACTTACCGAAACAAATCGCCAAAATGCAAATTCAACTTATAAAGTTGAAAAATAACGCAATGAAAACAAGAAGACAAAGTCATCAATATCCCCCTCAATGGCAAAATACTCTTCATGATTATGTCTACGAGTAATGATTATGTCAAATATTTAGGTGTGTATATAGAAAAGTGGAAGGAGAGTATTGAAAGGTTTTGAAAGTTCTGCTCCAGAAAGAAGCACTATCACCAATTTCAGTGTAAGTCAAACTTGTTGCCATGGAAATGCCAAAAATGTTTTATTCAGAATTCCAAAACTACCAAAAGGCACAAGTACACCACCAGATCTATCTATGTGCCAAGTTTGGTGAAGAAATATTGAATGGTTTTAGAGTTCAGCTCTGGAAAAGAGCACTACCACAATTTCAGGCTAAGTGAAACTTGTTGCCATGGAAACGCCAAAAATATTTTATTCAGAATTCCAAAACAACCAAAAGGCACAAGTATACCACCAGATCTATCTATGTGCCAAGTTTGGTGAAGAAATATTGAACGGTTTTAGAGTTCTGCTCCGGAAAAGAGCACTACCACCAATTTCAGTCAAAGTCGACCTTTTTGCCATGGAAACGCCAAAAATATTTTATTCAGAATTCCAAAACTACCAAAAGGCACCAGTACACCACCAGATCCATGTATGTGCCAAGTTTGGAGAAAAATATTTAACAGTTTTAGAGTTCTGCTCGGAAAAGACAAATGTGCACGGACGGGATTCGGACGGACGGACGCGACGGACAGAGTCCATTTTAATACCCCCGCGAAAGCGCTATGGGGGATAAAACGCACTCAAATCGGAGTTCAAACGCTTTCACTAACTTTCCCCAACTTTTCTGGGGAAAACGGGTTTCAACAGCTGGGCTGGCGCTTTATAGCACGCGTGCAGTGAAGTAGGTTCTCGCAGCTTGGAAGCGGTTGTCCGTGAATACCGGTGAAGGCTTTGGTGTGAGCTATTTTTCTAATGTTTTGTTGATATCTCACTGGCGCGAAGCTTTTATATGATATAACAGTAAATTAACTGTTTATATAATTTCATTTGTCTATTTCACCACACGCTCTTCTTTACCGAAGTCACTTTCTCAGTTCGATACTTTAAAAGCAATGCCATTATTTAGCTGACAGAATTGCGCTTGCATTGATTTATGGCCCGAAGTTCGGTCTCTGTCACATTATGTAATTACACAGACAGGCAGGTGTGATACTTGAACACATGACATGTTATGATGTCTGTTGATTGCAAAATGTTATACACAAAAAATGAGCATGTATTTACAAAACCCAACATCTCTATATATAGAGATTGTCAGCTATGGGATGTCCACTTCCAATCACTTGCCTTACATTGAATATATACGTTGATTTGATAATTACTGTAAGCGGTTACTTTTAGAAATGAACTGTTGTAATGAGTTATTCAATGCGCCGTTACCGTATAAAGTAGTTTTCACATCGTATCCTTGAATATAAAAATACATCCTTGTTCTAAATTTTGATAGTTCCGACATAATAGTAGATGTATTTATTAACTGCAATCCGATTATCTTATAACAAACTAGTTTTCCCCATAAGATTTTAGTTTGTGCCGTTTTCGCCATAAGATTTGTAGCCATTTTCGCCGAGTCGAGGTTCCGTTATGTCCAAATGGTGCCGTTTTCGCCAGGTGCCGTTTTGCTGTGGTTCCGTTTTAGCCTGCACCCGGTATGTTAGGGTACACCTCCGTTGTAACTGTGCCCATATCAACCCCTTCAGCTGTACTCAGCTGACTCTGGAACAAAATATTTACCTTTCCATCTCTCGTATATTGTTGAGGTGAGCTGCATTGAGAAACTTCTCATCTGAAAAAAAGATAAAATAAAAGATTTATGGCCTTTCAATAGACTGATCCCTCAGATTAACTTTTCTAGATCCAGTACTATTAGCTGAGAGTCCTAGGTTCTCGGTTATATGACTAAAAAACTTGGACAAGTTGGATGGAAGTAGTTATTTCGATTGGACCCAACTTACAGAGAAAGCCAAAGCCAAATTAGTTTCACTTTACTGCACCCTAAAATATGTACATTCACAATACTGACCCCAGTCAAACCAACTCGAGCCGATTTAACCACACTATAATGTGTACATGATGTAGCCATAAGTTCTAAGGAGATTGCATCAGAAAGTTTATTAAAGGTCGCTATTAGTACATGTCGGCGAAGATTTTTAGTAATATACAACATAAGTAACAGTGGAGGGTGCATCAATTCAAATTAACACCTACCTTTATCATCAGCGAGGCAAAACGCTACTGTCCCATAGAGAACACACCCAAACCCCACAGAGCCAAATGTTGTCAGTTTCGACGACTGGCCAGTTCTAAAAACGGCAATGACAGGCTTGACAGATGTACGTTGTTTGTAGTTTAAACTTCTTAAACGCGGCTTAACTGTTATGTTGTCAATGCATGGTCTGTTTTTCGCACTTCTCGATGTGTAAGATATTCCTCGTCTGCACAACAACAAGAGCTGTCTGCTCCACCATGCCATGCTTGACGAAAACGTTTTGTTCATAATATTTGCTTATAAACATATTATAGCATTAACATATATTCTTCATTTGAATTACATTCTTTGTTGTCTTTTTCTGCAATACTAAATCCTTAATATAGTTTACCGCAGATGGTATGGTTATGCTATCACCACCAAGCACAATTACTACACGATCCTTTAATTAAAGTAACTTTACATATTACATTGCATTTCGTAGTTGGAAAGAATATAGTATACATTGAAACTCCGAACAGGAACACCAAATGCTAACCCTGACAGAGAGCTTCCATTTACTGTCGTCGTCCGATTAGCATAACACATTGTTTAACATAAACAACGAATACATTCAATGACATGTTTTTAATGTTTGATTACAAGAAATTGTAACACAGAACAACTTAAATCATCTCATAAGGATGTAAACAAGCGCACGTGATACCAGCGGCAATTGGAACCCCCACTTGCAATTTTGCATATGTCGGAGGCAGATTGGCTGTATTTGGTTATATTTTTTTCGTAAGCCGGACTTAGCCGACATATTCCGACTGTTCGCGCTAGCGTCTGTCAGCTGATCGCTCCTAGACCTCTCCTACTACAGTTAGGTATACAACGTTATCAGAAACCCGCTGACCTCAGAAAGTACGTGTTTCACGTGTGGCTTTCACTCTCAAGGTAAGATGTGAATGCTGAAAAATTAACTGATTAAATCCATGGTTATCAGTATTTTTATTGTGATAATTCCGTGATGTTTGCAAATGCAATCAAGATTAGATTTCCGAACAAAGTAAATCGGTGGTTATGTTATTCTGAAGTAAAGATGATCTACAGAGTGACTTCTAGGACATAAATTGTAGGTTATCATTTCCGAAACATTTATTCCGTGACATGTCTCGATCTCATGCTTTGACAGCATGTTCTCTTTGAACCGTTCTTTGCTTGAGTACCGAACAATGCACAGCAGTAGGCCCAGTGAGATATTATGAGAGAAATCAATGGAAGTTTCATGGACACTGTGGGATTTGATTAATTACCAGACGATGTACATTTCATTTGATAAAATGTTAGGCTTTACTGTACACAGGATATTTTAGTATGAGAAAAGTAGTAGAAATTAGGTTATTTTAAGAAAATCATGTAACTTCTGGATTTACTTTTTATTGTAAGGTAATGTAAGAACAGTTAGTTAATATTATTTAATAGTGGGCACATACATAGGGCACATACATATGGTTTTGGACTTAAATTTCTTTATGTCAATGAAAAAAAGCATCTGTACTCATGTTTTTAAAACATGTTTCCTCAAGTCTGTGTTCATTGGTTTTACAGCTTCTAAAATGAAACTTAAAGACAAATATTACTTGTTAGTGTTACAGAAGTTGTTTGAATATCCTATGACCTATTCAACTCCCATGTGCCAGTTTGTCTTTGAGGTAAGGTCGTATATGTACATTGATACACTGTCTGCGTTTACATTGTCTAATCAATGTCCCATGTGCAAGTGGGATGTTGTTGTAAGCTAACATTGCCCTGTGTAGATTGTCTGGAGACGATTCAATATGGGTGTTGTTACATGATTCAAAGAAAGAGAAAATGCCTTGGGATATTTAACATGCAGCTATTTCCTCTTGGCTAGCGTCGATAACCCTGTGTAGAATGTAGCTTAGAACAGGTCGATCCTCAGCAACTTCTTTGGTCATAAGTGGTTATCATATGAATTGTAAGGTTCCAGTAGTGGTCAGGCTTGGTGACTTTGTTAAACCCTGAAGGCAAGGATTGTCTCTCACAATTATCAAACCCTTGACAGTCTGGTGAAGACACTATTACTTACAGCAGCTTCAGCTTAGAAAACAACAATCAGTTTGCTAAAGACCTCATATGTGTGGCATTCATATGAAAAGAAAATACTACCAAAATGATATCAAAATTGATAAAAGTTACTTTATTTTCAAAATTAGCAAAAGTTGTTTCATGTATTCCGTTGCTCATATCATTGATATATCATGTAAAGTATTTGAGCAGTGTTAATGCTGAGTCATTCACTGGAAGGGGTCTGGTTCTGTTTGTAAGCCAGATTCTAGGCGGTAGACTTTTATCAGACATGTGACTGAATGATCAATATCAAGAGACAGATCACAGCTCCCAGGAATGTTATTTGTCAGCACACATGTAACAGGTGTAAGAAGATGTATCCGGCAACAGCAGGTTGGACCGCAACAATATTTACATTGCTCATGCTTGTCAAATCTCTTGAAAGGCAAATGTAAATTTATTTTTTAACTACGTTAACAGAACAAACCATTGTTTGTAGTCTGCATTACTATTGACCATGCTTGTCTCGGAGGTGCGGTGGGGGCTTGACTCCGTGAGGAACTCTTAAAGCAGTGTGTACTTAAACACACCACACTAAGACTTTGTTATTTAAGCTCACCTGGATCAAAAGGCCCTACTTGAAATGTTTCTTGTTTAGAAGAATATTGAAAGAGTGAGCATAACTGTTTTTCTCTCATTATTATTTGATTATGGGTAAACAAATCTATTTGCAGATATTTCTAGTGTTTTAATTAATTTTGTTTTGATCTTGATCATGAAATATATTTAGCATGTTTAATGCAGGTGAGCAACAATTTAACACCCTTGACATAAAAGTGAAAAACAATTAATGTTTCTGTTGCACAGCCAGGTATGTTCAGCTTGAACTGGAACACAATAATTAAAGATCCTACTTGAGAGGGGTGACACTACAGAAGAAGCAATAAAAATAACAAATATCTGTGATATTCATGGCAAGTCTTGATAAGGCCAGACCAATTTTATTTCTTGTTTTACGGATCCGCCGGTCATATTTTTTAAGAATAAGAAAAAAAATATATATATTTTCCCCGCTCAAAACATAAAATTTAATATTTTTTGGGCCAAAAATGTAAATGTGCAAGAAAATGTTTTAGATTGTTTTTTGCCCCATATACACTTCATAAATTGCCAAAAGTGAAATACTGTTAGTATTAAAAGGAACATTACTTTGACTGGTGATTTGTATTTTTCTTTTTTTTTCCTCCTGCCTTTAGGTTTTCTGAGGACAAATATCTGTAAAACAAGAAATAAAATTGATCTGGCCTAAATGTATGTGTTCTTTAAGAGGTAAATTCCAAGTAAGACACCAGTATAGTGTGTAGTTACCATGGCAATGAACCCTTAAAAGGAAGTACAAAGATATTGTTAAAGGAAAATCTATTGGAATGATGAAAGTTTTCCGGGCAAACCTATCTGAAACATGCCTAGTCTTATTTATGAAATAGTGATGTAACATTTGCAAGAGTCCTTCCTACAAGCATCTAGATTTCCGTGACTGGTTACGATTGACATGTATAGCACATACCAGGATTGGAATAGTTTTTTTGAAAGTGGAAAAGGGCTAAGGAAATATGAAGGATTTTTATATTTTGTTATACCAGTATTTTTATTTAGCAATGTGTCAGTGACAGCAAAATAAATATAACTCAACTATGTAATATTTTCGGTGATTATTTGAGTAAACAAGTTCCTTCACTGATTACATAATTTTAAGGATGATGTAGTACTGTAAGTATCTGTGCACAGAGATTTCAGGGGTTTTTTCTTGTGGAAAGTGAGGTATATTTTGTTTTGGTTTTCCTTGATAGATGATATCATAGAAAACTGTCCTGATATCCTGGAAAAGTCATCACAAAATCAAGGTATAATTGAAATGAATCAGTAGTTTTAGATGATAATACATGTAAATGACATTGTGGAGTACACTACTGCATACATCTTGCTATGTGAGGAGACTACATCGAACAGATTATGTATCTATAAGTTGTCATGGTTACTTGCTTCGGAGCATAATCATAAAATATAAATGATAATTCAATTAATGCTCAGTTGTTCTGTTTTCTCAAACATGAAACTTTTCTTTGATTTATATTACTCAACCTAGGGGGCATGGTAATTGGTATTTAATCGTAGTCAAATGTCTGTATATTCCATGATTAAATATATTTAAGTAAATGAAAATTTAAATCAGAGTTCCGATCCACAAAGTGTTTGTAGCGTTACAAGCTATCATAACTATTGAGTTTATTATAGAGTTATGAATATCATAGTGCTACGGACGCTTTGTGGTACATCAGATATCGAGCCCTATTAAATGGTGTTCCAAATGCCGCATTCAGTATGCTGGATGGATGAAACATTTACGAATATCATATCATAGTGCTACATTGACGCTTTGTGAGTACGTCAGATGTAGTATGGAATGGACGCTTTGTGGTACATCAGATGTCGAGCCCTATAAAATGGTGTTCCAAATGCCACATTCAGTATGCTGAATGGATGAAACATTTACAAATATCATAGTGCTACGGACGCTTTGTGGTACATCAGATGTCGAGCCCTATTAAATGGTGTTCCAAATGCTGCATTCAGTATGCTGGATGGATGAAACATTTACAAATATCATAGTGCTTTGGACGTGCTTTGTGAGACGGCTTTGTGGTACATCAGATGTCGAGCCCTATTAAATGGTGTTCCAAATGCTACATTCAGTATGCTGGATGGATGAAACATTTACAAATATCATAGTGCTACGGACGCTTTGTGGTACATCAGATGTCGAGCCCCTATTAAATGGTGTTCCAAATGCTGCATTCAGTATGCTCGATGGATGAAACATTTACGAATATCATAGTGCTACGGGCGAGCTTTGTGGTACGTCAGATGTAGAAAGTCTGGACGCTTTGTGGTACATCAGATGTCGAGAGCCCTATAAAATGGTGTTCCAAATGCCACATTCAGTATGCTGAATGGATGAAACATTCACTGAACATCATAGTGCTACTGACGCTTTGTGGTTACGTCAGATGTAATAAGTCTGAGGGCGCTTTGTGGTACATCAGATGTCGAGCCCTATTAAATGGTGTTCCAAATGCATTCAGTATGCTGGATGGATGAAACATTTACGAATATCATAGTGCTCACGGATGCTTTGTGGTACATCAGATGTCGAGCCTTATTAAATGGTGTTCCAAATGCTGCATTCAGTACACTGGATGCATGAAACATTCACTTAATATCATAGTGCTTTCTGGACGGCTTTGTGGTACGTCAGATGTCGAGCCCTATTAAATGGTGTTCCAAATGCTGCATTCAGTATGCTGGATGGATGAAACATTTACGAATATCATAGTGCTACGGATGCTTTGTGGTACATCAGATGTCGAGCCCTATTAAATGGTGTTCCAAATGCTGCATTCAGTATGCTGGATGGATGAAACATTTACGAATATCATAGTGCTACGGATGCTTTGTGGTACATCAGATGTCGAGCCCTATTAAATGGTGTTCCAAATGCTGCATTCAGTATGCTGGATGGATGAAACATTTACGAATATCATAGTGCTACGGATGCTTTGTGGTACATCAGATGTCGAGCCCTATTAAATGGTGTTCCAAATGCTGCATTCAGTATGCTGGATGGATGAAACATTCTACGAATATCATAGTGCTATGGATGCTTTGTGGTACATCAGATGTCGAGCCCTATAAAATGGTGTTCCAAATGCTGCATTCAGTCTGCTGGATGGATGAAACATTCTACGAATATCATAGTGCTTACTGGGGCTTTTGTGAACGGCGTCAGATGTCGAGCCCTATTAAATGGTGTTCCAAATGCTGCATTCAGTATGCTGGATGGATGAAACATTTACGAATATCATAGTGCTATGGATGCTTTGTGGTACATCAGATGTCGAGCCCTATTAAATGAATTGTTCAAATGCCGCATTCAGTATGCTCGATGGATGAAACATTTACGAATATCATAGTGCTACGGACGCTTTGTGGTACATCAGATGTCGAGCCCTATTAAATGGTGTTCCAAATGCTGCATTCAGTATGCTGGATGGATGAAACATTTACGAATATCATAGTGCTACGGACGCTTTGTGGTACATCAGATGTCGAGCCCTATTAAATGGTGTTCCAAATGCTGCATTCAGTATGCTCGATGGATGAAACATTTACTGAATATCATAGTTACTGCTACGGACGCTTTGTGGTACATCAGATGTCGAGCCCTATTAAATGGTGTTCCAAATGCTGCATTCAGTATGCTGGATGGATGAAACATTTACGAATATCATAGTGCTACGGACGCTTTGTGGTACATCAGATGTCGAGCCCTATTAAATGGTGTTCCAAATGCCGCATTCAGTATGCTGAATGGATGAAACATTTACCTGGTACACGGATGCCAATAATTCAAATTAGTTTTTCGTTTTTTTCCTTTTAAAGGGTGACAAATAAATAAAATCCAAGTCTACTTTACTTGTACCAACTAAGCACACTGATATGGCTCTTGGGGTAGAGAACTGGATGCCATGACAAGAGTGGGGGACTGGCACCATTTTAAGTGAAAAAGTTCACCTTGATAAGCCGTTGACATAGTGACTTAGTCATCGTTCAAATCAATCCAATATTATTGTGACAGTATTTCCTGTAGATGCAGATGGTGGAAAATGATTCCTTGCTCTTATGTGTTCGTCATATTCCTTATTAATGACCAGTCCTGGTCATGGTCAGGGTGCAAAATAGTTTCCAAATTGTGCCTGCCAGTTGGGCTAGCTATGCCTGAAAGTTACTAGCCCACATAATGATTCACTAGCCCGAAATTTGAATGTAGAAACTAAGCAAAAGATTACAAAAAGGTAAAATACCATCATTTATCAGGACATAATTTTGCATGATTTAAAAGTGTGTTATGACTTAACAAGTCAGAGAGAGCGATATATTTAAAAAATAACCCCATGAAAATTCACTAGCCAGTTGGGCCAGAGACTCTGGAGATTTACTGGCCCGATTGGATTTTTACTAGCGACGGGCTAGCAGGCCTGTGGCTATTTCGCACACTGGTCATCGTGGCAGGAATATCAATGCATTTACAACTTGTGTATCTAGATAAAGATTTTCTATGTGTCTGCCATGATCTGAAATGTGTATTTGTGTGTTTTTATATTTTGCTATAAAAATATGTTCGGCTAAGCAGTGATCTCGCAACTAAAGATCTGATATCAGTAGATGACATAACCATGTAATATGTTAGTATTGTTTATGCATATAATCAGATGATGAAGACCATTTTGCTTGTGGTAGTAGATTTCTGACATTATCCTTTCAGATGCGGCTTGTGATTTTAGAGAACTATGACTCCGTGTCCCAGTGGGCTGCCAAGTATGTCCGGAGGAGAATACTGGACTTCAAACCTGGACCCGATAAATACTTTACCCTTGGACTGCCAACAGGTCACTATGGTTACACGGCACTTTATCACTGTTGACGGATTTTAGAACTATGTCACCTGGGGATTTCCCCTCTCTTGAATAAAAAAACCCCATGATATAACAGAAATACTGTTCATTGTACATGTGGCTTAAAACCAGACTCACTCACTGTTTAAATGGATAGTTACACATTCATTACATATCAGTACATTCATCAAGCACCTGGATTAGAATAGGTTCCCAGCACTCTACAGCTGGTTGTTCAAGTCAGTTACTTGGACCATCGCCATCTTACCGTGTTAGTGTGTTGGTGTTCTTGAATTCAGTCACATATTGCTGACCACAGTGCTGGACAACACATTCAAAAAGGAATCATTTCTGTTTGTATGCAATAACTTGAAAGCAGTGCTGATCAGCTGCAATACGCTTTCCCTTTGAATACCTCACCTCACCTCACCTCACCTCACCTCACCTCAGGGGCAGTAGGGTAGCCTAGTGGTTAAAGCCTTCGCTTGTCACGCCGAAGACCCGTGTTCAATTCTCCAGATGGGTACAATGTGTGAAGCCCATTTCTGTTGACCCTGCCGTGATATTGCGTGAATATTGCTACAAGCGATGTAAAACACAACTCCCTCACCTCACCTCACCTCACCTCACCTCACCTCACCTCACCTGCACCTGCCTCGCCTCGCCTCGCCTTCCTTGGTAACCTTGTCTTCTAAGGTTGTATGTCTGTGTCCCAACTTTTGAAATATGTATATGCAATAGTGTAACTGATTTCTATACCCCAGGCCTAAAAAGTTAAACCCATAACTTTGCAATCATTTAATGGGTGTTTTTCAAATTTGAGTAATGGTTTCTTTGTTTGTTGGAAAGGTGCAGTGTTGTTCAGCTGAAGTTGGGAGTCACGGTCAGAGTATTAGTTAGCCTTGCTCACATTTTTTTGGTTTGCTGTTTGTAGCCATGGTTTGTGAGCAATTCTGGATCACATTCATGTGATTATGTTATGCATGAAATGACTACAAAGTGTTCTCTTGTCTTTACTGTTCAAATTGGGCTGAAATATTGCTGATGTGACGTACAATTTTAACTCACTCACTTTAGTATTCAGACCAGTGTATAAAAACAGTAGTCTTCAAAACTGGACATGTACAAGCCTGACTGCCAGTGGAATATGAATTCTTGTGCTCCTTTTGCAATACCTGTGCAGAATAGATCACATGTACACCTTGTTTGTAGTGTTGGGTATCATAAGAGCCACCGGATCTCAGTTCATTGCTCTATCACTCATAAACATTCTACACCGTAGGCCTGATAAGCAGTGATCATGAGCAAGTTTAAACAGGGTTTTTCTGGAGTTCCATAAAATATACATAAAAGTTTATTGTAGAATGTTGACAGCCATGTTATATTTAATGATGTTCCATGAATGTTTATTGTCTGGGTACTGTGGGTTATAGCAACCAGGGTCCCGTTTCACAAAGCTCTCATAGCACTACGACTATCGTAAGTCAATGTTATAGTATAGGAGGTAGGAATGCTACGAGGAAAGTTACGAGATCTTAAGCTTACGAGAGCTTTGTGAAACAGGACCTTGTACACTGTGTAGGTCACTGTACCCTGTGGGGCGAACTGCAGCTTGAATGCATTGAATATCTTCAATTATCCTCGAGACCCGGGTTCGATTCCCCACATGAGTACAATGTGTGAAGCCCATTTCTGGTGTCCCCACCGTGATATTGCTGGAATATTGCTAAACGCGTGTAAAAACCAAATTCACTCACTCACTCAATTATCCTCTTTCATGATGAGAAAAATATATCATCATTTCAGATTAAACATGGGATGGGATCTGTCAGACAGAAAATTCCTTATTGAACTGTCTGGTATTAGATTTAAATATTTTATGTTTGTTACAAAAAAATTCATTTTTCTTACATTATTTCTTAAGATGTCTCTGTTGCAGGAAGTACTCCACTTGGTATGTACAGGGCCCTGATAGAGTTTCATAAAGCTGGTAAACTCTCCTTCAAATATGTCAAGACTTTTAACATGGATGAATATGTAGGTAAGTTCACAAACAACCTGACCTTGGCTGGTATGAGGAACTATCTTCTAAACACAGTGATTCTGCTGCTCAGTCAACTCTCCCATTTCTCCAGCTGGGAGTTGCATCATTGCATATGTTAACGATCTGTGTACATGTGTTGTATGACATCTAGTACAAGCAAACAAAACATCATTGTTATCCCCTACCAGTTTAACTCTGTGCATTATTATAAAGTATAGCTTATACCAGCGTTGCAAACTCCCGCCTGCCCGACTGTCCGAGACGGTCTGTTTTGCGACCAGACGGTCAGTTTAAAAATGTTGCACGTCCGATGGTCTGGCTGTTAAATCAAGGTGATTTTGTAATGTATATAATGACCAAAGCCTGGACTAAAAAACATTTGAAAACGTGTGTTATTGTGACAATAACCTGACATTAAACAGATACCTCCTCTTATTAACGTAACCTTCTTTCTATTTTTTTTAATCTAGAAAATTCTGGAGTGGCAACTTTCCAGCTGGTCTGGTAACCTTTGAGAGTTACCAGACCAGTTGTCTGGCTGAAATTTTGGGGAGTTTACAACACTGCTTATATCTCATTTTACCATAAGCGTTGGCTCGTCACGCCGAAGTCCTGGGTTCGAATCCCCACATGGGTACAATGTGTGAAGCCCATTTCTGGTGTCCCCCGCCGTGATGTTGCTGGAATATTGCTAAAAGCGGCGTAAAACCAAACTCAGTCAGTCATTTTACCATAAAATGCTGAGCTTTCGAGTACAGATGACTGTTAAAACCTAATGATTCTCTGTTCTTTAAATGCTTTCAGTACCTTTCAAGAATGTTAATTAGTTATGGTTATCTTCAGCAGACCAAGATTTTCATCTGACAGCAATGTTACTTTTACTATTTTCAAAACTGTAAACATTAATTTCATAACAGAAGTAGCAAGAACAAATTGAACAATTGAAATGAAATGTGATGGTTTGTTTGTGTATTGTCCCACTCTCTATATTGTCACACAACTCTCTGTGTAGTCACACAACTCACTATATTGTCACACAACTCTGTGTAGTCACACAACTCTCTATATTGTCACACAACTCTCTGTATAGTCACACAACTATATTGTCACTCTGTGTAGTCATATTGTCACACAACTCTGTGTAGTCACACAACTCTCTATATTGTCACACAACTCTGTGTAGTCACACAACTCTCTATATATTGTCACACAACTCTCTATATTGTCACACAACTCTCTGTATAGTCACACAACTCTATATTGTTCCACTCTGTGTGGTCACACAACTCTCTATATTGTCACACAACTCTCTGTGTAGTCACACAACTCTCTATATTGCCACACAGTCAACCACCAGTTCCATTTAGTTGCCTCTCAAAACTAATATAGGCTGCTTGCTTAGGGCCTGATTTCTGAGATCAGATGTGCCACCAAAGTTTCATGAAAGAATATATGTTGGTTTATAAGTTATGCTCTGCAAAATGAACCCCTCATTTGAAAAGCATAAACAAAAGGCCCCAGTTCAGCTTCTATCTGATATGTATACAAAGTTTTATGATAAACCTATGAAAATGATTTGTACCCTTGTATCAAACTGGGGCGGTGGGGTAGCCCAGTGGTTAAAGTGTTGGCTCGTCACGCCGAAGACCCGGTTTCGATTCCCCACATGGGCACAATGTGTTAAGCCAATTTCTGGTGTCCCCTGCCGTGATATTGCTGGAATATTGCTAAAGCGGCGTAAAACTAAACTCAGTCAGTCAGTTGTATCAAACTTGAGTCATATTTGTGGCTTAGGAAAATTCTTGAACAGCAGACAGCACCATTTCAGTGTTATTTGTGATGTATATACAACCTTTCAAATAGAAACATTTCAGTGGGTTTTTTTTAATTGCTCTGGAAACTAAATATCTTGGACTACAATGTACTGTTTTAGTGCATGTAAGATATGCTTCCTCTGTATTTCTTGCTGTTTAGATTGTTGAAAATGTTCTGTACACATTTGAATATTTGCTTTCAGACAGATTTGTTGACCTGTTATGTTTAATGTTACATGTTCACAGTAATTTCTGGGCAATGTTGAAAAATCATGGACATTCATTATATAGTATGTATTATGTACACATCTACAAAAAGTGTTCACTGTACTTAATAAATTTCAGTAGGTAATAATTCCATTATAGACCACTATGCATTAACTCACAGGCCTTCCGAGAGATCATGCTGAGAGCTATCATTCCTTTATGTGGAACAACTTCTTCAAGCATATTGACATTGTGCCAGAGAATGCTCACATCTTGGATGGAAATGCCGCAGACTTGGAAGTTGAATGTGACAGGTTTGAGGCTGAGATCACAAAAGCAGGAGGAATTGAACTCTTCATTGGAGGTGAGAGGACTTTGTCACACTGTTGTCTTGTGTATGTGCCAGCAGTGTAAATGTTGGATAGGGAATAAATCATATTATCGTATTGTTGCATTAAATCTGATTGGCCTGCAACTATTTTATTTAAAAAATTTATATACTTTGCTAATCAACGGAGATCTTGTTGGAAACATATTTAAGGTTGCATGTGAAATGCTTGTCAAGAAAAAAATGTACTATAGTATTTTACAGTTACATAGATTAAGCTGATAATTTTTTTTTTAAATCTGAGGAACCTTGTAATGATACATGTGTCATACTTTGTAGTTAAATGTAGCTATTGTGAAATTTAGCTAATTTTATGAGGAGTTGTTACTCTGCTCACTATAAATGGTCAAAGTTAGAGCTCTCAGATCTACAGTTTGACTTCCTCAGATTTCAAAACACAGTTGGTTTATCTCCCTAATTATTTACCCATTCCAATTTTAAGAAATTGTGAAACAGCCCAGTATGAAAAATTGAGCCTGTATAGAAACCGAATTCAATTTACATTCAGATGGGGTAGTTTTCTTTGATGAGGTTGTGACATTATTAATAGAGCACTGAGTCATATTGTTCACAATGGAGCATCATATTACTTCATCCTTACAACCAGATTTGCAAATTTGCTGAAATGCACATAAAAATATTGTAAAGTTACAACACTTGAATTTTCTACCATTATTGGTGATATTTAAACATTGTCCAACATTGTGCTTCAGGTATTGGCCCTGATGGCCACATCGCCTTCAATGAGCCAGGGTCGAGTCTGGTGTCCCGCACCAGAGTGAAGACCCTCAACCAGGACACCATATTGGCCAACGCCCGTTTCTTTGATGGCGATATGTCCAAGGTTCCTACAGAGGCTCTCACAGTAGGCGTGGGGACTGTGATGGATGCAAAAGAGGTGAGTTTGTTAACTGTATCCAGTTGGTAATTAACTTCTTTAAGTTGCATTTAGAAGTTGGTGTGATGAACAAGGGGATAGTTCAATGGATATGCAAATTCTTTTGTACAATATAGGGCTGGGACGGGTAACCTGGATACCCGGTACGGATGGGTATAATGAGTTGGACCAGGGTACCTATCTCAATACCCGGACCCGTTATGATCATGTGACTGGTAGATTAAACAATGTAATATGTTATTCTTTCATGATTTAAAGGTGGTAATGTCTTTGAAGCTTTAGACATAATTACAGTCATCTCTTTTGAATACATGGTTAAGATATTGAAAAACTTGATATTTTAGCCTTCGAGCTGAAGAATATTTCACCATTTCTTACAAAATTGTTGTCAGGAATTAACATATCGGGTATACGGGTAGGGTAGGATGATGGGTAGGCTACCCGGGTAGAATATTTGGATCCGTCACAGCCCTAGTACAATATGTGTGACGTTTTGGTATAGATGTTAACACTTTTAGCAAGCAAGTGCTTGCAAGCATAAGGGTTGCATATTTCGTAATAAAGACGTACATCCACAGAACTATCCCCCTTGCTCAGTCTGTTATTGTCTGTATGTTTATAGAAGCAATACAGTTGAACTGAATGACAATAACTGGAACATGACTGCAAAGTACTTTCTGTTAATATAATTGTCACAATCACCTTTATCCATTCATGTTGTGTGACTTTTATTAATTTCTGTTGATATAGGATACTATTGATAGGAATATGTAAATGAGAATTGCAATTTCAAGGCTCCATGTTTTATTTGGTGGGGTTAATAGTGGCAATAAAGTATATTGAAACAATACTTGCCATTTTGGTACAGAAGACCTGTAATGAAAATGACAGCCTTTAAACAGGAAATTGGGATTTTTACTAAAATGTAGTTTAACATTGCACTTGGTGAGTATTTTCAATGCAATAATCATGATAATGAAGAATACAGAATTAAGCATTAAAACCCCTATTTATTGGTACTGTTATGATTGAAAACAGGTTTTCTCTACAAGGCCATAAAAGTAGTTAGCGAGGTATCATATATCTGTATTAACATAAGATGGGATATTTGTAATATTCCATTTTGGGAATTTTAAGGACATTTGCCGTCAGCTTTGGTAAAAATTTCAGCCTCTGAGTATGTCTAGATAAATCCCTTCAATAAAAAAGTTGAGCATCCATAAAGACTTGTCATTCCTGATATGAGAGTGTTTTGCCAGGTAATGATTCTCATCACTGGAGCTCACAAGGCACTAGCCCTGAGCAAGGCCATTGAGGAAGGTGTGAACCACATGTGGACAGTATCAGCATTCCAACAACATCCCAAAACCATGTTCCTCTGTGATGAACCAGCCACGTTGGAACTTCGAGTGAAGACGGTCAAATACTTTAATGGACTTATGCATGTTCATGACAAGCTTGTTGCTGAGCCCGAATAAAAGAGGCAAAGTTGAGAGAGATATAAAATTAGTTCTTACTGATTACATGACAGAGAAAATATGTATTTGAACTGATTTTTATTTTTGAACATGCTGAATGAATTGGGAATATATTCCAGCTAATTATTAGCATCATATTGCAGAGAACAGCAGTTTAAAACAATTGAAATATGAAACCATGTGTTTATGATGTATGTAAATGAAGGAGAATTTCATCTGAATATATTCCAATAAACAGGAGGATCGTTAAACTGTATATCAAAATTTCAGTAACATGCTTGGGTTTATTCCAAGGTTTTGTTTTGAAAGAGAATGATAACATTTTATATGACATTTGCTCAAAAGTTTTACTATTACTCAAATAAATGATGGGGCCTCGATTAAATGCCATACAGTTTTTATGCAAGGAATTCACCTCCTTATTCTTTGTTATTAAATTCTAAGGTAATGCCTGTGTGAAAGAAATATGTGCCTGGGGATTTAATCGAGGAAAAATGGTAAGTATTATGATGTACATAGGTATTTTCCAGAGACACTTTTGCATATCTGAGTGCCAGAGTTTAATGTCAATTGTTACTCTTTTAGTTTCATACAAGTATGATCTTGTTTCACATATATTTTTCATCAGTTATGGGTCTGACAATTCTTGTAATCTCAAATCAGCTTCCTCTATTCATCAAGGTTAAGGGTTGTAAGCCGTAAGTTCACAATTTACACTAAGTTCACAATTTGAAAACATCACATTTCTATTTTAAGCAAGGCTAAACTTTGTCGACATATGTCATGTACAATATGTCATAGATCAATAAAAAATGCTAGAAAAGTAGTGCTCTGTACACAAAGCCCACATCTGAGCTTGTCAGTAAGCAAAGGAGACTAAACTTTGTCGACATATGTCATCCATCAATGATATGTCATGGATCAAATGAAAAATATACTGCTTCTCTAGGTGTATGTTTTAAAGTTTTAGCATGTGTTTATGTTATTTTATTACCTGGATACAGTGTGCAAAATAGCCAGTCAAATGTAGATGTTATGCAGTCAAATGTAGAATGCCAAATGTATAAAGGTTGTAGTTTCCTCTTGTTTAGTGTCAGTTTATGGGTCTAAGAAAGAAGTACATTATGTGTTTGCAGTGTATGAAATAAGCCAAAAACCCAGCCAGACATCAGGGCTGGTAACTTCAAAATATTACCAGCCCAAAATGGATTTAACCAGACCAGACACCAAGATATGTATGGAACATCTAAAGGTTTTACCAGACCATCGGGCTGGCTAGCTCTAAATCTAGACCGTCCGTCAGAAATCTAGCCCATCTCGGGTGGTCAGGATGGGCCTAAATTTCATACACTGGTGTTTGGTATATTTCTCCAACAAGTAATCCTGGTGCTGTGACAATCATATTCTATGTCAGTGCAAGAGAGGCAAAGAGGTAGCCCAGTGGTTAAAGCAATGGTTTGTCACTACATTGACCCTGGGCTGGTGCCCCACTTCGGTACATTATGTAAGCCAATTTGTGATTTCGCCCTCTTTGAAAATGTGCCAAGAGAGGAATACGACCTTACTCATAAGGTAGACCTTTTGACATCTATACTTTCTGGCAGGTAAGTACATTCCTCAGTAGTCTTTAGCTAGAAGCAGCCTAAAACCAAATGTGAGGATGTTAGATTGTTTTGTGCAATGCAGCCACTTTGGTAATTTGTTGAAGAATCTTACTTTAATAAGTTTTGCTGAGTGTCTTTGTAAATGTCAAAAGTTGACACATTAGGAAGTACTGGGGTCCTGTCAAATATTATGAGGAGTCCAGTGGGAATTTGAGGGATGGTCATAAATAGAGAATCTCACCCGAGTGTCTTTTGATATCAAATATATCACCACGAGTTGATAAAGTAACAAATATCCGAGGCTTGCCGAGGATATTTTCACTTTTATCAACAAGTGTTGATATATTTGATATCAGAAGACACGAGGGTGAAATTCTATTTATCATCCAAAATCACTCTTCATTAGTTTTCAATGAAAAATGTACATCTCTGAACACAATACTGCCATTAGATTTGCAGTGCAGCGATGTCATAGCATTGTGATGTCATCAAGTTCATGACATCATAGCATTGTCAGGGCATTGTACAAAATCTACTGTCAAAACGATATCTCCTAGGAGATATCGTCTGATCTGACACAAGCGATATCTCCTGTGAAACACAGTTTTGGATGATAAAGTATATGACAGTCTCTTGGGCAGGGTCCTAAGCGGTATTTAAACATGTAATTGGGGTCGGTAAGTTTAAGACTGATATTTTTTTTATTGAAGTGCTATGGCATTTTCTCGTCAGGAGGGGTCAAGGACATGGGGAAGGTCACCAAAAATACAACCAGGGCAACCATTCTGATTGGTCCTAAAGAAAGAGTAAAGGATTTATACCCGATATGATTACTACTCAGGATCTGAAATAATAAAAGACTGTTCCGTTGTTAATATAAAACTTTGTAACTTGTTCCATGTACGTCTTTCATTATTTCATCAAAGTACATGTACTTGAAGTGGTATCAAATGTTTGCTTGTTATTGGTTTTGCAACATTCAACTATGCCTTCCAAGTTTACCACTTTTTTTACACAATATGAGAATGCAGATAATTTTTTGCAATATTTGGCAAAATGGAGAACCCAAAAATGAAGTTACTTTGCTCTGGGTATTTAGGCTTGAGATAATCAAACACAACAATGGTGTATAGCTTTGAATCTCATTTAATGTGTTTCAAGAAGCACTGCCAAAATCATTTTCTTGAGTTGAAGTTGATGTTGCAGTTTTATTTTGTTTAAGTATAAATCCTTAGCATTTTATCATACATACTAATATTTAGATTAGATAAAGCACATACTAGTAACATTTATTTTAAATCGGGGCACTCCTAAACTTCTAAACACCTGTCTTCACTCGTCAGCGACGAAGACCCAGGTTCAATTCCCTATATGGGCACAATGTTTGAAGCCCATTTCTGGTGTCCCACGCTGTGATATTACTAAAAGCAGGGTAAGAAATTCCCAAAGTTTCAGCCATAGACCACAGGGCAGGATAGATGTAAAACTTGCCAGCCCTGACCAAAACTTACCTGCCCACAAAAAATACTAAATTACTTAGCATAATTAAATTAAAACATATACATGTCTAAATTTTAACCCGACCGTCAGGCAGGTGAATTTGAGAATCTGGCAGTCGGTGTTGAAAAAAAACCCCGTCCTGGGCGGTCGGGCAAGGAGGTATTTCAAATGCTGCTAAAAGCGGCTGAAACTAAACTCACTCACTTTAGAGTCATGTATTTTGAATGGGTGAGTAGTTAAAACTGTAATATACACAGCAACAATTTTCATGTTACAAGGTGTTGTCACAAAATGTTATTCAAATTAAGTATACCATTTTGTTTTGTCTTGATCAGATGGCATCGAAAGTTGTCAACTTTCATTTCCTGTTATGGTTTCTCTGATGTCTTGCCAGGTGATTACAGTAATGCTTACATGCATCATGCACCATGTAGCTCCCATGCTTTTTCTTGCCATGCATATTTCAACAGTTTCCTGTCTTTTATTTACATTTAAGCATAATACTTAATTCCTGTAATGTTACCCATATATTTATACATTTTACAGAATATATATTTCTATTAGATGTACTGAAGGTTGTATCAGAAGATCTAACTGAGAGTATTGTTTGGAAAGTCACTGGTAAATAGACCAACACAGCTCAATGGTCAAGTCCTCTCTACATCAGTCTGAACCGTATGTATGTATGTATTTCATGGAGAATAACGGTGAACATATGTGTAGACAGTAATCTGATATTAGATTATTTTGTCTTGTCAGCCATATTAGAAAGTTAAAGTGGAAATTTTATGATTTAGTGCATCAGTATTTATGACTAGAAAGTATTTGTCAACTAAGAATCTTGAAGTTGTGTTTTCATCAAATGTGAGGTTTTACACAATTATGACGTGTCCTTTGTATTGGAAAAATGTCCAATAGTCATGACTGGAGAGGATGTCGATACAAACTGACAATAGATAGAAACTAATCATAGTTTTTGAAGATATCTTAGTTTGGGAAAAAAGATGCATTATATAACAGAATTGTAGAAGATGTGTTGAGCCAGATCTTATATCATGATTTTGTCATATGCACTGCTATGTTGTGTTGATTGTATTTTTGTCATGTTACTTGTAATACATAGTGATAAGATTGACATTTTATAAACTATGTGATCTCTGTTTGATTATATGACAATGTGGGTGATTTACTTTATGATGAAATGATTATTCCTTGTGAGAGAAATATTTACTTAAATTTTATTGAATATTTCTTCTTTAAATAGTGTTATAACTATTGAAACAAATCTCCACACTGGAACACAGATCTATCTCCAGTTGTCTGAACTCTAAAACTGTATAAGGGCAGTGGAATGAATCTGGTTTAGTATTGCTATGTATTGCTGCCGGAAATATTGAAATGTGGCAAAATAAATTAAAATGTTTGCTCCTGTATCTTGTTTGTAGTTGTGCCAGTCTGTATTCTTGTCATGGCTTGGGAACCACCAGTTAGATGTTAATGTAAATGAATGGAAAGATGTATGGGATTGGGTGATGTTTGCCTATTCATCTTTCCATCAACTAAAATGTGACTTACATCACAGCATCAGCAGGATGTGTTACACCTTTGGCACTTTTCAAACAACACCAGTCATAGTGGATTAAAAAGAATGGGTGTTTTTATTCTCACAGTGCCACTATGTGAGGTAGGGTGACAAGTTTACACAGAATCCGACAGACACTACCAGGGGAAGGTGGCGAAATCAGACGGACACTTGGGCTGGATTGGCTTGTCCGTGTTCGTCCCTCCTTGTCTCTGGCTTGCCTTCTGCTAGTCTGTCTGTACTCTTCTGTCTGCCAGCTCCACCCTGCTTACCTATCATGCATGCGTTTAGAGGCAGATGTACGACTAACAATCTGCTAAGGTTGGCAATTCTCATGGACATAATATTTTACGCAAATTTTGATGAGCTTTAAATATCTCAAGTGTACACGACACATAGTGTTACTGTTGGAGTATGTGGGAAATTGATTGGAGATATTGAAGCAAACCTTAAAGGGGACCTGACGATGCAATACACATTTTACTTAATGACTACAAATAGCAAATTACCTTTTTCAAACTTGTGCATTTGTACCAGGTATCCAGGACAGAAACAGAATTATTCAAAGCCTTTGGTTGAGATGTGAATATCAGACTTCATTCTTGTTGCTTGTATTGCTGTGAAGTTGTTGACAGAAGCATACAACCCAACTGACTCTTGGCTCCAGTACATAGCTGTGTAACTAATGTAAGGTGATCTGTTTGGCTGATAACACATTCAGAGACACATGTAGTTGATAATTTATGGCTAGGGGGTGATGATGATTTCATGGGAGGGTTCACCCATTTTGTTCTGGGGAGCTAGGGGGGCAGCAATCTTGTACACACATACTAACGGGGGGGTGGGGTGGTCAGCAATTTTGTACATAAAAATATGTTTAAATTATGCTTAGAAATTATGGGAAGGGGGGGTCCATTGATTTTGTACATGACATGTAGGGGGAGGGTTTGTCACTTATTTTGTACATAAATTTTAGGGGGGGTCATTCACATTGTACATGCTTCTCCATAAAAATCATCATCATCGCCCCAGCCATAAATTATGAACAGTCCCTTACAAATAAATACAAATAAAAAATAAATACAAAAACTGAGCAAGAAATATTATATTAATAAATGCATTATCACAGATGTTGAAAGATTACTATAATGAAATGTAACAGTATACAATGCAGACAATTTTAACTCGTTAAGAAATACTCGGAGACAGATGATCCAGCACCAACTATGAAAAGAGATTCTAGCAATATCTTTAGAACAATTCAAGCAACATTGAGCATTCATACAGAAATAAATATAGTTTACTCTCAATTAGAATTCTGTGCTGATGTTAAAACCTTTATATTTAAAAGTTGAGTATTTGCTGCAGAACATTGATCCAGTAAACAAATGTTTCTAATGCTGAGTATGATGCTACCAAGGCAGCAGATCAAAGTGTAGCTTCCTTGCATTAACACTGATCCAGTCAACAAATACTTCTGATACAGAAACTGATGCTACCAATATTGCTGTTGAGTCCGCAGCACTGCCTCATGTACAAGTGTGATCATATAGTATAGATATCAAATGGTCCCACTGTGTGTTGTATTTTGGTATATTTGCTGTAACATCCAAAGTGATCTATGGCAATGTGTATGTATCATTCCTCCATGTTTCCAGTATGACCACAGAATCGGATCAGTTGAACATGAAACTGGTGCATGGCCCTGTCATTCTGTAAAGATTAAAATATCAAATGAAATCATTGCATAGAAAAAAGGAACTATTGATTACCTATGCTTGAATGTCATAATGGAGATGTTTACCAACAGTTTTGTCCATGAGATGGAACACTACTGATGTGAAACTGCTAGGAAGAATACACATGTATTTCATGGTGGCTTAAAATGAAACAAACAACAATTGGTCATGTGATGCTTGTGCATTCCATGCAGGTATAATAGTTATGCTTTGGACCTTATGTTTGCAGTGCATTGGAGACTGTTTTCAGTCTTGTAACATTTTGACTTTATACAGTTTTTGTCAAATTATATTGTCAAATAGTTTCATAGCCCAAAACATTCTTAGGTTTTATACATTAAAAATTGTGGTAAAAAATCGTATATACCTCTGGTCCAATAAACTCTTCAAAACACTTGCTTGTCACATGAGATCTTGGCTGCACATTCAATACGGACATTCCTGTACAAAATGTATTAAGATCAAGATTTGAAAACATGTTTGCATCTGATATTTACAATTTCAAAAACACAGAGGGGTCAACTTAAGACCTGATATCAATGTCAGATGCCTCAAGTAAGATCCCAATGAAATGGGATAGAGCAATCCCACAGGCTGTGGTAATACTATTTCCTTCTAAATAAATTGAGCTTAAAATACCACAAGTATTCCACAGTATGCTTGCATTGCAGTTAATCAATTTCATCACGTTAAACCAACCAAATCTTGCTGTAAGAATTTCCTCATATATCCTGATGGCCATGACAGCATCCTCCTCCAGCACCTGATGACGCAGACTGAGCTTGGCCTGGCCATGAGACAAGGACACCCTGCAATAGAGTACACAGTGTCACGACACCCTGCAGCATAATATGTACACACAGATTGTGCCTGGCCTGGCGAATTGAAGTGAAATGAAAGGCGGTTTAACGTTGTACTTAAGAATATTTCAATCATATCACAACGTACATGCGTGTGTATGTGTGGCTGCTTGTACTAGCCCAGACTTAAGCTGGTTTTATAGTGCCACCTCACGAGATACCAGGCCGCATTTAAGTATGAATGCCCCACTCAGACACATTATACTGACTCCGAGCCAACCAGTCCTTGTTGTATCCATTAATGCCGAACGCCAGACAGGGACCAACAAGCACCATATTTTAAAGTCTTTTGGTATGACGTGGCTGGGATTGTACCCGTGACCTTCGGCTCTCGGGCGGAAGCTCTAACCACTACACTACCGAGGCGGTTGTCTGGCCTGGCCTTCAGTGGGGTAACTGTCCACACAGACTATCTGACCCGGTTGCAAGACACTAACACCCTGCAGCATTTTGTACACATGGATTGTGTCTGGACTGGTCTTCAGTATGGTCACTCCACACAGCTTGTGTCTGACCTGGCATTGAGTGGGGTCACTCTCCATCACAAAGTACACACAGACCGTGTCTGACCTGGTCTTGAGCAGATACTTTGCAACATTTAAGTACACACGGATTATAATAGGGACACTATGAAAAACACAATACACACAGATTGTGGCTTTAAATGGTGATTAGGGACACTCTCCAACACAGAGTAAATGGTGATTGTAGGATTTAGATGCTGTAGGCTTAATATTAACATCTGGTTAATGACTTACTGTCAATATGCATTAGTATCTTTTTATTATTTTTCCATTCCAGTCCTAAAAATTAAATGATGCTTGAAATGGGATTTTGAGGATCTGATGGATGCATTTAAATTGCCTTCAATTTTCAGTTTGTGTGTTCATTAAGTATTGTTGCATGGTAACAACCACTACTAATGCAGTTGTACAGAAAGTACAGTGACTATGATGATATGTTCTTGTATACCTAACATCTAGCGTATTGCATGTGTCAAATTATATACACTGAAAGTTTGCAACTGAAGCAGTGATACATGTGCCAACAAGGTAACTGATGCACACATATTTTAAATTAAATTCTTCTTCTTTTTAAACATCTACCATTGTCACAATGTAGTAATTAAATTACCAAATGTTACAAAAACACAAACTGTTATATTCTAGCAGATGAAAACAACACTCATATAAGATAATATAGTTTATTCCATTCCAGCACTAAATTCATCAGTATTATTGCAACTTGTTCCAGAGCACTATTGAATAATATTTACAATTTCAGCATGTACAGCTTCAGTATTTCTCAAATGATTTCACAGCCGGAATCCTTCAATGTTGCCGATCGACTGTGTAATTTTTTTCCAATACTGACCATGTCTGCATGGTTTTTTTAAACCACTTCCAGATTATTGTCTGTCTGAGCAGTACCAACTGACCATCTCATTTGCCTACTCCAGATGTGAACACACAGACTGTGAGTTAACACTGTCAATTTGTAAATAGGCTAATTCAGCCATCTCAATGCTGGAATGGTCACTGTCCCCTGAGGGAAACACAAGATGTCCATGTGCCTAGATCTCTCGCATCTTCTTCAAAACTGACATCAGTCTCTAGGTCACTGTGTTGCTGGTCCAGTGATGAAGTGATATCACCGACAAATGCCTGAACTTCCTGCCACTTGAGTGAACAGAACACAGAGAACATTCTACGTACTCCTTCAAGGGCTGTTACACGCTCGGTCAGTGGGAGACGACATGCCGTTGGGAGTGTTTCAAGCTTATGGGTCAATCGACTGATCTCATTATCTGTGAAAAAAGCAAATATATATAGTAATACCATAGCAACTATGTAATCACCATTATAGAGATACTGAATTATGTCAGCATGGGATTCAATCATTATGTTTAACAATACTTGTCAAAGTGATTATGCATAATTTAAAAAGGTTGATGGTTGATAACGCTGTGTTTTTTTAAATTCAGGCAAGAAGAATAAATATTACATGTTATAGATTTTAGAGAAAATACATAATTACACTTTACATACATAATGTTGACAAATCTCATTTCCTTATACTTTTTTACATTAGAAGCTTGATGATGGAAGAGCAATGTGTTAAAAATTCTGTACAAATAATAACATGGATTTCACACTGCTGAATTGCACAAGACACATTTCAAAAGAAACATTGTCAGCCACTGTCTCAATCTGACTACTTCTGTATCCCTCTGACAACCATGAAGCTAACCTGAGCATGAGTTCTATCCTTGAGATGGAGGGTGGAACTGAACTGGTTTTGGTTGAGTTTGTACATAGGTACCTCAGTGTGTGCCAAATCCTAAAGTCTACACTTTTATGACAGGTTTCAATTGATAATATGTACACATATGGACTGTAACTGACTAAGATTACTCAAATGAACAGCATTTTACAAGACATGGGTTGAGGAAACCTAACTTCAGTTGATACCTACCAAGAGAATGAAGTTGTCGGGTGGCTGTGTTGTGAGAGATGAGGAGACATCTTAGTTCCTCTGCAGCAGCAACAGCATCCATGTTCCAGATTTCAGACTTTGACAGCAAATACAAGTCACTAGTGTAATTACATGCAGTATATACTGCTCTACCCTTGAGTCCAGAATGACATGATATCAGGTTCCACGAAATATATACTCGAGCTACACATATTAATGAAATTGTAATCTCCAGACAATAACAGATAGGCTATCACATTGGTACTTTGATGTTAGTCTGTGTTTTACCTAAAGAGTAAGATCAAAGTCTAGCCTACACAAACAATCATGGATTGGTACAAAGATCAAAGATTAATTATCACTAATCCTTACCCAAAACAAACACGTTGGTTCCAGTAAGAAGAATGGAATAAAACACTGAATGATAATAAAGGCAATGTTTTCACAACTAATCGGCTATCCAATTAACAGGTAAGAACAATGGGGTCATTACTTAACAGTATAACGCCTACAGTGTGAAGAGAAGCATTCCAAGCTGTTGGCGGTAATTGGAGACAATGACTTCATTATGGTCTTTTGTCTTTGAATTGGTAATTGGCTGAAGTTCTAAAACCTACTGGAAATATATGTCTGAACAACTTATAAATATTTCACTACCATACGTCGGTACAACTACTAGGGCACAAATAAAAGTCAAACAAATCAATATATATATACATACAAGAGAAAAGAAGGTTTCAGTGTATTTGTTTTATGTGTCAAAAGAATGTTAGTTTAAAGGTCACATGCAACCAAAACATCAAGCATAATTAAAACACAATTATCACTTATTCATGACATATAATATACATTGCTGGTTATGAAAAAACATATAAACAAAATTATAAGTGCAATATTGTGTACTTGGGTTTACTTCCCAAGAAACGAAGCAGCCGGGATACCGAACCCAGTCAGAGCGGGTGGGTGTGCACTCAAGTGTAACGGCTGGTTCATTTGCAGATGCCCTCACAGCTCATTGTGTGTGTATATATAGAGAGATGTTCGGTTTTGTAAATACATGCTCATTTTTTGTGCATAACATTTTACAATCAACAGACATCATAACATGTCATGTGTTCAAGTATCACACCTGCCTGTCTGTGTAATTACATAATGTGACAGAGACCGAACTCGGGCCATAAATCAATGCATTTTGTTTATGGTGTATAGCCTGATTGGTGTTAAGTTCAAATTGCATGTGGTCAGTGATAGCAGCTGTGTATTGAATATTGTCATTAGCAGACAGGCAGGCAGACACACAGGTGTCAATAAAACAAGACATTGAGTTTTGTCTGTGACAACGACATATCTATATCAAAGTTAGAAATTCTGTCAACGCTAAATAATGACATTGCTTTCAAGTATCGAACTGAGAAAGTGACTCGGTAAGAAGAACGTGTGGTGAAATAGACAAATGAAATTATATAAACAGTTAATTTACTGTCATAACATATAAAAAGCTCGTGCCTGTGAGATATTAACAAAACATTAGAAAAATAGCTCATACCAAAGCCTTCACCGAGTATTCACCGGACAACCTGCTTCCAAGCTGCGCGAACCTATTTTACTGCGCACGTGCTATGAGCACAGCCCAGCTGTTCAAACCAGATTTCCCCAAAAAAGTCTGGGGAAAATTAGTGAAACGTTTGAACTCCGATTTCGCGCGGTTTTTTTCATCGCCTTATTTTTCAACTTTATAAGCTGAATTTGCATTTTTGACGATTTGTTTCGGTAAGTCCATACCGAAAGGTATCAGAATCTGCAAAGTTGTGTTTTACGTTGCATGTGACCTTTAAGGATATAACTAACAAATAGATTTGTCCTAAATTGATACATATTGCCACAACATGGGATGTTTCTACCAGTTTGTGAGATTTATAAATATATCATTTTTTAGTGGAATTAGGTATTTGATAAAGATAGCAAAAACAATTCATGAGTATACAAGGTGAAAAACAAGAAATAACTTGAAGCAATGCATTCTGTATTTGGGATTACTCTTTTTCTTAGCAAAGTACAGATTCTGGTACTTTTATGTGTTCTGTCCCATCTGGGGTTTGAACCCACACTCTCAGAGTGAAGCTTGAAGCATTCATAAAGGGGGCTAGATCCTGACACTTACAGTGTTTCCAGGGCAGTGACGGGAACGCCTGTGCCAGTGTCTGAACAAGCTCGTGTCTTCCTACTGGCCTGGAAGTACGTCTGTAACAAGTGCAGGGCTTCACTGGTCATCTTAGTTCTATAGCTGCTCAGGTACTGGAAAAACTGCATTACAAAATTGTAAATTGGAAGACAAGTACACCATTTTGTGAATAACATGCTTATCTCTTCTATTAACAGACAAATTTGATATTCTTATTCTTATATATCTTATTCTAAAAATCACATGTGTAGATTGTGCAAATCATTTCACTCCAGGAATATACTGATTTGATATTTCCAGATGAATACCGTATTTCCCCACTACAACCATTACATAATGTAATGAGTAGGACAGTAATGATATTCGATACTTTAGCTAATGCCAACCCTATCATACAGGCCCTTAAACAAATATACCCAATAGAGCCAGTGCACCTGTTGAATATGTGACAAGAGTAGAATGATCCACTATTTCTGAAAATTGAGAAAGTTTCTGGTCTCTTATTTAATATTTTTGGTGAAGATAATTTAGGAACTGTTTTTTTTTTAAAATTATGTTCATTTCAGAGACTAGATGTTAGTCTAGCTGAAGTCCAAAGCCCACATGTCCTCCTTACTAGGAAGTAATAATAAACACATTAAGTTCATAAAGGTCAATTATATTTGATGGTTTCAACTTCCTTTAAAATATTTCAAAGGTAATTCAGTTTCTATCCGGTAATGGGACAATAAGATCTATTTAAAAGGATATCAGAAGAATAGAGCTCATAGATGCAACTGTAGAAATATTTGGCAATCATTTCAACTTGAAGTCAATGAACATTTGAAATAGACATAATGAGTACAAATAGGTCAGTTATTGGTTAAACAAATGTATATACAATCTATACAATCAGCTCAAGATGGATGCCCTGCAATTTATATAATGATCCACCTGTCTGAAGTCGTCAGCTGATACAGGTAGTTTGTTTTTCTGCTGTTGAGATTCCATAGACTGTACCAGAATCTGGCAGGCTGCGAGGGTATCGACCTCCTCTCTTGTCACTTTGTCATCAACATCAGCGTAACAGACACACCCAAAGCCACTGCACAGATGACACCAAAATTCCATAAGTTCAAGTACTTTAACAGTCCAAGTGATATACTTGGGTTTAAGTACATATAGGCATGATAAAGAGCACAAATATCAGTAACATGATTAGTGAAATTTGTTTCATTAGTGTATCTGACAGTAACATTACAAAGATGACATCTAAACTCTGTGGCATTTGTCAGGCATTCACTAAATGAATATTTACTTACAACTAGATATATTGACAACTTTACAAAACAACATTTTCTCTCACATGTAAGGACATGTCTAAATCCCTTAGTAAATGCCTGCTAATTCTGAATATTGTGTACAGTGTAGTAACATCTTCACTGTAATTTTTATGTTGCCATAATTAAACATACAGCCAAGAAAAAAGTGAATTTACTCCAGCACTGGTTTTGCAATGATTCCAGTGTCCTGATGACTGAACAGATCGTCAGATGTATTTCCTTTGTTGGGTTTGTTGTCTGAGTATCCCCATATCTGGCATGTGAGGGGTTGAACTGTGCGCTGGGGGAGGCCACCAGTGTGTTTAGCACCAAGCTCCAGGTACACTTTAGCACTGCCAAGTACTGCCAACAATCAATGCAACTTGTTAGTTCAGCACTACCAACACTCAACACACTTGCTGGCAAACAAGGATAAGTTGAGTACCGACCTGACAATTCACCTGTATTAGCATTTATGAGTGCCGCCCACTGGCGCATACCATTGTTAGTGAAGGGGCCCCAGGTTGTCCGCGATCAAGTGTAGTGCGACTTGCTACACCGACGTGAGAGTCTTATGAGCAAGGCGTGTGCATCTACTCGCAGATCAATTTCATCGTCATGCAATGCACATGCACTAACCTACATCTGCTCTACCTTTCACAAACCAAATGGATTCGCTCATTGCCATGCACAGCCTACTTCTCGTAAACGCGTTCTCTGTGCCGGTCCAACTTATCCTAGTTTGCCAGTAGATACTGTAACAAACTGGTGAAGATCAACACACCCTGTTATTACCAAGCACTACAAATACATTGTATAAACACAACAAGTAAGTGCCAACAATAAACACACCTGGGTACTGCCAACAATACACTTTATTACTGTCAAATACTGCCAACCATCAACACAACATTCATACACTTAATGATTTTTCAAATGTCCCTCCTTGTACCTCCTTGTGGGATGTGTACCTGCTTGCAGCTGTTCCTGGACCTTCCTCTTTAGCCTGCCCAGCTCCCCCAAGAAACACACTCCTCCTGATGCCAGCAACAAGGAACCACCTATAACACACAATAAGTCCTGTAGCAACACCATGCAGATACTCCGCAATATTTACACATCACTGCCCTCCCCGATAAAGGTCATGCTAAGTGGTAAGATAGCAGGCGTAACATATGTTATATTTGGGATTACACTTTCTTAGTAAAGTACAAATTCTAGTACTTTTTGAGTTGAGTCCCAACTGGGATTCGAACCCACACCCTCAGAGTCAGGCACCTAATCACAAGCACACAAAGCCATCCGCCTAATCCTCTCAGCCACCGCGACTTCCACAAAAATGGAAATCGGATAACTGGTAGTCTAGACTGCAGACTTTGTGTGGAAGTAGTGGTGGCTGAGCAGGTTGGGCGACTGACTTTGAGTGCTGGCGATTAGGTGCCTGACTCTGAGGGTGTGGGTTGGAATCCCAGATGGGACTCAACTCAAAAAGTACTAGAATTTGTACTTTACTAAGAAAGTCTAATCCCAAATATAACATATGTTACATTTGACCACTTTCCAAATGGCATTGTGTAATCAAACATAGCAGGCATCAAGGATGAGGAAAATTTTAATGGATATACAGCTTCTTTATTCTGTATAGCCGACGTTTCGACATAGATTCTAATGTCGTTGTCAAGCAAGTGATACATGAGAAGTAATTTTGGGTGATATATATACATGAGATGAAGGATGAGGCGAACATGAGTTGTTTATACAATAGAAGAGGTTGATAACACAGATAGTATACAGGATTAAGTAAGTTGATGGAAGCCAGTTGATGGAAGTACATGGTTGTATACATAAGGGATTAAGGATGTTGATTGGCAGCCAGAAGGGGGGTGATGTACATAGGTGTATACATGAGTGATTAGGTACTGTTGGGAAGCCAGTAGTGATGGACACATGGGATAATGTACAATGGTAGGGTTACATGAAAATTAATTCAGCGAGTGATGATAGGCCTGGGGGATGAAATATCCTTCATCTCTGTTGATCGATGGGGTAATCTTCTTTATATGGACAGCTTCAATTAGTTTGCGGGTTTTGAAGTCAGCTTTGTTCCTCTCGATGATCTTGGTTGTGTTCCAACTGATGTTGTGGTTTGGATTGGCTTTAAGGTGGTCAGCTATGGCGGATTTAGAGTCTTTGTTTCTTACAGAAGACAGATCCTGCAGGTGTCGTCTACCAGATAGAATGCGACTGCGGTGAATCTGACATTGGTGAAACCTCAAGACCAGTCTCCATTAGGATTAAAGAACACCAGGCCTCATCCTTCATCTATTGCCCAAACATCTCATGTATATATATCACCCAAAATTACTTCTCATGTATCACTTGCTAGACAACGACATTAGAATCTATGTCGAAACATCGCATATACAGAATAAAGAAGTTGTATATCCATAAAAATAGTCCTCATCCTTCATCTACCCAACTTCTAGAATGCCAATCAAAGAAGTCATAGCAGGCATCATCCACAAATAACCCTCAACCCTGATAAAGATGAGGGTCAGGAATCGTGTCTATTGGATTGGGTGGTGAAGTTTGCTGGCTTGCTGATAGAACAATCTTTGCTTTGAGCAGGATAGACATGGCCACTTGTTTGTTTGTCCAAGTCTAGTGAAAATTTAGAGGGACTTGTTGTTCTTGCCAAATTTAGTCATGTTACATAAGGTGCTAGTCTGAAATGATCTGCAAATTAGTTACCAGTAGATAAGACTAATGGTGTCTACCCTTGTTCAGGGTACAATAACACCAACCAGGTCAAACACCGAAATCATAAGATCACCAGTTAAGGTAGAAAGAACCTCTTGGGTCTCTGATCCTCTTTCCACAGAATGATCTTAGCACTACAACACTTTCTAAGTCTATGTTCCAGTATGGGAGTTACAATCACCTTAGTGCTATGATCACATTGTTGGACAGAACCAAGAATATTGGATTAGATTAGATCCACCTTTTCTTTATTTTGTTGGACAATCATATTTAGATGTTATTGTATGCAGGAACATTATCATAAGAAACTACTTCTGAGTGAAACATGTTCTGCCTATGTAGCAGTGACTCACCTTCTATGAAGTATGGGGCGGTCTCATGCCTGTCACTGATGACTTTGCCAGAGAGATGACAGCCTGCCATGTGACACACACCCCTGTCACAGAACTGGCGGCCATAGTCCATGAGTCTCTGTATCACCTCCACTTCACTGCCAATGCCAAGTATGTGCAGTGGTTTCTCCTAGAACAAAACCAAAAAACAGAAAACATAAATCAGGAGAGCATTATTCAAGCTTATCCCACATGATTTCAAAGACCATGATGATTTTTTAACACTAATGCCTTCAGCCTTGCTTGAGGGTGAAAACCTCCCACAGTCAATATTTCCAATCGTCTTAGATTACTGTTACCAAGGATGTTATTTGAGAGTACAGTGATGAGAATATGATTTTGTGGCATGTTCTTATAGGTTATCATCATATATAAACATTCTAGATAGGAAATATGTATAAAATATAGACCTCTGATACAGTTGCTAAACTCAACATTAGTCCAAGCTTCAGCTGTAGGTATGATCCAGGTGGAGCAACTTCTCCTGAAAGAAGGCAATGTAAATCGTAGCTGGTGTCTCAACATTTCCTCGAAATGATGCAATATCAGAAAGTGATTATTCCATTATGCTTTTTTATTTGTTTGTTTGTTCCAGTGACTGACATGAGAATGGATCAACATCATTGGGATATGATGACAAGCATGAACCAAGTCAGCATCACAGAAAACCCAGTTCTGTTTGCATCTTCTTTTGGCAAGCATAGGTTGCTAAAGGCCGATTCTAACATGGATCTTCATGGGCTATTTCTAAATGCAGCCATTCATGGGTACAGATGGTAGTGAAAGTCATAGAGGAAAGAAGCATACATCCCCAACTTTAGATCATCACATGACATTACTGAAAGAAGGGAGTATAAAACAAGTTGTCTGTATTCTACAATACAGTGTTTTTAGAATGGTGTTTCAAAGTAACAGGACATTGGGTCCTGTAAGTTTCAGATGTCTGTCTGACCCACTGAAAATTCACAGGACCCACAGAATAAAATTAAAAGCACATTTCAGATTTAACATTTCTTATAATTGGCATTGAAATTATCAACAAAAGATTTATAAACAGCAAACAAGTGTCACATGTCCCATATAACAACTTCAGTCAAAGTCATTGTGAAATATACAGTCAGACACTGGGGCCGGCGGGTTGTAGACTTCTATCGGACCGTTGGCGAATCTGCCAGATTTGTCAGAGGGTCAGACGCTATTCGTGAACACTGCAATAACTACTAAATACAACTTTACCCCCAAACACGTAGGCAAGACTGAGGCTGAAGCTCCAGGGTGAGTCTCTCCTGTCTCTGTACAAGCACAACAGACTCTCAGGCAGAAATGATGGCATCAGGGGGTGGAGAATATGTGATATCTGAATAAACAACAGTCATGTGAGGAAGACTTAAATTTAAGTGTTGTAGAAATATAAAGTAAATATTCCACTTAAAAAAACATTTGTCTCCAGAAATACTTCTAATCAACTGTAATGACACTATAGTTTACAACATTAAAAAACTACATACCTCAGTTAAGTAAATAGCTAGAGAACCATTTTCTTGTCTTCTCCGATGACATGCTTGTCCCATAGTAAACTCTATATTCTCATTAGGCACGATGATGAATGAAAATGGAAACTTTTAAAAGCGACACATGTAATTGTTAAAGAAGACCTACAATCTTTTTTTACCATACTGTCAATATATATATATGAAGTATTTATGTTTTGAGTTATGAGAGAAGGAAGTAGTAATTGTTACCTGTATAATGTTATTGGCCTGCAAAGTGACAAAAAAGAGGCATAGACTTTAATTTCATCAACATGACAAATTTCTCTTATAAAACATACAAAGTAGCATGACTGTAATCACATAAGACTTTGGTGACATATCAATTTTGAACTGAGTACTTGAGCTGCCTTCAGCATCATCATTCTTAATCACATACATGTATATCAAATGAATTAATAGAAAGTAACATATATACTTAAAAAAACAACATGAAGCAGGTATGACATATAAAAAATTTAAGTAAGCCTCACAACATTTAGTTCCGCAATGTCCATGGTATGATGTCACATCGCTCATTATGTCACACAAATGATCACATCACAGTCTGCATCAGGAGACACAAAATCTAAAGCTCTCTCCTGTCCCTAAACCTTGAAAAACATTTTCTTTTTCAATTTCTATTGTGTTTTCTATTGTCCCAGCACTAACCTCCAGGGCAAGGCTGACCACCTCACCAGTGATGTCTTTCCTCACCATGCCAATTATCTGGTACTTCTTTCCTATCTGAATCTTCTCACAGAGTTCATCTAGGAAACAAATGGCCAGATATATTGTTGTTATAGGTAGTGATGTTGAATTTAGTCTGTATAAAGGATGGTATGAGGCTTAATAGGTTCTTAAATTAGAAAATGACCAATTAAAAGAGCACACAAATAAAAATAGAGAAAATATTTAAAAAGTTGGGTAAAACCTTTAAGTGATTACTCCTTATCATCATGTACATAGGACCAAAATACTACTATGTCTGATGAAAACCTAAACTGAGAGTTCAGGCTGAAGCTGTTCCGAATATATTTACAGACAGAACAGTGACCTCTGACATATACTGGAACAGCTTGGACTCGCTGCCTGCTCTTGACACTGATGACATCTTGGAAGCAAGCTTCATGAACAACCTCAGCTAAAAGTTTATCTGAAATAGAAATTATGATTCTCCAACCAAATTTAAAATATACATGTTTTCAGAACATTTGCAAATGGCAATATTTTCGGGACATTCTGGTGAATTTGAAATTTTATTGCACTTAGGATTACCTATACACAATTTTCAAGCACCAGAATTGTGGAGGGTAAACATAAGAATTTCAGGTGATTAATGTATTCCACAAGATAATGAATGCTGCTATTAGATGTATGTTGAAAATAGCAATTCTATTAGTCTGATGATTAAAATGTCCTAACACCAATATGAAGAATACATAAAGATCTAATGCTGAAGTACTTTTTTATCAATTGGTCTCTGATGCATGACATTAATAGGTGCAATTTCAGTCACTTGTTCAAGGTTCCTGCTGACTTAGATATGACTATGAGTAAGTTAAAGGTGAGTTTTAACCACTGCCTTGGACACCATTTCAGATATATAATGGCATCTCATCTTACTGAGGTAGGAAAGTGAACCACATGTCAGACATTTACCACCGTAAAACCCATGGGTATGGTGCTAATGAACCTAGATATGTAACAGGAGCAAACTGGGATTCCACAATCACTGGTGTCTGTTGTGTCGAAGGGATGCAACTCCGCAAAGCAAATTGCAGCAACTTTGTTGACTGGGCCACCCATGACCCTTCTTGAAGTAGTAAGAATGTCAAACAATAATACATGTACATATTAACCCCCAAACCCAATGGTAATGACATGAAGACCCGGCCCCGAGGTTGCTAGTCTCAGAAACATTTGCACCAAATGGTAGCCTAACCTGATATAATCCGGGAACTCTTGTCTTCCTCTAAGACTGAACCACATGCACTACATCTGAAGTCATTTCTGTTAAAAAAGGATGATAAGTTCAAGTGTAGTCAAACCAACTTTTTTATATTGATGTTCATACAAGAGGATTCAGGGATTAAGGCCTCTGACCATGAGTATTTATGATGGAATGCAATTGTTTGATGATATTTAGTATGAATTATACATGTATCATATAGGTAAAAAATAGAAAGTAGAACACATTTACATTTATACAGAGCTGTCTCCCTTGGCCCATGCCATATCTGTGACATATTTATGTTCACCGTAATTTGAATTTTTATGCTTTATGGACTAAAAGATGAATATTTTATAAACATCTAAACCATTAAGAACACATTTACTTTTAACTCAAACCAAGAATGTCTCACCTTATTGTCTGTGTCTCTGAGGCTCCAGGAATGTGGACCCGGATGAACTTGTGTCCTTCATTTCCCTCGCATGCAGGGTGGGGACACACATAACGTGTGCTTTGACTTAATAAATAATGATGGACAGTGATTCTTCATTGCACACGTACTACAAAATACAGTGAAACTTTGTTATTGCATCCACATAATGTCAAAGACATCTGACAATGAACCTTCATGGTTCAAGCAGAATACAAACTACAATAATGATAACAGTGAGTCACTAACACCATGTTTTGGCTGTGAATTACACTTTACATTTTCAGGCTTCCCTGCTTTCACTGTTCATATAACCGAGGCATCAACTTTGCCCAGCTCATCTCAGATACAATACATTCATCTCAGAACTACAGAGAGTGAGTTTGTTTTAACAGTAATGATTCCAGCTGCATCTTGCAGGGATTTACAGGACACGAATTCCATGCATCCTATGCTCATAAAAATTGACAATGGACGTAACAAAATTTATTAGTGCGTCCACAAGGACCCAGAAAACGTCCAAGTACTTTTAAAAAAAATTCCAATCAAGTGACAATAAGTTATCACTGAGTTTGCTACCAGCTGGTTTATGGTATTATTTGCAACTTAATTACTGTAACAATATGATGATCATGATACACTATACAATAACAGTATTAATAATAATATTTAAGTGTCTTGGACCCCCATTTTGACCAACGAAAATTAAGAGTATGAGTCCCATGGACCCTTAAATACAGGACTCCATGTAATCCCTGATCTTGGCATATTAGCTAACTGTGGGAGGAATGTCAAAAGTGACAGATGTTACGACACTCACAGTACAGCTATTGGATTCAAACACATGGTCAGTGACAAAGAAACACAACTATGCTCAGAAACAAATTTGCCATCCATATCTTCATCTAAAGTTGAGTTGTAGAGTGAGTGAGTGAGTATGGTTGTACACCGCTTTAAGCAATATTCCAGCAGCATCAAGGCGGAGGACACCAGACACATTGTACCCATGTGGGGAATCAAACCGGCATGACAAGCGAACGCTTTAACCACTAGGCTAACCCACCACCCCGTCGGTTGTAGAGAAATGTGAGGTCAAAAGGGTGCAGGGCTTTATTGTACATAACGGCAAACAAAATAGCCACTGCATTTGGATATTACAATAGTTAGACTATGTTCATGGTAAATATGGCACTCAACTGAATCAGGAAAAAAACGGTACTTCATAACTGTTTCACTTGATTTTACATGGAAACTTGTTTGACTTACGTATATTTTGAAATTCCTGTAATCCCAGTGACAACCCCATCAAACTTGACATAGTTACAGCTGCCAATATTCCTGGATAAATCTTTCATGCACTTGATTCTGCAACTGCATTAAAATGTAATTAAATGAAAAAACAGTGTTCAACTTCGAAATAATAAAAATGTGTATAAACCCTACCGAAAACAACAGTGGTGTCTAAAAACTGGATAAAGTGACATACTGAGAAACATTCCATTGGTTGAAGATTCATTTACAATATTGTCATATCTTTATACACATAGGTTGTTCATTGTTTTACTTAGCAATCATCAATATTCCAACAATATCAAGGTAGAGTGTTAAAAATGGATCCATGGCCAAACAAAAGGATATCATGAGCAGCTTATTACATCACTGAAGTCCTGCAACCAGCAATAGTGTCTTGGGGACCTATTCTAACCATTACCCCAGGGGTTATATAGGCTAACTAGGAATATCAATACAAAGTCATGTAGAAAATCTGAAGAAATCATGGTACAGTGTCAAACACATTACAAAAGGCTACTTTTAAACACAGACTATTCCTTTTCTGCATCCTACCCTTCTAGTGGACTTGGCAGGCTGGACAGTTTCAACACAACCGAGATCTGGGACAAGGTGGTATCACTTGGTAGAAGCTCCAACTCCTGAGCAGTCTGGAACACTATCTGCAGAATTAAATTTACAGTGACTTGTAGTTGCTTTTTGACAAACAAAATGATGACTGAAGATACCACCAATGGGCTTCACACAGTGGACCCATGTGGGGAACAGAACAGTTCAACTTGTTTAGGATGATGTGCAAAGCCACCTTAATGAACAGTAAATACTTAAATACATGTAAACTGAAAATCATTCTATAAAATACATCCTATCTTGTATAGCATAACAACTATATTATTAGCATTTTGGAATTCCCTTTTCCTGTCACTGACATGACTATTACTGTGAAAATATGGAAAAAGTAATATAAAGTAAAATATTTTAAAAAGCTGTAGCCAACAACAGTATATTTTCTAAATCCCACTTACTTCTTGAAAGATCTCAGTGGACTTCAGCGGTTTCAAAAGCACAAAATTTCCAAGTGCAGCTGAAAAGTGGTCCATAAGATGTTACATGAAATATATAAGTTTTACCTCAATCATACATTAATTTCTTTCAAATTAATACCTCCAGTGTTGGTATGATATTATGATTACAGTGGATAATTTCCCTAACACAGTTAGGGATTCCACTACATACAAAGGTGTTAAAAGGGGAGTTCAACAGATGTACCAAAGTGCCCCCGACTCTTGGTGTTGTTATCTTTAACATCATCTTCAGTTTTTAAAGTAACGAAGAATTGACAGCAGGTATGGTGAAATAACATAGTATTACTGTATTTAACTGTACTTCACCAGTTCAGTAAACTGTCATTCAAGATGAAGTTTTAAATTAGGCTTATGGTCATTGGAAACAATATACCGTTTAATTCTGTAAGTTCCGCTGGGTCCACATCAAGTTTAAAATGATACACCAACAGTTCCTGAAAAGAATGCAATGAAACTGAACAGTCTCACAACAGATTAGAAAAAGCTGAAAATGTATAAACAGTTTTTATGTTTGTGATCACTTTCTTGGTAGGGTACTGATAATCATTTTTTTCTTAATATTCTCGAGCATGAATTTAGGTCAAGACTGTCATCATAGCTTTGAATACATGTACTTGATTTAATTTCACATATGAAACACTAATTCAAAATCTATAGTTTTTCATACAAAATCTCAGCAAATTGAAAACATTATACAACGTATGATTATGTAATCAAACTGTCATTTTACAGCTACATCAATGAAAACGGATTTTATTAATGGAAAACCTCTCCTGAGCTGTATTTACAGCAAGTTGTTTTCACATATTGGAGATGATCAGCATTGTCAAGGTAGGCCAGTGCTGACTGTACTAGGCTGAAACGATCACAGAGGTCCTCCATGTGGACTGGGTGCTCATGCTTCTCAAGTGTGTTGTTCCATTCTGATGTCAAAAACCTTAAATTGATGATAACAAAAGTTATATTGGTAAATAAAACTACATTTGAAATTAGCCATAAAAACACTGTTGCTATTAACTGAACTGAAAAATAATAATCAAATCAATGTACATTTGCAGTAAAGGAACTGTGTTTGAAAAAGATATGACAGCATCTTCATTAGAGACTAAGGCCATTTACATTTTCAGAATTATTTTCATCCACTTTCGTGCTGTGAAGATGTGGGTTAGAATTGATCTTCAGTAACCTACGCTTGTGGTAAGAGGCGACTAATGGGATCGGGTGGTCAGGCTGGCTGACTTGGTTGACACATGTCATCGTATCCCAATTGCGTAAATTGATGCTCATGCTGTTGATCACTGGATGGTCTGGTCCAGTCTCAATTATTTACAGACTGCTGCCATATATCCGAATACTTTTTGCACGGGTCTGTACCTTGGTAGGAACAAGACGTTTAGATGGCTGAACTATGACAGTATCGGAATTCTAAAACCTATTGCATCATGCTGCATGGATGTTTCTCCATGACACAAGATTTCAACACGGTGTCCTTTTGTGATATCACAACATGTCGGTAAGAAAAGACACAAGTTATTGTCTCATGAAAATAGGTTCAACCGAAAATATGTCATGGAAACTTTCGATTCAGGACTACTGGTGAATGTCCGCAGAAAACAAGCAGTTCAAGCAGCGAAGCGTTGGCTATGATATGGATCAGGCTCCTGAAAGCATGATGAAAAACGGTTACCTTGGCTATTCGAATCATGTGACGATGAAATGATTCGACATGTAGAGATGACAGAATTTGAAAAATGCCTACGACCTAAATACGATGACTGTGAGCAGCTAAGCCACGCCCGCAACCCACTGGAAAACACAGCAGACGGACGTCAGCACGTGCTAGCGTAAACATTCGTATTTGCCGCTGGACGAACATTCAGTGGGAACGGAAGGCACTCAAACGAATAAAGTTTTTACTTCGGACATATTGAATTGAAGTGATATATTTAAGGACAAGAAAATGGGTCCTTCAAGTGTTATAAATATAACATGTATGTGGGCAATGGACAGCTGACCAGGCTTAGATTTGGAGTGAGTGAATGAGTATGCTTTTACGCCGCTTTTAGCAATATTCCAGCAATATCACGTCGGGGAACACCAGAAAATGGTCTTCATGCACTTATTGTACCTATGTGTGGAATCGAACCCGGGTTTTCAACATGACGAGCGGGTCCTTTAACCGTTAGGCTACCCACCGCCCCCCTTAAAATCGGAAACAGGAGTAATAGTTCTTGTAGATGCGAAGTACAATTCAAATCTGCTGACGAGTCTTTGCGGGCAGTGATTATTGGGACTGCAAGCCAGTCTGTATATATTCAAGAAAATATAGATCAGCCTTGCATTTTCTGGGGTTTGTGTGTGTTTCGGGACATTTTGACCGGAAAACAAAATAACAAGTTTATATGTTATCACTGATTAAAACACTTCCATGGTTGGATACATTCATTTGTCAAATCTCCTCTTGACAAAGCTTAATTAATGTCCATGTACGAATGTTTATGGAGCGACATGTGTGTGTTTGTGCGTGTGCATGACTGCATGTGCGTGCGTGCGTGCGTGCGCAAACTGAGATAACATGCCGCATTCGGAAACCAGTACCAGTGCCTGTTGTAGCAGACTCCAATGCCCAGCAGCAGTAAGGGTAACAAATTTAGCACCACATTAAACGTCTATTGGGAGGATCGAACCCCGACCTTCTGTATACGCTCTATATCCACTCGGCCACAGAGGCGCCAGTGTGTATTGGATCGGACTCCGTTCACTTTCAGTTAAAGTCAATTTTAACTGAATCAAGTTATATATTTTAATAAATACACTTGCTGGTTACTTGACTCGGCCCCGCAATAAGATTTATTCATGAGACCCATGTTAGTCTGTTCCATATGCGGAACAAAATGAATAATCAAGTCATATATGTATTATCAATTAATGTCAAATAGACAACCATTGTTGGTTGGTGGACTCAGAGATCATAGTTGTGAGCACTTGCGGACTCACATATAAAGTTTCGAGGATGTGTGAAAGGAAACAATGTATGTATGTTACAGTCAATCTGTGTAATCAGTCATATCGCGTACTGACTAAATAAATCAGTCATGCATTTCGTGAAGTACCTGTGAGCACTATAGGCAATACGTGTAATGACTGAAAATTCCAGTTGTTACACGAAATGAAATATTGAACTATTTAAAGTATACTGAGTATACTGTGCCATCTCATTCACCACAAAGTCCTACAGTCAATTCAAAAGCTAGCATAAAAATAGTAATATAGTTGAGTCTTTCATCACAAAATTGAAATCATATATCACAGAAGTCATTCAATCGAACTGTCAAATCACTTGTAAAAATCTGTCCAGTTCATCTCACAAGTTGATGTTCGGAGTCGGAGACTGAAGCATCAGATTAAACAATTTAAATAGTTCAATAACAATTTACTTTATGTTGATGCAAACTTGTAAAACATTTTTATTATAGCATCAATAAATGTTTTACATTGAACTTTGGTGTTCTTGACAGCATTTCCGTCATTTCACGTAATGCCTGACCATGATATTTAGTCATTTCGTGTAATAACTAGAATTTTCAGTCATTACACGTATTGCCTAGTGCTCACGGGCACTTCTAGACTAACAACTAGTCCCTGAAATGAACATATTTTACAGAAAAAAAGGCTCATAGTGAAAAAAACCCAACAAAATATAATAAAAAGGAGCCCTGAGACTGTCTTCACTTTCGAAATCTGGACTTGCTACATTTTAGACTTGATTGGGATTTCATGGATTTATTTACTTCAGGGTCTGTATGGCAGACTAAGGCACTTCACGATGACTGATTCATTTAGTCATACGCGAAATGACTGGTTACACAGATTGACTGTACCATCTACAGAATGATGACTGATACATCAAATCCATGGTCAAGTAAACCCAGAAGGCAAAACGTGCGTCGTTACAAACAATGAGACAATATTACCACTAAATTTCATATCTTAGTAAATTTTCAAAAATATTCTATAAACATCATGGGTTTATATATATAAATCATGTCATAATTGTCAATTCTCATATACGATTAGATATTGTTGCATTTGTGTTACAGGGCTGTGTTCTTTCACCCTTACTCTTCATTGTGTATGCCAGTGATTGTTACTTGTCATTATATGACGTGTTTACTTTGAAATTCGCAGATGACGCCACTGTTACTGACCTAACGTCTGATTTTGAAAATAATCGTCAAGGCAGTGAACAAATTCTATCTTGGTGTGAAGACAATTTTCTTTTGCTGATTGTAAAGTAAACTAAGGAAATGGTCACGGTTGATATTCGGAGAAATAAGGAACCTCTACATCCTCTTATAAATTGATAATGCAGAAATTGAAACAGTGGACTATTACAGTCTGTACAAATATCTCGGCGTCATTTTAGATTCAAAACTTTCGTTTTCAAAACAAATCGATCACATTTACTAACAAAGGCAAACAGCGACTTTATTTTCTTGGCCGATTAAGAAGCATTTTTATTGACAAAACCATAATGACCGTTATTCATAGTGTGTGGACCTACACTTTTCTATGTTGGTATGGGGGTCTGTCTGCTCGCAACAAAAAATATCTTTTCAAAATTGTTAATTCTGCCAGCAAAATTCCTGGAATGTTTTTTTAAATATATCCCTTTAACTATGAGCGCCAGATAGTCAAAAAGGCAACTGAAATTAGAATTGATAGTTCCCATATTTTATCTCACCATTTTGATCTACTGGACGCCGCTTTTCATTACCTTACCTTAAACAGAGCTCGACAGTCTTTCATAACATCCAGAATTCGTGAATGCAGCAAATGTTTTGAATCATCGTCATGCAGTTTCCAAATTTGCTAGCCAGTCGGGCTAGCTATGCCTGAAAAATACTAGGCCACAAAATATAATTCATTAGTTCGAAATTTGAATGTAGATACGGGTTTCATCTCTAAACTGCTAATATGATGAACATTTTTCATGATAGCATGATTTAAAAGTGTGTTATAACTTAACAAGTAGGAGAGAGTGATATATTTACAAAATGACCCCATACATATTCGCCAGCCAGTCGGGCCAGTGACTATGGTGTTTACTGGTCCGACTGGATTTTTATGTGCCACGGGCTAGCGGGCAAGTGGCTATTTCGCACACTGTCATCATGTGTAACTACTGGAATTATTCTGCCTCTTTACATATGTGGTTAATTGTATTGAATCATGTCATTTTTTTTGCGTATATGTGTGTAAACAGCATTCATTTTGAGTATGTAATTATTGTGTATATCTTTGTGAATATATTCATTTTGAGACCGTTTTGATGCAAACAAATTTCCTCCGGGATAATAAAGTTATATCCCAGATAGCATTCGGACGTTGGCCCAACCTTGGCAATGTTGGCAAAACCATTGCCAACGTTGGGCCAACGTCTGAATGCTATCTGGGATCATATCTTATAATTATGGTTTACGCCTGTATGTTTTCCACTTGTATATTTTCTCTTATAGTGTTTAGTTTTACTGTAATTAATATTTTCTTCACGTATAATCGAGTGTACAAAGCTGTGTTTTCCGAGATGCTTGTTGTGATGTGTCTGAACAATGTAATTTGGCGTGTAAGAAAAACCTGTCTTCCGTATTTTAGTAGTACTTCGTAACCGGAAGTCGTCAAACGAATGGTGGACAAAACAAAACGTGAGGAAAACGACGATTTGACCGGCTTCTTTGAATCGCTGTATATTCCATTCTTTTCAAAATGACCGAGGTAAGGATCATTGTGTGTGTGTTGGAGGTGTTATTCCACAAAATGGTTACACTATATTAAACCAATAAAGTGATATATAGCAATATGAGTCCATTTCTTGTACACCACCAGTTTTCGCGCACTCTTGCTCAAGACGTAGGTGCAATTTTTAGATGGGAAGTTTTGAGATGTAGAAAGTCAGTAACCTTTGATAGTATACGCGGCATGTGCATGTGGTTTATCACCTATCACGATTAATACTTTCAAATCTGTGTATTATGCGTGAATCAAGTTGAGAACACAAGAACAGTGCACTGTTTACAATTGAATTAGTGCAGTATTAAATGTAATCTGCTGGTAAGAGATGTTTATATCGAGACTTCATATCTTTTTTGTTGTTGTAGGAGGTCCAGAAGCACTCTGTCCACACACTGGTGTTCAGATCTTTGAAGAGAACACATGATATGTTTCTATCAGAACAAGGGACAGCACCTGGTAAAGAGGAAAACAGGTATTGTTCTGGTATATCAAACTTAAACGTGCACTGATCCACAGCAATTTCCGTGGACTGGTTGTTGCTTTTGTTATTGTTTTCTCCCAGTGAGTACCCGGATGATATCCCAGAATTCATGACTGGTTCGTTACCTCTGCTGCGCCACCCTCATGCGAAATTGATAGTATAAGTATAGGCCGATCAACAAAGATGAAATCTTCTTTACTCTATCTTCATTATTTTGATAACAAATGAAAACATTTCGAAGTTTAACTATCTGCCAGTGGTAGAAAATGTTAGGACTGAAATAACGCAGTCAATGTACGTCTTTATGTTTTGCCTCATAATCCTGATTAGTTTATTATCATATTTCACACACACGCCCTAAGTGCGACCTAGAGCATGTTGTCTGTCTCATTACACTTCACGGCAAAAACAAAATGATTCTGTTGAATACCATAACAAATAAATAAAAACAAAAGGCAAATATCAAAATTAAAACAGACTAAAGTTATAGCAACAATATCAGGCTATTACCTTGTTCGGGGAATGTATCCATCAATATCCACATAAAGGAATGAGATGCCATGCATCTGCAGCTGACAAAGAATCCTGTTCCATGTCATGTGTCTTTTAACAATCTAATATGCGAAAAAGTGATCTATCATTTCAGGTTTTTCACATTGGTGTATAGTCCCATTGGTTGCTCAACCACACCTGGCAACTAATTGCATGATGTCCGCCATTCTTTAAAAAAGCAATTTAGTTAGCCAATAATGAGCAATCAATCAATGTATTGGTGGTTAATCCTTTGAAGGAAGGACGTTGTTTTTACACAGACACTTTACGACAGGGTGTATTTAGTATAGATTAGTAAATCTACATACATAAACACTACCTTTTGACAAATCCGTTGTGCAGGTAATTAATCAATCAGCGTGTTATTGGTTAATCCTTTGATCGATGTTAGTTTTGTAACTCAGTTGATAATTCCTCTTGCTGTCCAATGCTCATATTACATAAGATGTAATACATTTGCCACATCAGACCTAAATTTATAATGATGAGTATTTACTCCAGACACAAGAAATGCCAAATGGGAACCTTTGTCGGGTAATCTGAGTGGTGTTATCACTAGTTATACCTGTTATAAATTCATTAACTGACCATCAAGTGAATGATGACAAATAGCATGTGTCGGTTTACCACTAAACAAGGGTTACAGCAAGAGAGTAGTAATCTCTGTATTGCATGCAAGTTTGATTGCCTGAAAAACATCCTATGGGCCGACACTGTTTTGAGGATACGAACTGAACTTCATTGTTGCATAAGAAATACATGTAAGCATTTGCTGCTTACTTAGTTAAAAACTGTATATACCTACAGTACAACCAGAAATTATTGAGAATTTAAGATTGTAATTTTTTATATTTTTTTTCACTCATTACTCATGTATCAAATGTGAATATTAGCAGAACATAACTCCAGATTCAAAGACAGGTGAACAGTTAGTATTTTGTCAAGTCACCATGGGCAGCAATGCAGGCTTTAATGCGGCGGGGCATACTACTGATCAAAGAAGTTAGAAAGTCGTGGTCCATGCTGTCCCAATATCGGATCACCTCTTCTTTCATGTCAGCAATATTTGTCAGATCTTCTTATTGACAATTTCCTTCATAAGTCCCCAAACATTTTCTATTGGATTGAGGTCAGGGCTATAGCTTGGCCAATCTAATAATGTCATATTTTGGGTCCGAAACCAGGCCTGTGAATGCTTTGAACGATGTTTTGGGTCGTTGTCCTGCTGGAAAATCCAAATATTTCCATAGAACACATGAGCAGATGGAAGTAAATGTCCCTTGAGAATATCTGTGTACCGCTCACTGTTCATATTCCCTTCAAATACACAGAGGGGGGTTGCCCCTAACACAGATATGCCACCCCACACGTTAAATTTCGTACTGTACTTTGGGTGCTGATACAAAGGTTTTTGAGTTTGTTTTGTCCCGAATTTCAGTGTATTAGGAAACAGCCACACAGAACTTTCATCTGAGAAAATCACATTGTCTAAGTTAAAATTTCTATGCTGTAAGCACCAGTTCAACCTTCGCTCCTTTTGTTCAGGTTTCATGATCGGTGATGGAATTCCTCGACTTTTCTGCCAACCCATTGCATGCAGCTCAGTTCTAATTGTCTCCTTACAGACAGCCAAAGTTCCTCTATCAATCATATCCAGCCTTAAGTTTTCTAAACTCCTTCGTTTGTTTTTTAGAAACAAGAATACCAAGCCGCCTCCTGTCACCGACAGTCAATATTCTGGGCCTACCTGTGCCTCCCTGATGCTCAATGCCATATCCATTTGCAATATTTTTCAAAACACGATAAACAGTGGACAAAGGGATGCCTGTTCTACTTGAAATCACTTAAGCTGATCTGATGTACTTGTTATAATACTCTAAAATCAACTTCCTCTTCTCTAAATCATCCATACTGAGGATCACTGAAAATGTCATCTGCTAGCAAGTAAACAAAGGGGGATAACTCTTCACAAACTAATGAAAAGGGATTAACAGAGTTGTCTCTTTTGAATGAAACCAAGCACTTGATAGCTGGTCAAGGTTGTTTATACTAGAAATCCAATTAAACATATTCCTAAAATTCTCAATAATTTCTGGTCATACTATATGTACCTAAGTAAAATTTCAGATTTTTTTTAGCAATGGCAAAGTGGGGTTGTTTAGTTTATGGATTGAAATATATCAAATGTGTGTTTTAGATATCATAGCATAGGTAATAGACATCATATATTTACATGATTAAATATCGAGGTAAAAAAACCCACAGAAATAAGATCAAATTGGATCAGTCACTATACCATCCAAGCATTTGAAAATCTGAAAAAGCCTATACTGCTGGGATACTTCATTACAATCAGACAAGAACTACGGGGATATTTTCAAATAATAGCATCTGACGGGCATCCACCTTTCCAAATGTCTGACTGTTTAGGTTGAAGAAATTCTGCCAAGGTGGACAGTAGCCGAGTCCCTGTGTCTGTCACTGTCGAGGGAGCAGGGGCTGACCAGTTTACAGCTAGGTTTCATAATTAGACTGTTGGTTGGAAACATTAATCATTCTGGATCAGTGCCCCTTTAAGCAGGATAAAACTGACTGACTGACTGAGTTTGGTTTTACGCCGCTTTTAGCAATATTCCGGCAACATCACGTCGGGGAACACCAGAAATGGGCTTCACACATTGTACCCATGTGGGGATTCGAACCCGGGTCTTCGGCGTGACGAGCCAACGCTTTAACCACTAGGCTACCCCACCGCCCCAGGATAAAACTGAAACAGTATAAATTCTTTATAATTATTGTCGTTTGACTGGTTGTTTTTTGGTTAGTCAAGCATTGATCATGAACATCATGATGAATATTCCTCTTACTGGTTACCTGGTTTCATATGCATGATATAGATGTTCAGAATTCATGATAAGAACTTTGATTTTCAGTGAGAAAAACTGGAAACTTTGTAAACTGCGGGCAGATTATGGTCAGGTGAAGGACTTGCCAAAGGAAGGAGGAAGAAAGGCGATGAATTCCAGAGATGTCATTCGACCATACGGAGAAAGTAACTACCATGGTGAGGGATATTTGTCAAAATTTAAACTTTTGGAAATGCAAGCAATATCATTATGATGAAAATAGACATGATAGAGAATTAATCAGTTACTACCTTTGACAGCGTTGCAAACTCCCACCTGCCCGACCGTCCGGGACGGTCTGTTTTGCGACCGGACGGTCAGTTTTAAAAAGTTGCACGCCCGATGGTCTGGCTGTTGAATCAGCATAATTTTGTAATGTATATAATGACTAAAAACATTTAAAAACGTGTTATTGTGACAATAACCTGACATTAAACAGTTCCCTCCTCCTATTTACCTCCTTTATATTTTATCTTAATCCTGAAAATTCTGGACTGGTAACTTTCCAGCTGGTCTGGTAACTTTTAAGAGTTACCAGACTAGTTGTCTGGCCGAAATTTTGGGGAGTTTACAACACTGCCTTTGATGTATATCCTATTTTAATGATAGTGGTCAAACCAAATGCTATTTCCTTAATGTTATTTCAGATTCAGAGACAGGAGTGCTTGGAACACATCCTTACCCAAATGGACCAGGTTTGTGTTTTGTTCAGCTACTTAGGGTTTGCGTGATGCCCCACCTATGTGTCAGTGATCCTTCCATAGAGGGATACAAGCGTTATGGGTCCCAGCTCATTACGTTTGGTCTTTGATTGGTCTTGAACTATATTCTGGGTCTTGATTTGATACATATTTAAATAGCAGCAAGGTTATGAACATAAAGATTTGAAAAAGTTAATGACTGATGAAAATCCTGGCAGTCAGCCTCTTATGAAAAGTGTGGGTTACTGAAGAACAATTCTAACTCGTATCTTCATGGTTGGCTAAACTTGGCTGAAGACAAGTAAAATCCAATCCTAGTAGCATATGGAGGTCTGAGTTTTCAATGCTCCAACTTGGCTTTGAATCAGATAAGATTTACAGAAGGTGTAAAGCTATCAAGCATAATATATCTTGTTGAAACATAACTATCTACATACTCTGAAGACGCAAAATAAGGTTTTCACTAGTGCTAATCTTTAGAAAGACAAATTTCAAAGGCTGGGTGGAATTGCAGGTGTTCAGCTGACAGACGGGACGTCACAACACATGGATCCCAGTGGTGCTGGAAGCAGAGAGATCATGCTGTACGAACAGTCAAGGTACGAACTGTATCTAGCCGTGCATGCTGCTTTCAGTATAGCAGTATAGAGTATGGAGTATAGCATCGTTCCCACATGTCAATATACACTAATGTTATTATCATCATTAATTTGTGATGATTTTTAAGGATTATATATTCTTATGTACATGTTTTTTGATCTAGTCTTTGTTGATCGAGTAACTATTGAGTGCAAAACTGTTGCCAAGATACCAGATACCACCTGTGTACTTGGTAAGTTCCTAGCCCATCAGTTCCAGTCACAGTTTCTCCTTCGATTCAACATGTGTTACCATGAACATTGGAGGTTCTTTAGCTTCACGTCTAACCATGTTAACCAAAGAATGTTGTATTTTCAGACAAACAAGTGTTTCATCTGGTGCAAGTGTTCATGAAATTCGGCAAAATGCTGGTCTCTCAGAGAGAATGGATCCCACTTCAAGAGTATGTCATATTTCCCAGTGTTAGCATCTTGCACACAATGCTCACAGCTACACAATAATGACAACTCATTACATAAACATTCAACTAACACAACACCCTGCTCACACTGTCACAAACATCATGGAGACACAGTCGGTTGTACAGAGTTACATCCCTTGTTTGTGCGAGATCCTATTGTCCAGGGTTTAAAGTTTTTCCAAGATTATAATGCTTAGTTCGCCTGCACCATGCCATGATTTGCACTCAAGAAGTAAACTGACGGGATCAAGTGATTAGGCTTGCTGATTTGGTTGATGCATTGAATAGATCGATTCTCATTATGTCAGTCTCCGTATTATGTCTGGTCCATACTTGATTCAGGGCTCCAGATAAGGGTTGTATCGGCGTATGTACAGATATAAAATAAGCACGATACGGTAGGAAATAATTTAGAAAACGTAGCAGATACGCACCACAGCAATGGTGTACGGTCTTAGAATCCTTTATAGACGTATTTATCTGAAAATGTAATGTTTATTGATTATTGCAATGTTGTCGTGCATATATGAAATGAAACACAAGATTACTGGTGCTCCATTAAATCCCATTCAGTACTCTAAATGTACTCTTAAGGTTTTCCAGTACTCCTGTATTGAAAAAATAAGGAGTACATACTCCTGATGTTGAAAAATTATCTGGAGCCCTGCTTGATTATTTACCTACCGTCGTCATATGGTTTGAAGATTGCTGAGTGCTGTTTTAAACAACAAACAAACAAAACAAACAAGACATGCTCACACAACAATAACTATTATGTAAGCTGCAAAGCTCAGCAGAAAGGGAAGTAACTCCTCCTTGCATCTGTTGATAGTTCACCAGTTTTCTTTTCCAACAAAAATACTGTTGTTCTGGTAGTTTTGTTTATATTTTCCCACTTATAAGCTGATAAGGTTATAGGCATAATCTCTGTGTTAAACTTTTGGGTTATCTCCCCTATGCGAAATTTTGTACAAGAGATACATGTTAATATTTCTGACTTTGTGTTCCAGAACATCAGTGTGGGTCAACAACAGATGCTAGTGCCAAGGAAGGCTCCCACAATGCCCAAACCACAATGGCATCCCCCATGGAAACTCTACAGGGTATGGAGGCTAGCCATATATATTTGAACTGAAATAATCAAATGAATACATTATCTCAACAACATTCAGACTTAATGAAGAAAATGATTGTCATTTCTTACAGTGTTTACTGAGGGCTGACAGTAGGGTCACTATTGCCCAATGTAGGTTAGCCATGTTGTGATTGTACAGTTCACCCTGAAGTGCTTTGGTTTATCAAGGCTGAGTGTTTAGACTGACTGACTGACTGAGTTTGGTTTTACGCCACTTTTAGCAATATTCCAGCAACATCACGACGGGGGACACAAGAAATGGGCTTCACACATTGTGCCCATGTGGGGATTCGAACCCGGGTCTTCGGCGTGACGAGCGCAACGCTTTAACCATTAGGCTACCCCACCGCCCTCTGAGTGTTTAGATTCTACAGGACAGTTTTGTTCTGGTTTACAGATATTTGAGTAATTCTTGGTATTTTTCAATATTTTAACAGTTGAAATTGATTTACGTTTAGTCTGACCTATCCTCATATTTTAGCATCTGAAATTTTGAGAATTTAGCATTGTTCAGGTATGGAACAATTGCATCAATATTTGTGTATCTGACTTGATTCATGAGTACTCATGAGGTTAAAGCGTTCACTTGAAATGCTGAAGACCTTGGTGCTATTTCCTTTATGGGTACAATGTATCTAGTGTTCCCCTGCCTAGATTTTACTGGAAGATCGCTAAAAGCAACGTTAAACTGTACTCACTCTTCAGTTCAGGAGTTCAGGAAACAACTTTGTTAGTGTTGTAATTGTGGTTGTTTCAGGTAATCAGTGGTCACCTGGGCTGGGTGAGGTGTATTGCTGTGGAACCAGGGAATGAATGGTTCGTCACCGGAGCTGGAGACAGAGTCATCAAGGTGGGCAGATAACTCTGTTGTTCTCATTCATTACTTTGATTCACCAAGGTTAGTTAAGCTGAATTTCTCAAAATTGATCATGTATGACAATATAGGTGTAAGGTCAAAAGGCTGACAATTTATATTGATTAGGAGACAGGGTCAGCACGGGTAGCTATGAAAAAGTGGTTCCCTTCATGAGTTATTTAGCTGACTACAGGTCAGCCATTCTCTTCCCACAGAGGTTACTTGTCATTTCTTCCTACGAACCTCTGTTCTAATATGGTCATATTTCCCGGTTCTCGTAAAATCCCCTAGCGGCAAAAAATCGCAACACAATTATCTCCCTTCTTTCTGTCCAATCAGGACACGTGTTACATCAACTTGACTAATACAAGCAAATGTTGGGTCACAAATATCCCTCCTCTGCCAGGAACTTGTGTTGATGTGACACACAAGACATTTAATGGCTAGCTTGTCCGTTGTCAACGAGGGTGATGGAGACGCCATTGATCCGCTATTCACATGACTGAGTTCTGTCTATAAGAAACGTTTGCGCATTACGCAGGGAAAGAGGTTCTAGTTTTCCCTAAGCATACGGAAATAACCGAGGCCTTGCGAATGATCACTTTTGAAACAACGTCGCTGATTGCACAACTAAATCTGATTGCAACCAATCACGAATCCTGAACACTCGCACCATGAAAGGGCCGTATTAGAACAGAGGTTCGTATGAAGATATGACAAGTAACCTCTGTGGGAAGAGAATGCAGGTCAGCATGGTGTAATAATATTCATCATCCAGTTAACCGTTTATCCTCCTCTTTCATTTGACTTGATGGGAAGTAAGTCATGGCATATCTGAAACTGCTGTGTTTAGATCTGGGACTTGGCAACAGGAACTTTGAAGTTGTCTCTGACTGGTCACATCAGTGCTGTCCGAGGGGTGGCAGTCAGCCCCCGACAACCATACCTCTTCTCCTGTGGTGAAGATAAACAGGTCAAGTGCTGGGACTTGGAGTACAATAAGGTAAGGCAGCCTTGTAATAGAGTCATCCATTTGTCAAGTATTTCATTATGTGTACAGGAAGGCAGCCTTGGAGTCATCCATTTGTCAAGTATTTTATTATGTGTACAGGAAGGCAGCCTTAGAGTCATCCATATTTTTAAACTTATCCTATCTCACGACTTGCACCTCTCTCTCTTGCTTCGACTTTTAGTGGAACGACTGTAAACTTTATTCCATAGGCCTCCTTGTCCATTCGCCCGTGCACTCCATGCTGCTCTCCTTAATTAGCTTCCTAGTTCCTAATAAAGCTTGCAGCATGCTCCACTAATTGCCCACGTGACTACCTTGAATGATCATTCTCTTTCTTGTTGCACGACTGTGTGGACGTGCTGTACATTAGGGACATTATTTCACCCTAACATCATGGGGTGTCAAGGAAAAGGAAAGTTTGTGCTCAATGCAAGACGAATTATTCGTCCCTCGACCCTCACTCTTCTTGCAGTGACTGTATTGGACAATGTAACTGGAACTAACGATGTGACAAGTGTAATTCACTAAAAGATGAGGATTTTAAGGCCTACCTTCGTGTTTGCTCCCCCGGAGAATCGCCGATAGGGACAGGAAATCAACAGAATCTGATCCCACTCCCGCCAAGCGTATCAAGTTACAGCGACAGAAATTCTACCTTCACGCAAGAGAGTGACGTCTGTGGTTCAAGAGGATTTTATGGACGCTTCATCAGATTCTTACTTATCTGAGGACTTTCGGCACCTATTACGTACGCATCAATCACCTCCTTCCATAGCGTCAGATCACTCGCGGGTGGTTGTGATCGACAATTCTTCGTTGCCTGTCCCATCTACACTACCAATGGACCTTAGATCGACACTATCATCATCCAGATCATCAGTACATATCCCCTCGACTATCTCAGTTTGTTTGGAGCCTGGCCAACCTTGTTCAACCAGCCAACTGTCTCCCTACAGTTCATTGATCACCATCACAAGCCCGATCTAGATCACCGGATCGATCCAGATCACAGTCACGAAACGGGTCCAGATCACAACTTCGAATCAGATCACCGGACAGATCCAGATCACCTAGCCGATCCAGATCACTGAACCGATCCAGATCACAACTTTGAATCAGATCACCGGACAGATCCAGATCACCGAACCGATCCAGATCACCGAACCGATCCAGATCACAACATCGAAGTAGATCATCGGACCGATCCAGATCACCTAATCGATCCAGATCACCGAATGGATCCAGATCACCGAATGGATCCAGATCACAACTTCCAATCAGATCATCTAGGACCGATCTAGGTCACCAGATCACAACATCAAAGTAGATCACCTAACCAATCCAGATCACCAAATCAAGCCAGATCGCAACTGGAAACCAGATCACCTGTTCGATCCAGATCACCTTATAGATCTAGATCACGATCACAGTTTCCAGTTAGTGCATCGAATCGATCCAGATCACTTTACAAATCCAGATCATCTTACCAACCCAGGTCACCTATACGATCTAGATCACCTTACAGAGCCATTGACCAATCGGGATCACACTACAGATCCACATCTCATGGCCGATCCTATTCAGATGGTCGAACCAGAGCTCCAATCAGAACCAGATCACCAACTAGAACTACAGCGACCCGGACTAGTTCTTCATATCATACCGGATCACCTAGCCATACTAGGGAATCCAGATCACTGGCTTACCAACCTACTTCGGTAATTACCACGTCGAGATCTCGATACAGTTCCTCTGACCGACGTTCGGGTGATCATTGCTCTGATACCACTTATAGGCCTACAGTCTCTTACGATGTTCCGTCTACACGCTCTGAGAATCCTTCGACTCACTCTAGGATCTTCGCTGAGTCATGGGAACCTGATAACAATTCCACTCCTACAGCGACTCCGGATCTAAATATGAAGATCAGGGCCATAACTTCAGCCTGGAACCAAATACAGCCGTCTACTCCAGCCCATCCGTCTTCGGTAGCTCCTGGCTCTTCATCTGGTCCACCTCCTGAGATTGATCCAGTCCAAATAGCCATGCCTGCATCTCCCGCTCACTCTGAGTTATCTACCCCTGGGGGTAGCTTTGCAGCAGTTGAGACACCTCAGGTACTCCTTTGGATTGTTGAGAAGCTCCAACTTCCCTTGAGTACTTCAGCAGATGACCTGGATCACTCTTATACTCTTAGGAACCGAGATTGGTCTACCATCACCCTACCACCTCGACCTTGTATTCTGAAATTATCCAGTACACTAAATGAGTACACTAAAGAGCCTGAAACGAATTAAGGACGGATTCTCTACTCCCAGGTATAATCCTTCTACCTCTCATGTCCACGCCCTAACAAAAATCTCAACGGCTCCAACAGTTGATGAGGATATTGGAACCCTGTGTGGCAAACGAGCTGCTTCGCCCTACCTTATTGAGGACCGAGAGTTGGCTCACATGGATTCAGCCGTGAGAAAGACGTTGCCATCTGTTAGTTGCGTGATTGCAGCAGTCGACACTGTTAACACTGCTCTGGAGCATACTTACTCTGATCAAGACGCTTACATCTGAGGATGCATGACTTTAGCTTTGGACCAGTTCCAAATTATCCAGGATCAGTTGTCTCATTTTTTGGGCTACACTCTTGCTGTTTGCCGACGTGGACCCCTTAACATCTCTTCATGGGAGGAGCGATTTAAAACAGAACTGTTTCGCCAGCCTTGGTTTGTTGACTCCCTCTTCAATGGTAGCATCCAAGAAGTATCTAATAAAGTTGATAAAGAAACCCACTTTCAAGTCTCAATTGAACTGTTAAAGATTCAGAAGTCACAGCTCCAGCACTCATTAAACCAGCGTCGAACTGCACAGTTCACCCCTACTAATCCGGATTTACACAATCTTTTTCGTGGCGCATCCACTCAAGGCCGTGGCAGAGGAAACAGATCTCGCCGTGGTGGTTCCTCCCGTCGCTCCCCCAGGACCAACTCTGTCCCAGGGACCAGCGCCGGGATGCAGTGACGGCTTGAGACAATCGCACGATTGGGACCTCCTGCCCCCAGTCGTTCCGATTTACAACACTCCGGTAGGCGGGAGATTGCAGATCTTCGCCCCGAATTGGACCATCCTCAAAGATCCGTACGTCACCAACCTGCTACTTCACGGCTATCAGCTACCCATTATTGGCAGTCGACCTCTGACGTAGCATCCGGCTCATCGCTCATATCCTGTGGACCAGCTTCAGACTCTGCAATCCACAATAGGTACGCTGTTAGACAAACTCGCGATAAAGCTCCTAGGTCCATCGCCCGGCACTCCAGGATTCTACTGCCCCATCTTCTTGGTTCCAAAGAAAATTCCAACAAACTCCGGCTCATCTTCAATATGAAGTTGTTCAATGCCGGATTCCTGCTTCCACCACCTCAACCTTTTCAACCTTTTACGCACCATCCTGAAGAAGGGAGACTTCCTCATCAGCCTAGATCTTCAGGATACTTATCTTCACGTTCCGATACATCCAGAACACCGGAAGTACCTTCGTTTCGTGTTCAACGGGAATCACTACCAATGGAAAGTCTACCATTTGGAATTTCCACGTCCCCGTGGCTTTTTACCCAAATTGCCAAGCCCATAACAAGCTTCCTCCACTTTCAAGGATCACCTTCGAAAGCTACATAGACGATTGCATCCAGGCTCAACAGGATCTGATCGTATTGCTTCGCCAGCTACAGTTCACCACCACGCTGCTCAGACAGTTAGGGTGGCTGTTGAACATCGTGAAATCGGAACTAATACCGACTCAGAAACTCTAATTCATCAGAGCACTGTTCGACACTCGTCAGGGGATGATGTTCGTACCTCATGACAGGTGGATAAAGATTCAGCAATGCATTCCTCCAGGACTGTCTCAGGCAAGAACCTTACGACAGTGGCAGGAGCTACTGGGCCTTCTGACGTCAGCACAAGCCTTAACGTACAGAGGCCAGCTCCAACTTCGGCCAATACAGCGATTTCTACGCCCGTACCTTCAGGCCGACAATCCCAAGGAACTAATTTGCCTCCCAGAACTGCTTTGTCCAGTCCTTCAATGGTGGTTGACGAATGGAATGTTTGCGCCGGAGTCTCTATGATGCCCTTTTCGTCGATGCATCCCTCATGGGTTGGGGAGCTCACTTCCTCGACCACCGAGTGGCCGGGCTGTGGTCATCCGACGAACGGGTACTTCATATAAACGAGCTGGAATTCAAGGCGGTAATTCAAGCCATCTCCCATTGGGCAACAGAGCTTCAATCAACCAGTCTGTTGATCCAATCAGGTTCTTCCATGTCATCGACTCACTCATCATTGTAGCCCAAGCCAGACACATTCCCTGGGTAATAAATGTGATCACCGATGCCTTGTCTCGATCCAACCGACCGTCCCTGACAGAGTGAAAGTTACTGCCCCAGATCTTTCATTTGATGATCTACCCGTTATCACGGCCTCAAATAGATCTGTCCGCCACAAGGTTCAACAACCAACTTCCAAAGTTCGTATCACCAATCCCAGACTCCTTGGCGTTGGACCTCGACGCGTTGGCAATATCATGGGCGGGTCTCAATGCCTACGCGTTCCCCCCTCCAGCTCTGCTACCAAAAGTAATACAGAAACTATTGGCCACCAGCAACATACTACTGCTTTTGGTCGCACACTTCTGGCCAGCGAGCAGTTGGTTCGTCAACCTAAGAAGCCTGGCAGTGCCAAACCCAGTACCGCTTCCCAACCGGGACGACCTACTTCTTCACCCTCACTCAGAACTGCGCCACGGGTCACCTCAGACCCTCAATCTACACGTTTAGCGCATCTTCACGGGTCTCTCATAGCTAAGGGCTACTCTCGCCGAGTAGCCACAGCTATCAGTTCAGCGCATCGTACTTCAACCCGTTCCTATGACAACAAGTGGAAGAAGTTTGAAGACTATTGCAAGCTTAGGGGAATTGCATCTCCCACTTCCCCCTTGGCTCAGGTCGTTACTGAGTTTCTCCCGCATCTCCGCACTACTAAGAAACTCAAGGGTACTACGTTAGCTACCTACTTAGCCGCCATCAACTCGGTTTTGGCTACCACCACGGGCTCAAAGATTTTCACTGTTCCCGAGTTGCAGAGTCTACTACGCTCCTATAGACTCTCTGACCAGTCGAGGAAGTTCAGACCTCCGGCCTGGGATCTGTCCGTCGTCCTTCGTCATATGATTTCTACAGATTATGAAGCTTTAGAAGACAAGGGTTTCGAACAAGTGACATTCAAGACATTCTTCCTGGTAGCTTTGGCTACTGCTGTTCGTATATCTGAACTGCATGCGCTTGATGTCAGTTGGGTGCGGTTCGAGCGGAAGAAGCATGGCAAGGCTTTCCTGGGTCTCCGCTGGGACTTCATTACGAGAAACCAACTGCCAGGGCAACCGGACTGGATGTTTACCTTTCCCCCGTTGTCCACCAGTTTTGGGCCTGATGATGGGTTGCCTCCTCCAGCCGCTTCCAATCCTCATGAGACTCGTGCACTAGTCTCGACGACGATGAGTCCCTTGTCTTGTACAAGGTTGCGGCCGAACACCACATCGCTCAGGAGCACCCATCTCCCTGGGATTCATTGTGCTTAGTAAGCCAAGGGGTTCCGGAGAACCCACTACAAGCACAGGAGTTGCGTGCATGCATAATGGGCCTCCCTTGTACATCGCTATCTACGGTTGTCATCAGTCCACACAGCTCCAAGACCAGCTGTTTGCACTGTCCAGACAGAAGGGTAATCTGCGGCCTGCCGTCCAACCGTGGGATAAGTGCAAGTCGTGAGATAGGATAAGTTTAAAAATTTGGACATTTTAATATAAATTGTTTATTTATATACTTATCTTATCTTACGCGATGGACGCCCGCCCGGCCTCCCCCACTTCTCAGATTTCAACGTTGGCTCCAAGATGAGAATGATCATTCAAGGTAGTCAGGTGGGCAATTAGTGGAGCATGCTGCAAGCTTTATTAGGAACTAGGAAGCTAATTAAGGAGAGCAGCATGGGGTGCATGGGCGAATGGACAAGGAGGCCTATGGAAAAAAGTTTACAGTCGTTCCACTAAAAGTCGAAGCAAGAGAGAAAGGTGCAAGTTATGAGATAGGATAAGTATATAAATATACAATTTATATTAAAATTTCCAATTGTCAAGTATTTCATTATGTGTACAGTAAGCATGGTTAAGCAGCTGTGAAATGTCCTATTGGTCAAGGTACAGAATCTTGTACATCTAGTGACTCCTATATTTTGCATGGTATTGTTTTTATATACTACCCATCAAAAGTTTAGACTCACCTAAAGCACTCACTATACGTTATGCATATTATATGGTTACATCGAAGAAGAATTTCTCCACTAACTTTGGGGAACCAACTGCAAACTTTATGCAGATGAATTGTATGAGGATCGTTCATGTGAACAGTTGCGTTTTGATGTAAAGTTTTGTTAAGAATTCGCCAATTTTCACTGCTTTTCAACATTTACTGAACTCATGACAACAATCTTTTCAACGTTACAAATTTGTTTTACAATACATTAGTTCATGTGTAAACAGTACCTTTAAACTGAATGGACCATTTTGCAAAATCAAGTTTAGAACAGTTGACTGAAGTAAATGGCTACATTTACACTAGTAGTATATGGGTAGTATATGTTTATGAAGGGGCCCTTGTGTCCCAGTCGTTTGAGGCGTCTCACACATTCACCAGAAGAGTTGTGTTCCCTGAATGGCCAAACCTTACGTTTGTGAGTTTGTGTCAAGGGCCGCCCTCCATATGTTTCTAGGCCTGTAAACACCATACCAATGCTCATAGGCTTTACCAGACTGGTAAACGTCGGAGACCTGCATCACATCTGATTGTCCTCTACATCAAACACCAAACATGACACACAATGATCTGACTCAAATACTGTTTAGAATGGTGTTAAACATGTTAGCCCTTAATTACTAACTCACATACATTTTTTGCAGAAAGGTGGATGACTAGGCAGTGAATCTGTTAGGTTTAGATTTTGACAAGGTTACCTTGATACAAACTTTGTGGATAACAACCTCTTTATTTTGTGAGTGCATTGTTTTGATACAGATTCTTGTACCGTTGTCTTGTTCCTGCCTGACAATGGTACAACAACCTGTATCAAAACATCGTACCAATGAAATTAAGAAGTTGTTATCCCTAAAGTTTGCCTATATTGTACTTCCCAACTTATAAAAATGTCACTTAAAGAAGCTTACCCTGGCTTCAGGTGACCTGATCATCCCTGATTATATTCTCCTACATCTGTTTCTGTATGTTAAGGAACTGTTTGTATATTTCTCAGGCTATCCGTCACTATCATGGTCACCTGAGTGCGGTCCACTCGCTGGACATTCACCCCACCATTGACATCCTGTGTTCCTGCGGCAGAGACGGCACTGTCAGGGTAGGTAACTATGGTTACATTGTAAATAATAAAGGATGAAGCACGTTCAGGGTAGGTTACCATGGTTACATCGTAGATATTAAGAGTCAAGGTATAGCACCCTCTATGGTAGATACTGTCTGGATGAGTTGCCATAGCTACATTGTGGATATAAGACGCAAAGGATGGCACGGTCAGGGTCAGTTGCCATAGCTACATTGTAGATATTAGAGGCAAAGGGTGGCACGGCCTGGGTCAGTTGCCATAGTTACATTGTAGATATAAGAGGCAAAGGGTGGCACTGTCTCAATTTGTTGCCATAGCTACATTGTAGATATTAGAGGCATAGGATGGCATTGTCTGGGTGAGTTGCCATAGTTACATTGTAGATATTAGAGGCACAGGATGGCATTGTCTGAATAAGTGCCATGGCACTGTTAGAGGCATGGGATGGCACTGTCTGGGTGAGTTGCCATAGTTACATTGTAGATATTAGAGGCATATGATGGCATTGTCTGGGTGAGTTGCCATAGTTACATTGTAGATATTGGAGGCATGTGATGGCATTGTCTGGGTGAGTTGCCATAGTTACATTGTGGATATTAGAGGCACAGGATGGCATTGTCTGAATAAGTTGCCATAGTTACATTGTAGATATTAGAGGCATAGGATGGCATTGTCTGGGTGAGTTGCCATAGTTACATTGTAGATATTAGAGGCACAGGATGGCATTGTCTGAATAAGTTGCCATAGTTACATTGTAGATATTAGTGGCACAGGATGGCATTGTCTGAATAAGTTGCCATAGTTACATTGTAGATATTAGAGGCACAGGATGGCATTGTCTGAATAAGTTGCCATAGTTACATTGTAGATATTAGAGGCATAGGATGGCATTGTCTGGGTGAGTTGCCATAGTTACATTGTAGATATTAGAGGCACAGGATGGCATTGTCTGAATAAGTTGCCATAGTTTCATTGCAGATATTAGAGCAGATATTAGAGCCATGAGATATCACTGTCAGGATAGATTCTCATAGTTATATTGTAGACATTTGAGGGCCAAGGAATGGCACTGTGTGGTTAGGTAACCATGGTTACATTGTAGACAAATGAATTGAGGAAATGACCGTATGTATGATTAAGACATTTCAGTAACAATACTAGTCACGGACTGTGTGTGTTGTCAGGTGTGGGACATGCGGACCAAGGCCTGTGTACACACCATGGTAGGCCACCAGAACACCGTCGCCGTCGTCAAGTGCCAGGCAGCAGAGCCACAGGTCGGTGTACAAAACTCTGTGATATGGCTGCTGGGAGGTGATGCTAGCAACTTTTAACTGAGTCAAGGCTAAAATGGCTGTTTTATCTAATCTATTTCTTCAACAGCTGAAGCCTGTCATGTGTATGATTGTAAGGTATAATACAGTGCTTCAGGTTTTTATATGGGTATATGGTGAAACAATTGTTACAGCTTAATCTGGACCATGCATGACCGAATAGGTCAACGACAGCATGAAAAGTGAGGTACGAGGTACGCAGCCAGAGTTACCTGCTCTTGGCTGTAGGGGGCCCTCCGCAGGGCCCTGTAGGGGTGGTCTCACTAAACATAACGAGTTTTTTGTTTGGTAAAATATTTTATTGAAATATTGTTACAACTGTCGTAGGTTTTTAAAATGGACATTTTAATGCTTATATGTACCCCAAGGAGGACTTTTCAAAGAATTCATAACCTCTACAGGTTTGTATAAATTTCCCAACAACCAGTTAACAGATAATATTAGGATTGCATGTCCCCAGGACGCTGAGAATGAAACTTGAGTGGATGCTGATCCATTGATCATGTTAACAATCATAGTTAGCCCCGCTGAGCACCTACCCAAGTTGGACATCAGTGTATCAATGTAAACTATAATGACATCTTATTATTGCTGAACATGTTAGTTTGACATTTGCTGTGTGTTGTCCCAGGTGGTGACAGGCAGCCATGACTGTACGGTGAGACTGTGGGACTTGGCGGCAGGACGTACCAAGGTGACGCTCACCAACCACAAGAAGAGTGTGAGGGGGTTGGCCCTGCATCCTACACAGTGAGTAGTGGATAATACCCTCATGACCTGAGGTAGTGAGGTGAGGTGAAAGAGGGTTTAACGTAGTGCTTAAGAATATTTCGCTCAAATAATTGTCTCCTCACTTCCAATGCATGATATGTGGAACCCTTGTTTTGATGAAGTTTACAATGAATATGCCTTGAACATGTTTTAATTCTGCGTAGGTACACCTTCGCATCAGCATCGCCGGACAACATCAAGCAGTGGAAGTTCCCTGATGGCAACTTCATACAGAATCTGTCCGGACACAACGCCATTGTAAACAGTCTGGCAGTCAACTCCGACAACATCCTGGTGTCAGCAGGTCAGTGATGACATCAACACATCGAGGTGTTTGTTGATATTTTACATCAGCTACATAGCAACGTCACATATTTAAATCAAATATTTGACTTCAAATCTTACAGGTTCTCATGATTCTTGTATAAGCATCACATTCATATTTAAAATGAGCAAATAAACACATCAAGATGTTTTCTTTTGACAGAGGGGTGGTGGGGTAGCCTAGTGGTTAAGGCATTCGCTCGTCAAGCCGAAGAAAAGGGTTTGATTCCCCACATGGGTATAATGAGTTAAGCCTATTTCTGGTGTCCCCCGCCATGATATTGCTGGAATATTGCTAAAAGCGGCGTAAAACCCATTTCACTCACTCACTCACTCTTTTGACAGAAATATGTTAGACACTATAACAAAATAGTTTGTATGTCTGTTGGACAAATACAAAAAGCTTCACGTCTTTGACACCTCTGAAAAATCTGGGTAAGTGTAGGAGTTACGATCACCTTAGCGCTAAGATGGCTTTGTGGAACGGGACTCTGGTCTTTAGCACTGTGACCACATGACCCCATAGCTACTGGTTATTCTATATTTAGAATATTTAGGGCTTCTAGAACTTGAGGGTTCTAGAAGTCTGGCATTGTAGTGTGTTTTAGGTGTGAAGTAAAGTTGTCATTTGTATATACATCTCACTGTGTCTCCATGAGTGTGCTGTGTGTTTCAGCTGATAATGGTACCATGCACTTCTGGGACTGGCGGACTGGCTACAACTTCCAGCGTCTACAGGCCGCAGTACAGCCAGGCTCCATCGACTCTGAGGCCGGCATATTTGCTGTCCAGTTTGACCACAGCGGAACACGACTCATCACAGCAGAAGCTGATAAGACCATCAAGATATATAAGGAGGATGATACAGCGGTATGTAGCAGCAGCTTCCTTCCTGCGCCTCCCATGCACCATCTGTGTGTGTACCACCTCCACATAGCTGGAGTATATACCATCTGTGTGTGTACCACCACCATATAGCTGGAGTATATACCATCTGTGTGTGTTCCACCACCATATAGCTGGAGTATATACCATCTGTGTGTGTTCCACCACCATATAGCTGGAGTATATACCATCTGTGTGTGTACCACTGCCATATAGCTGGAGTATATACCATCTGTGTGTGTTCCACCACCATATAGCTGGAGTATATACCATCTGTGTGTGTACCACCACCACATAGCTGGAGTATATACCATCTGTGTGTGTACCACCACCATATAGCTGGAGTATATACCATCTGTGTGTGTACCACCTCCACATAGCTGGAGTATATACCATCTGTGTGTGTACCACCTCCACATAGCTGGAGTATATACCATCTGTGTGTGTACCACCACCACATAGCTGGAGTATATACCATCTGTGTGTGTACCACCACCACATAGCTGGAGTATATACCATCTGTGTGTGTACCACCTCCACATAGCTGGAGTATATACCATCTGTGCTGGAGTATATACCATCTGTGTGTGTACCACCTCCACATAGCTGGAGCATATACCATCTGTGTGTGTACCACCACCATATAGCCGGGCGGTGGGGTAGCCTTGTGGTTAAAGCGTTGGCTCATCCAGGATCGATTCCCCATATGGGCACAATGTGTGAAGCCCATTTCTGGTTTCCCCAGCTGTGATATTTCTGTAGAAGGAGCGTAAAACCATACTCACTCACAAACAAATAAACCATCTCTGTGTGTGTGTAAATGATTCTTCCTCAAAACTAACCACTAAGCTAATTTACCGCTTATGTCAAGCATAGAATTCAAGGGACCTATTTCATCTATGTTTGAGGCTTATGCCATTAGTTGTTTTGTTTAGGAAACCCAAGAATATCCAGGTCAGCATTTGTGCAAACTTGATAAAACAGTTATCACCATGTGCAGTGACAGGTGAATCATCAGGGATTCAGCAAATAGTATCTTATGCCACATATGAGAAATATTCAATCTATACCACCTGGGTTAAAATTGATCTTCGGCAACTGTCAGCTTATTGTAAGAGTAACAGGATCGGGTGGTCAGGCTCACTGACCTGGTTGCTGCATGCCATCGTATCCCAATTGCATAGATTGATGCTTATGACATCAATAACTAGATTAGGTTCTTGAGAGGCATTTAGAAGTTGGTGTTCAAGTAAAACGCAAATATTATGGATGACAACTTTTTCTTTATTGTCAATTAGCTCATTACTGGCTTCTACCCACATCTGCTAATCTCTTGTATAAACTCTTCTCTTGTATAAACAATACCCATTATCAGTACATCTCACTCTGTCATCTCCCGTTTCTTATCCAATTTATTGTATATACATCGGGGGTGGAAATAACTTTAAAATTGCTAGTGTACTCCGGTACAGTGGCACATGTAAAATCACTTGCCCTGATAATTTTTCCACTATACCGTCCGTTTTCTTGTTGATTTTTTAAATAAACAACATAATTAATATTGGAAAGTCAACTGGACACCGGTACAGTGTGATATACAAGTTTGCTTGCCCAACAGAAAAAAACACTGGACTCAGGCGTCGGGCAATGGGTTATTTCCACCCCTGTATACATGCAGCACTGGCTTCTTGTACATTTAGTATATATACTCATTGATGTATCTTGTTTGTTACAATTCACCTGACGAAGGGGCAAGGAACAGCCCAGAAACGTTGTGATATACAATAAAAAAGAAGTTGTCACCCATAATATTTGCGTTTTAATAACCGGATTGTTTGGTCAAGGCTTAATTATTTACAGACTGCTCTTATATAGCTGTAAAATTGCTAACTTTTGCATTAAACAGCATACAAATACAATGTTTGTTTTGTGCCGCCAGATTCAGTAAGTATGCACACCTGTCGATCCAGTGGTTGGTGTTAGGAGCAATGCCGTACGATGACACGCTATCATCCAAGTCACTCAGCCTGACCTCCTGTCCAATCAAATCTCCCCTTACAACCAGTATAGGTCCCTAGAGACCTTTTCCAGAACTCGCTTGAAACCCATACATTATACAGCAGCTTGTTTTCAATGTATTTCAGACAGAAGAGTCACATCCTATCAACTGGCGGCCTGATATTCTCAAGAAGAAGAGATACTGAACCATCATCCAAGCAGCATATGTATATAGTCACCATCCTGAATACATGCATCCTGTCCATTATGCTCCATTGTGTGATGGAATAAAGATATTTGTCACAATCCTTGGTACTGCTGACCAGTATCATATTTTAACAGACTTTGTTGGGCAGATGTTTCAATGACCTGGTCCCGATTTTTGAAAACAAACTTACGTTTTTACTCAAATTTCAAACTGAGTTTGACAATTTGAAACAGATGAATTGTTAGCTCAACTGCATTTTTCCAATAAAAAAGCCCAAACAACTTAAGAAATCTATATCCCAAACTCAAATTGTCTACTAAATTTGAGTTTAATATCGATTCCAGTTCATTCTGGGAAATGCATTAACCTGAGTCGAAAGTCAGACTTTGTTTGTTTCAAGAAATCGGGGCCCGATGTTCCAAGAATAATAATATTAAGATTATTGAGAAGTTCTCAATTTTAGTGTGGGCAGCTTTTTGTAACATTCCCACTTTCATCCTTACACTTTTATAATTGAAGAATGTGATCCTGGCAAAGATAATGAGGTGCAGCCAGGAAATATGTCAGGGTGGATAATTACTTCACAACTTTGGTACTGCATTGGTTGTAAAAATGTGTAATTAAAAATGGATTAAAATTTATGAAAAGCAAAACGATTTTTATACTTCACACATTATTCAATGGTATTTTTTCAAACAAATCTGTTTGTGGTGTTAAAGGGCCACTGATCCAGAGCGATCAATGTTTCCAGCCAACAGTCTAATTACGAAACCTAGCTGCAAAATGGTCAGTCCCTTCTTCCTCGACCGTGACGGGGACTGGGCTACTGTCCACCTTGGCAGAATTTCTTCAACCTAATCAGTAGGACATTTATAGGAAGGGTGGATGCCCATCAGATGTCGTTATTTGAAAATATCCCTGGTGGTTCTTGTCTGATTGTAATAAAGTATCCCAGCAGTGTAGGCTTTTTCAGATTTTCAAATGTTTTGATGGTATAGTGACTGATCCAGTTTGAGCCTATTTCTGTGTTTTTTACCTCGATATTTAATCATGTAAAAATATGATGTCTATGACGTATGCTATGATATCAAAACACACATTTGATATATTTGAATCCATAAACTAAACACCCCACACTGCCATTGCAAAAAATCAGAAATTTTGCTTAGATACATAGGTATATACAGTTTTAACTAAGTACACAGCAAATGCTTATGTATATATTTCTTATGTAACAATGAAGTTCCGTTCGTATCCTCAAAACAGTGTCAGGTTTTTTTGCAGGCAATCAAACTTGCATGCAACACAGCGATTACTACTCTCTTGCTGTAACCCAGGTTTTGTGGTAAACCTACAGATGTTATTTGTCATCATTCACTTGATGGTCAGTTAATGAATTTATAACAGGTATAATTAGTGATATCACCACTCAGATTACCCGACAAAGGTTCCCATTTGGCATTTCTTGTGTCTGGAGTAAATACTCATCATTATAAATGGATGTCTGATGTGGCAAATGTATTACATCTTATGTAATATGTGCATGGAAGTGCAGTAAGAGGAATTATCAGCTGAGTTACAAAACAAACATTGATCAAAGGATTAACCGATAACACGCTGATTGATTAATTGCATTTATCCTGCACAGCGGATTTGTTAAAAGGTAGTGTTTATGTATGCAGGGCTCCAGATAAGGGGCGTATGTACGGATAAAAAATATGCACGATACGGTAGGAAATAATTTAGAAAACGTAGCACATGCGCACCACAGCAATGCTGTACGGTCTTGGAATCATTTACAGACGTATTTATCTGAAAGAGTGTTGTTTTATTGTTTATTGACCTGTTTACACAAGAGTAGCAATGTTGTGGTGCATATATGAAACGAAACACAAGATTACTGATACGCCATTAAATTCCATTCAGTACTCAAAATGTACTCTTAAGTTTATCCAGTACTCCTATATTGAAACAATAAGGAGTATGTACTCCTGATGTTGAAAAATTATCTGGAGCCCAGTGTATGTAGATTTACTAATCTATACTGAATACACCCTGTCGCAAAATCTCTATAAAAACAACGTCCTTCCTTCAAAGGATTAACCGCCAATACATTGATTGATTGGCTAACTATATTACTTTTTTAAAGAATGTCGGACATCATGCAATTAGTTGCCAGGTGTGCTATCTTGGCTGACCAATGGGTGACCAATGGGACTATACACCAATGTGAAAAACCTGAAACGATAGATCACTTTTTCGCATATTAGACTGTTAAAAGACACATGACATGGAACAGGATACTTTGTCAGCTGCAGATGAATGGCATCTCATTCCTTTATGTGGATATTGATGGATACATTCCCCGAACAAGGTAATAGCCTGATAATGTTGCTATAACTTTAGTCTGTTTTAATTTTAATATTGGCATTTTGGTTTTATTTATTTGTTATGGCATTCAACAGTATCATTTTTTTTTGCCGTGAAGTGCAATGAGACAGACAACATACACTAGGTTGCACATAGGGCGTGTATGTGAAATATGATACACGTTGGCAATCTATAAGATGTCTAGATATTACAATCATGTTATAAATTCACTAAGTATAAGCAGATCGTGTGCATTTTATTAAGTTTCAACTGTATACAAATATGATAATAAACTAATTAGGATTATAAGACAAAATATAAAGACGTACATTGACTTCGCTATTTCAGTCCTAACATTTTTTACCAATGGCAGATGGTTAAACTTAAAATGTTTTCATTTGTTATCAAAATAATGCCATTTAATACAACATTCAGATTGACTAGTAGTGAACCTGAGCGCACTACTCTCCCCAGAAGATTCCCCATGTATTTAGTTAGCCATAGTTTCAAAACAATTCTATTATATCAGGCTTCTCACCAAATTCAAGGTCAAATTATTTCTAAATCAAATTCTACATCCATTTACGTTAACATTTTTATAAAGTCAACATTACTACTATGAAATCAAAACTTTACATCAAAATCAGCATTTTTATCAAAGTGAATATTTTTTTTATAAGAAACCAAATTATTCATCAAAGTCTACATAAATTTACAACAAAATCAACGTAAGATTATCGAGTTAAAATGACTTGATCTTTGTTGATCAGTCTATACTTATACTATCAACTGCGCATGAGGGTGGCGCAGCAGAGGTAGCGAACCAGTCATGAATTCTGGGATATCATCTGGGTACTCACTGGAGAAAAACAATAACAAAATCAACAACCAGTCAACGGAAATTGCTCTGGATCAATGGCCCTTGAATGGCCACATTTGATGTGTATGGCCAGTGTCCAGGGCAACAGGCTGTCATCTATTGGGATGGGGGTTCTGAAGCAGTCTGTCTGGTGCTGCCAATGCTATTAATGGCAATACTGAAGCTGAGGTCACTGAGGAGGTGAGTGAGTGAGTTTAGTTTTACCCCGCTCTCGGCAATATTCCAGCAATATGGCGGCGGTCTGTAAATATTCGAGTCTGGACCAGACAATCCAGTGATCAACAACACGAGCATCGATCTAGGCAATTGGGATACGATGACATGTGTCAACAAAGTCAGCGAGCCTGACCACCCGATCCCGTTAGTCGCCTCAATGATTACGAAAAGCATAGGTCACTGAAGATCTATTCTAACCCGGATCTTCACGCGTAGGCAGGAGGCGAGTTCTGTGAGAATATTGTCTCTGAATGAGTAACCTTGTTGGTGCCTCCCGTAGCAATTGTTGAAGCCACGAAACGCGAGTAGTAACGTATACGAGTCTTACTTCGCTTGAGCATGACGTACTTTGCATCACTTTCTCTGCTTCTGATGCTGGTTCGTAGTGCATTTTGCATGGAAGACACTGGGTATTATTATTATGTTTTACAGATTAAGATGAAAAATGCAGCAGAGAGGGTTCAGGTGATCCTGGCACAGTCAGGCTGGTAAGGCTCATCATCAGCTCAGGGCCCTTGCCTCCTCTACACGCAGCCCAGACAGCGAATGGGATTTCTCCCAGGAAACACTGCCTAGTCGAACCCACCAAGAACTTTCCGTAGAATATGTAGACTCCCCAACACTGCAGCCTTCTGCATTACTCAGAGTGTCAGAAGGGCTGTGCTCCCGGCGGAGAACCCGGGCACTCTCCTGATCTGCGCCAAGAGATCAGGAGGTACCAAACCAAGGTCACCGAGAACAATGGGGAGCCTGACGACAGTGTACTTGTGATGCAAGCCAGACATTTCAAAGGCGAGGTTCCGCATACTTAGCATGCTTTTCCTGAATCTTGCCAATCACATTGCTGTCAAAAGGGACAGAAAATTCAATGATATAAATGAATTCATTGGCTTTATCAAAAAGGACAAGATCAAATTTGTTAGCAGGAATTCTTCTAAGGCTAGGGGTTGTGACAACATTGAAAGAGTCTGCACACAAAGTTGACTCCAAGGATTTTACACCCGGCACCTTAGGCCATATATAGATATATTCTTGTTTCTCATTACCGCCCGAGCCAAAAATTCGACCCGACCCAAAGATTTGTAAAATAAATTAAACTAGAGAATGCAACTTTGACTCCCAAAGTGTGCATGAATGTTTCACACTGATTTTCTGTCGGTGAAAAGGTTGGGTTTTTTACATATTAAAAATAAAATAAAATTTAAAAATAAAATCCGCCTGCAGGCCTCATATTTTATTGAAAAGTAATGAGAAACAAGAATATTTTTTATGTGGCCTTAAACTCGCTGGAGCACTTGCCAGCTCGCCCACCATGCATACAAGATGATAGATAGAATCTCACACTCGTGTCATCACGAGGTTTTACACTTTTATGGACGAACCTCTATTTAGTTTCCCTAAAACCTAAGTTTTAGGGAACATGAAGTTAGAAACGGATTTGGGATTCGAATCCCGAATATGAAAAATATATTCAGATATTTTTTTCATATTCGGGATTCGAATCCCAAATCTGAATTTTCTTTCATATTCGGGTTTTTCTTTTGCACATTCGGCACTCGGCATTGGGCATTCGGTATTTGGTATTTGAACTCTTATTAAGCATTTCTTCAACACATCTGGAATTCGGAACTTCGGCGTCCTTGTAACTATACTCTTCGCACCTTCATCTGTCAAACCTATCTATCCTCAACCCGGACCTTCACGCGTATTAACACATTTGGAATTCGGAACTTCAGCGTCCTTGTAACCACAATCTTTGCATCTTTATCTGTCAAACCTATCTATCCTCGACGTTGCCGTGCAGATAGTCAACGGTCCAGAAGCTCTTCCCTCGATCACGATCGAGCAAAGACGAACAATGTCAATATTCATTATTTCCCCCCCCCCCTAATGTACTAGGTGCTCGTTGTATACCTGGGTAACTTAAAAACATAAACAACAAAACTACAGTCCCGAATCTGATTTTTTTGTTCAGAAACTGATTCGGTTTGGGCATTTGGGATTTGAATCACGAATCTGAATTTTTCATATTCGGTATGTTTGCATATTCGACACTCGGCATTCGGTATTGGAACTCTGAATATGTATTTCTTTCATACATTTCGAATTCTGGACTCCTCAAAAACCTTATTTCTTCATTCAGCTAAAACGTCCAACTAAGTCACCCATCCTATATTATAGAACCAGTGACAGGAACCAATGAATGAATGCATTATTGAATGAACGAAGGGATGAAGTTTGGGATTTTTCCGACTAACCATAATTTTTCTAAATGTGGGTTTGTGGTTTAATGGAGAGTAATGTAGCTTTGAAAAAAAACTTGCATTTTTATCACTAAAGTGAGGTGGAGTCATGTGAAGCGACTGCACCATCAGTGAGGTGGAGGCATGTGAAGCGACTGCACCATCAGTGAGGTGGAGGCATGTGAAGCGACTGCACCATCAGTGAGGTGGAGGCATGTGAAGCGACTGCACCATCAGTGAGGTGGAGGCATGTGAAGCGACTGCACCATCAGTGAGGTTGTGTGATGCAATGAAACCTGCAAACTACGATTGGTACTTGCGAACCAAGACAATGTACACTATCCAAAGAATGGTTAGCTACAACGAAAATTGATACTGAGGCACTATTCAGACCGAGGAACAATGCATCTGTTGTCTCAACCCACCTATGAATACCTTATATTGTAATTAGGATGTAAAATGTCTGTCCCTCAGTTAATGACGTGTGCACCTTAAGATTTATAAAATTTCATTTTTAAGAGATGTTTTATTCTAATTACATGAATGTCAAGCTGTGAACAATCACATATCACTGAAATGTGCAAATACATTAATGAAAACAACCGATTTGGGAAAAGTCAGCCATGTTATAAAGGGCGTAAATATGGTCACAAAGTCTGTGATAATTCTTAACGGTAGTAATTTTGCCACAAACAAATATCCAGTTTCCAAACATCGGTCCTAACCAACTGTGAGCTTTCGAGTAGTTTCGAAAGCTGAAATAAAAGTTCATGAACACAATGAAATACAAATTCTTGAAAATCAACGTGCTGTAAATTGTTCTTAAAAATGAAGACATATCTATGAAAACCTGACTGACTTTGAAAGTAATATCAATATTTCAGTAATTCAAATGATTTTAGCAAATATGTATAATTTTGTATCTTAAATTTCAGTAATTATGTATAATTACAGAAAAATTCAGTAAATATGCATAATTCCTGAGTGAATCAGACATTATACATAATTACTGAAATTATCAGTAATTATACACATTTACTGTTTATACATATTTCCTGTACCATATATATGTTACAGTGAATATGTAATCCCATATTACATACATAGGTGCCTCCACCGGGAATCGAACCCGGGCCTTCAGCGTGATAGGCTGACGCCTTACCACTGCGCTATTGTGCTCTACCTCTGTCCGCGGATGGGATGGGAACTGTAACGTTGTCATCAACGTGATCAACGACAGTACTCTACTTCTTTTCAATATTCTCTCGGCTTTTTGCAACTAAGAGTCTACTGCCCCCTTCTTCTGGATACTGATCTGCTGACGTCTCTTTGCAACAAGGAGTTCTGCTGATGATGGCGGATCTGGAACGGCGGCTACAGCTGGTGGATCTGGTACTGGCATACCTGCTACAACAGGTGGATCTGGATCTGGCATGGTTGCTTCTGGAACAGCTACAGTAACTGGTGGCGCATCTGGTGTTGGCTGGTCTGAAGGAGGTGTCATGGCGATGATGGCATTGATGAGATCTTCTTCCGTCTTCAGTGTTGCAATCACCTCATCTGGGAGCATGGAAGAATTTATTCCAGTTGGTGCATCTGATCCAGTAAAGGCAGCAAATGGCGTTTGTCTGATTCCGCTGAGGTAGCTGGAACTGAACAAACTTGAGTCCCATGGTCCAAGCAGTGGTATTGCTGTCAGACACCCAGGCTGTTAACATGTCCTTCACATCACATTTGGCAGGCTCAACGGAACCTTGAGATTGGGGGTGGCGCGATTTACCATGTATGATCTTGGTGCTAGGTCACACCTGTGACACCTCCTCAATGACAGCAGCAGTAAACTCTGAACCATTGTTACTCTCAAGATGTCAACCAACTTATACGCTACTTCTTGGAGGCCAACGGTCTCAACACTCATAACTGAGTGAGATGGTCCTGATAATGCATAATCCATTTGAATTGACCTTGACACATGGATTGCATGTCAGTCAAATCGACCTGTGCATGTTCTTCGTAACCTCTTTAAGCGCATTGTCTCTACCACCAGCAATTCACTTATGGTCTTTTGATATTCATGTCTTGGAATCAATACTCGCTGGTTGGTGTTGTACAATTCATACAGGTGACGTCTGAAACGCAACTCTCTCTCAGACTCCATTTTGGATATGAACCTTTCTGAGGTGCGGGTGTTGTTATATACTGTTTCTAAATGAGCTCAGTTCTAAAATGAGCTTGCAATTGACCCTTTGACCTTATTGATGCATTATTGCCCTCAAATGTGTCAATCTCAAATTCTCTCATGAGCAGTAAGAAGGAATGTGTAATACAATTACCAGAATTACAAAACAAACAAACATATTTCCTCCTTGCTTAATTCCCCTTTGATCTCAGAAAGCTATTCATGCATTATTGCCCTCAATAAAGGTGTGTTTCAAATTATTGACTTTGTTGGCCTTTATTTGGTCTTCAACGAGAGCTCATACATCCAAGCAGGGAAGAGCTTCGGGATCGTTCGACTATCTACACAGTGCACAGCAACGTCGAGGACAGATTTTCTGGTCCAGTGTGCGGCGTTAACTAAACTCACTCACTAACCAAATGTGTTAATGAAATGCATAATAAGAGTTCAAATACCAAATACGAATGCCGAATGCCGAGTGCCAAATGTGCAAAAGAAGAAACCCGAATATGAAAGAAAATGCACGAGGGTGCACGGCAACGTCAGGGATAGATAAGATTAAGGTACAAAGAGTATAGTTACAAGGACGCCAATTGTACAAAAGAACAAAAAAACGAATATGAAAAACAATTCAGATTCGGGATTCGAATCCCGAATATGACCAAAAAAATTCAGATTCGGTATTCAAATCCCGAATCTGAAAAAATATACTAGGCACATAAAGAAACTGTGCATACAAAAATTTAAAATCTAAATTTATCAAACCTGTAAATATAAGGATTCAAACTCAAAGATTAGTGACATGTATCCAACATGCGTGCACGTGCCACGTTCCGTGACCTCAGTGGGTTCGTCCTTGAGACGTGCAATACGTTGTTGCACGTGCATTCCGGGAAAGAGAAACAGAGCAAATGAATGCCACACAATACTGTCACTTTGGAAAGCTCAACCCCTGCCCTTGCGATCGTTCAAAAAATTAAACGGCTATTGAAACGCATAGCATGCCAAGGCTCACGTCTGCACAATGTCATGAGGCTATTGGGATGGTCCTTAGGGGAATGTCTCAACGACAAGTGGCTGCACATTTCCACTGCCACCGGAACACCATTTCTGCACTGGTGAGACGCTACCAGAACACAAATGACGTCATCGATCGGCCACGTTCTGGATGTCCACGTGTAACAACGCCAAGACAGGACAGATGGATAAGGGTGACCCATCTTCGCCACAGGTTTCAGACTGCAGTGATGACTGCCCGAACCATCCCAGGACTTCGCCGTATCCTCCCCAACACAGTTCGACAACGTTAACGTCATCACGGGATCAGACCACAACGTCCCGCCATATGGCCTATCCTGACACAACGTCATCGACAAGCTCGCCGAATGTGGTGCCGAAATCATGTCCGCAGACTCTTGTTTTGGTGGAGAAATGTTGTTTTTACAGATGAGTCCAGGTTTAACATTTCCCATAGTGATGGACGTCAACGTGCCTATAGACGCGTGGGAGAACGTTATGCACCGGCCTGTGTCTTGGAGAGGAATCGCTTTGGTGGTGGTTCCGTGATGATTTGGGGTGGAATAACAGCACGCCAAAGAACTCCTTTGGTGATTGTTCAGGGCAACTTAACTGGTGTTGGCAACAGGGATCAGATTCTTTGACCTGTGGCAATTCCTTTTCTGCAACGTCATGGCCCTGGGTTAACATTCCAACAGGACAATGCCCGCCCTCATACGGCAAGGGTTGCTATGGATTTCACAACATTGACTTACTGCCTTGGCCTGCAAATTCACCGGATCTCTCCCCGATAGAGCATGTTTGGGACGAGATGGATCGACGTCTACGCCGTCTTCCTCATCCGCCACATAACGTCCTTGACCTTGCAACAGAACTTGAGAGAATCTTGCGTGACATCCCACAAGCCTTCCTTGCACGTTTGATAGGCTCTATGCGTCGTCGATGCACTGCTGTTCTCAATGCCGATGGTGGACATACCCGTTATTGAGCTTATGACATGGTCGTTTGACCCCTGTCCTGCTTGTGGACTCGTGACGTCATTGTGATTGACTTTTCAATTGAAATTCTCCCGACTTGTTATGGTTTCATGATCCCTCCATTAAAGTTTATATGTACCTTTGACATTGTTATCGTACTTATCAACTGGGATAATATTTTGACAATGCACAGTTTCTTTATGTGGCTAGTATATATTCAGATTCGGGATTCAAATCCCGAAACCCGAATGTTAAGAAAACTCAGATTTGAGGTTCAAATATCGGAAACTGTAGTTTGGTTGTTTATGTTTTAAGTTACCCAGGTACACAACGAGCCCTTGTGCATTAGAAGGGGGGATGAAATAATGAATATTGACATTGTTCGTCTTTGCTCGATCGTGATCGAAGGTTGACGCCTGCAAGTAGGGAAGAGCTTCAGGACCGTTGACTATCTGCACGGCAACGTTGAGGATAGATAGGTTTGATAGATGAAGGCGCGAAGAGTATAGTTACAAGGACGCCGAAGTTCCGAATTCCAGATGTGTTGAAGAAATGCATAATAAGAGTTCAAATACCAAATACCGAATGCCAAATGCCGAGTGCCGAATGTGCAAAGTAATACCCGAATATGAAAAAATATTCAGATTCGGGATTCGAATCCCCAATCCCGAATCCGTTTCTAACTTCATGTTGCTAAGGTTTTAAGCTTTAATGACGAACCTCAGGTTCTTACAGTTTTTGTGGACGAAGTTCAGGGTTTTAAACTTTTATGGACGAATTTCAGGGACTTAAGCTTTTATGACGAACCTCATGGTTTTAAACGTTTATCGTTCAAACGACAGAAGTTAGATTCTCTTCACTTCACAGACAGAATAACTTAAGTATACACTAGAGCCATACTCGTGACAATTAAGCTTGCTATCTGGTCGTGTCGTTGTCCTGTCGTCATATCGCAATACAATGCTTGAACTTTGCACAGGACATAGATCAGAATTTTTTTCAGAAATGTTTATTCTAGCATGACATTGTGTGATACTCGATTCTGATTGGCTGAGAGCTCATCAAAACCGTACTTAATATGGCAGATTCCAAGCGATTTCCAGCAAAAAGGCCCCTTCGCGCCTTGTGTTCTTGCGCGCCAAACAGTTCGCGCCAGTACACGTTACCTGACCGTGAATCATATGACCTTGATGGATACAGGTCAGCATGTTTACCACCCTCTTAAACATATCAACACAGATGTACAAAGTGTGCACAGGTTGAGTGAACTCTAGTGTTACATGTAGGGGTAACCATTTGTTAATGAGCAGGAAATTGAAAACTACGATTCTATTGACTCGGTGACTATGTTTAATGTGTATTCCATTGTTGTGACTAAGTTCAAAATTTGTGTTCAGTGTCATCTCAAAGTTACTCGAGGCCTGTGAAGATCCGGGTTAGAATTGGTCTTCAGTAACCCATGCTTGTCGTAAGAAGCGACTTATGGGTTCGGGTGGTCAGACTCACTGACTTGGTTGACATATGTCAATGATGGCGCATGATGTTGACCACTGGATTGTCTGGGCCAGACTCGATTATTTACAGACCGCCGCCATATATAGCTTCAATATTGCAGATTGCGGTGTTAAACAATAAACCAACCAACCAACCAATCATTTGAAACTTGAATAAAATGGTGTATAATAGGTCCATCTTGCATTGAGATACCAGTAACGAAGTAATGATCGTTACTGGTATAGTAACAAAATAATGAAACCATTTATAGATAATTTTATTTCACTGTACGTGACAGTATTTCGCTCCGGAGCCATTCAAAGTAAGAGTTTCATAAATAATACGTACTTTGTGACCGCGCTCTCACAATTAATTTCATTATTATAATAGGTCGACTCGCGTTAAATTATGAAAAAAACATTACATTCACATACCACGATCGAACATTAACATATACATAAAAGTAATACCGTTGCGGGGGCGGATCCGGAGGGGCAGTGCGGGGGTGTGCAAACCCCCAACCCCCCTTCTTTGCCCGGAAAACATGTCCCTGAGCAGCATTTCCCCCAAACCTTTGGACCACATGATTTATGTACACCCCCCTTTTCCGAAATCCTGGATCCGCCCCTGCGTTTCAATGTTTACATTTCATTTGTCATTATATATGTTTCTTGAATGAATTCGAAAATGCGTTTGTGAAACACATTTATATTACTAATAAACAATCTAATAAATATGGACAATATAGGAAACAAATAATATATAGCAGTAATGGTCCAAAATGCAGGAAATCGTCCGAGTTCATATACTGTCTAAATTACTTAAAAACAAATACAGTTTTACTTCTAACCCCTTGTCGCGGGTGTACAGTTGATAATCCTTGTAGCAAGGTCTTAAGATCTAAAACTATCACAAAAATCACAGCAAGGACCAGACACGTGATTCCACTAACGCCAATATTTGCCGCGCTTCGGCGTCCATCAGTCCTACATATGTAACGTCCAATACGATTGGTCAAGTTCCTTTTATCAAGGGTGAGATAACGTTTAATTCGCCGTACAGTTTCCTTCAACTCGGATTCCGTAACTTCACGAGAGGAAGAACACGCACATTGGCAGACTGACGTACTGGTGGGAGATATTGGACTCTGGAAATACTGCGATGACGTCATTGGCGATGACGTCATTGGTGACATTGGTTGGAATGTACTCATGGAGTAAGGACTGGTTTCGTATGAAGGAAACTGGACTGTAGGCGTTGGAGACGAAGACTGGGTTACAAACACGCTGCTTCCACTTGCTTCCAGAATGGTAGGTTGGGGTACACTGCTAGATTGCGTGCGAATCCCATTTCCGGTCACGTGGCTTGGCACGCTTGAGGAACTGGACATTATCACACTAGATGGCGCTACAGAAAGCGTACCAAATGTAGTTGTAGACGGGAGCGGAGTCTCTGAAGTAAAATGGGATACACGTTATTGTTTCAACAGCATTATTCTCATGCGATACAAATCTTTTTAATTGTTTTTTTGAAATGTCACAAGTAAATGAATCACGAGTAAATATTGAATGGACCAGGGAATAAGGCGTTCGAGAGAGTGAGTGAGTGATTTTACACTGCTTTTAGCAATACTCCAGCAATATCACAAGAAATGGGCATGTGGGGAATCGAAGCCGGGTCTTCGGCGTGACGAGGGAACGCTTTAACCACTAGGCTACCCCACCGTCCCAAGGTGTTCGAGAAACGGAGTTAGATCGTCGAAGATGTAAACTCGCTTTGTGCAAGTGGGTACAGGATGATAGGGTGGGGTGATTGATGATCAGTGTCGGGTCTTATCAACATCCGATCACAGTTATAGTTAGCTCTCACAAAAAGCGTTCGGTCCTATTAAATCTGGCTCGGATTCTCCACGAGGGCAAAACATTACATAGACACTTCAACTTTGTATGCGCTTTTTCTTAAAAAGATCAGAACCCATATGGAATTGAGAAAATATCATATACCGTTAGATAAACATGATTTATCATCCAAAACTGTGGAGATATCGCTTGTGTGAGATCATATGATATCTCCTAGGAGATATCGTTTTGACAGTAGATTTTGTACAATGCCCTAACAATGCTATGACATCATCAACTTGATGACGTCACAATGCTATGACATCGCTGCATTGCAAATCTAATGGTAGTACAGAGTTGAGAGATGTACATTTTTCTTTGAAAACTAATGAAGAATGATTTTTGATGATAAATAGAATCTCACCCTCGTGTCTACTGATATCAATTATATCAACACTCATTGATAAAAGTAAAAATATCCTCGGCAAGCCTCGGATATTTGTAACTTTATCAGCTCGTGTGGATATAATTGATATCAGTAGACACTTGGGTGAGATTCTCTATACACTGCCGTACCCGTGAAGATCCGGGTTAGAAATGATCGTCAGTAGCACATGCCAGTCGTAAGAGGCGACTAACGGGATCGGGTGGTCAGGCTCGCTGACTTGGTTCACACATGTCATCGGTTCCCAATTGCATAGATTGATGCTCATGCTGATGATCACTGGATTGTCTGGTCCAGACTGGATTATTTACAGGCCGCCGCCATATAGCTGGATTATTGCTGATCGCGGCGTAAAACTAAACTCACTCACTGATACACTGCCGGATCATTTTATGTGTGCGATTTTTCGGGCAATTTCTTTTGAAAAAATGTGAACGCGATTTTAAAAATCGCCATCAAACCGAATTCTGTTTTGATCAGCTTTTGCCGTCCTCTTTGAAAACATTAACAAAACACCCACAAACAACACGTTTTGAAAACTCGACAGGAGAAAATGCTCAGACCTTCCATTTCCTTGTTAATATCAGAACCACTGTCCCCGGGGAAGAATTAGTTAGAATTGGTCTCCAGAAACCAATCAGTCTCGTTAGAGGGGACTGGCAGGATGTGTGTGGTCGGATTCGCTCAACTTGGTTCGTGTTCTCTAGCGTAAATCAATGCTCAAATGTCAATCACGGCATTGTCAGGTTCACCTTCGATTACTTACAGACCGCCGTAATATACCTTTATATCGGTGACAATGAAAATACACGTATACAATGTAGACGATTCTTGTGTTTCAAGACCACTTTCCACTGAAGGTCTCACCTGAAGGGTTGCCATTACACACGAAGTCTTCCCCAGCGACGGGGGAGTCCAGGACGAGCTGACAAAGAAACCTGCGGCTGACTGTACACTGTTTAGTGGCCCATGTGTGGTCATGAAACCGATGCAGCAACACACAGGCATTCACTAACGTCAACGTGGGGTTGAACTTCGATCCCCAATGGGTGTAGTTGACCACCTCGCCATTTTGCCAGGCTAAAACTCCATCGGCGTCCATGTCATTAGCTCCGATATAAAAGGTCCATACTGCAATGAAACGTGAATAAGTAAGGGCGTCCATGTCATTAGCTCCGAGGATACCATGGAGTGCAATGAAACGTGAGTGAGTGAGTGAGTGAGTATGGTTTCATGGTACTTTTAGCAATATTCCAGCATTATCACAGCGGGGAACACCAGAAATGGGCTTCACATATTGTACCCATCTGAGGAATCAAACCCGGGTCTTCGATTGGACTAGTAAATGCTTTAACCACTTGGCTATCCCACTTAATGATGGACTTGAAGGACACAATCACTTCTATAAAAATACTTATCTAGTTCTGTATAAGCATGAGGACTAACAATTAGGTGGTCGTATTTTAGCGACTGTATCACTTACACACTAGTGCATACAACTGTCTAATCAGGATGTTCTTTTCGGGGGTGTCCAATTGGGGAAGCTGCATTCCCTGCTGACCACAGAAGTCACGTGCATCTGACCATTTCATCTGACCGACATCTGGGAAGACAACGCACGTGTTCGTCTCAGGTATGAATTTCATATGCGTTGGACACTCCCTGGCACCTGGAGCATAGAGCGTGTGCATGAAACACAGAATAATGGGTATTTAGTGAATGGCAATGGTGCTGAGTATTATGGTACTGCTGCTACCATGTGTTCCAAACCAACACTTCTTCAAAACATGAAATATATTTAAATACCCTAAAAGCATCAATTTTCTATTCTTCCATGAGGTTGCAGTCGTCAGAGCGCGACAAATCGCTGTGCAGAGTTGCGTCCCTTGGGTACACCAGAAACATATCATCTTTGGTTCGAATCCACGACAAATGATTACAAGTGATAGAATAAGTGCACCCATTTCTGTCATGGTGTTGGAGGAGTGGATGAAAGTTTTCAGCCTAGTTACTAAGGAGAAGATGTCGTACACCCGTAACAAATAGCATATACATGTAGTGTGATCTCTTAATCTCTGCTCGAGCTCGCCTATTAAGAAAATGTACCTAGTATTCGCGCAGATAAGAATAATATAGTAAGAATTAAGCTGATTTTACAGAGATTGGATCCCGATAGACTGTTGGGGTTACTGAGTTTTCTGAATTCGTTCAGGTATAATAAACAGATATAATTATGGAAAATCTTCTTACCGAACTGCATTCCAAGCGTTATGGCAACTCCGACGTTGTCTACTCCGTGAACAACAGCACCGACTGGAAACGGTAAAACTATGTTGTGGTCCACTTCACCGAGAGGCTGGACAACAGTCATGTATCTACAACAGCTCATGCTGGACGCCACACGTTGTAAACCAGGTGGCAGCTCGGAGTAATAACGCTCGTGAAAAGTCAAGGTCACGTAAAGATCTGACTGTGTAGCCATTAGAGAACTGGCGATGTCAAGCCGGAATATGCTGACGTATCGTTCAATTGGTTGTGCTTGTACAATGAACGTCTGGCCAGGTATTGTACTGTTCGTCGGAAATGCCAGGACGAGGACGGGTTCACTGGCATGTAGACAGGACTGACCTGCTGTGAGTGTATCGAATGTGATTGCATCTCCCTCCATCATCGTTGTGTCGTTACCTGGATTAACGCTAACGGTAGTGTTATTTTCTGAGGCCACGATTTTGTAAGTCATGCCACCGGGCCGGTCCGCAAAGTTATGCAAAACGAAATATTTTCCATAATACTTAACAGGAAGAAGCATCTGGTCCCAGGACAACAGTGTGTTTGTGAAAACAGCAATAGACTTGTTAGATTCGATAACACTTCCAGTTATGTCATATTGGCAATCGGCACCGAAGACGTCATATTTGTTTAAGGTTAACGTCATTGAGTGATTTGCACAGTTGGACACGTTGCCATCCCTCAGGGTGACAGTAATTACGTTGTCATCTTCCGTAGACACGACTGACCACTTGTGGAGTCGATTAGATGTAGAGTCGGGAAATGCCAGGAAATACTTAGTGGACAGTTTGTCTGTTGGAATCGCCATGTAGCCTCCAGATGCATCATCACCGCTCTTGATGACATAGACAGAGACCGGAGCGCTGGAGACAATCCTCACGGCTTTGTTTACTGCCACGTTGTTAGTGTCGTTGTAGCACACGGTGTAGTCGAGGGTGAAGGTCACAGCGCCGCTGACGTCAAGGTTGTAGTAGGTGACGTTGGTTTGATAGGTAACGGTAACTGCGGTGTTGTTGTCACCGTTTATCATTATTAGGATGTTTCTGTTCTCATCGTCATAAAACGTTAAGGCAAATTGCTGTCCACGTTGATCAAATAAGAAACAATCTGAAATACCATTGAAACAAACTTATCCATGAAATAATTTCTGGCGGAGCAGAGGTCATCTTGAGGTTTATATAGGTAGGGAATAACCGGAAATAAACTGACAGGCAAAAAGAAAGTGTACACCCGTTTGATGGAGGCTAAGAATACAAACAACCACTGGTTATTCCATGGGGACATATGTGATTCGTGCATCATAGTTACATTCTGCACCTGATATTTTAGTGACTCCGTGTTTCAGTGGCTCTTTTCCAGCTGGTACAATGTTCAAGTCTATCTTATCATTAGCCCGGCAGTTTAATATTTCCAATTCGGATTAAACAGATGTGACGGGTGTCACGTTTTATGATAGATGTATAGGTACCACACATATGACCTTGACCCTGGTGAAAATATATTCCATGCTGACTAAGTTCTACTATTAACAAATCACTGGTGCTAAACACCTTGAATCACTTACCTGCGACCACAAATCCAATCACGTAGATGAACCAAGGACACTGCAATTGTAGCAATGAAATAAGTATTGTTCCGATCGATTTCCTGCATGATATTTTATCATTATTAACATATATCGCATGAGCAGTTTAAAAAAAAATAAATTCTTTTTGTCAGTGTTACCGATAAAACTTGAACATCTGTCATTTCACGGGCTGCTCCCAGTGTACTAACGTCGACACACTAGTGGTCTATGGCGTCTGGCATCGTGGTGGTACTGGGTTCGGAATCCCAGAGATGTCCTGAATGGGTTGCTACGTTTTCAGTATTCTTTCCAAACATTTGAGAAATGTGTCTCTTGTTTCTTTTCCTACAACCTTTAGGGACATGCTGTGATGTTATAGTGTGTAACATTGTTCCAGATGGTGTTAAACCCAACAACTAAACACTGATGTGGTGTCATGGTACTTAGTCGCGGTGGTCCGATTAATTGGAATAATCGAAGATTGGTCGCAGTGGCTAAACGACCAAGCAATCGAACATGTTTTCTCATAATCGAACACAACCAATCTTGGACTGACTGACTGACTGAGTTTAGTTTTACGCCGCTTTTAGCAATATTCCAGCAATATCACGGCGGGGACACCAGAAATGGGCTTAACACATTGTACCCATGTGGGGAATCGAACCCGGGCCTTCGGCGTGACGAGCCAACGCTTTAACCACTAGGCTACCCCCACCGCCCCTTCCAATCTTGGAACACTTGTTTGCATTAACAATATTTTTCACAAGGCTGGTTACGACGTAAATTGTAATAAAAACGCTAATTGTAATACTTGCAGCAAATTGTAATAAACTTGACGTAAATTGTAATAAAACGTAAATTGTAATAAAATTGACGTAGATTGTAATACGCAAATTGTAATAAAAATTGACGTAAATTGTAATAATTTTTCGTTGCGGTAAAATGTAATAAATATTTACGTAAATTGTAATAACAGTTTTAATCACTCGTAAATACGCGGGTGTTTGTTTTTCGTTGTATTTCATACATCAAATAAGCTTGTTAGGCCGTTAGGGCGATAACTCAAGAAAGAATGATGGATTTTGTTCAAATTTGGTACAAAGGTATATATTTGGTACCAAGCTTATTAGCCGCGAACTCAGGAAAGTATTAATAGATTTTGATCCAATTTTGAGATAATTTTCAAGGTCACAATATAAAGATTGTTAGCGCGATAACCCAAGAATGAATTGACAAATCTTAGCTAATAACGAAAATGATATTCGTCCTGATATATAATCGATATAAACTGTCCTCTGTATCATGTCCTTTCGCAAATATCTTTTGAGGTTTTGATATGTATACATATATAGTGTGTGTGTGTGTGGGGTGTTCTGACGGGTATATCTAACACACTTGCATGCATGTAGAGTCGGAGAGGTGGGTGGGTGTTCTAACGGGTATAACTACGAGGGACGTTCAAATAGTAGTCAGCCTCACCTAGAATATGATACAAATGCAGCTGTTTTATGTTTTATTTTTCTAAACATTATCTGTCAGCCTAAAGCAAATTGGTTTTGCTATGTTGCAGCCTCACGATCCCCATTTTGTGAGACTTTGTATCTTGGCTTGGTACTCCAAAAAAACGTAAAATCTGCAATAAAATGCATCACAAACTTCAGGAAACAAAATATGCTATGTTTGAGATTGGTAGAAGTCGGCTAGAATCAAACATAGATATTAAACTGCACAAAAAAAGCAATTTCAAAACTACAATCGCTTGTTCAAATGACTCCCCATTCTGTTTACTGAAAGAACTCGAGAAAGAAATGATAGATTTTGTTCAAATTTGGTACCAAGGTTTATTGACTGGAGACTGGAGATTTACCGACACCACTTGAATTTAGTGACCTTGAGGTCATTTTAAAGGTCACAGCGAAGGTGTAACAGTTTTGCACATGCCAAGTTTGGTAGCCGCGAACTCAGGAAAGAAAGTATTAATAGATTTTGATCCAATTTTATATCAAGGTGTATTGGCGGTATTGGCGGTATTGGCGGTGTGTTGTATAGCGCTACATATCCAGAGTCCTGCTCATGTGCGCTTAGTCGAGATGCTCGTTTGAAGAGGATGGTTTTGCGACAAGATCGGAAACTGTTGATATTTTCCGATTTTCTGACATTTTCAGGTAATCAATTCCAGAGTACAGCACCCGGTCTGCTAAATGATCTGTCTCCGTATGTTGTGGTTCGGACAAATGGAATAGCCTAGCTGACTAGCAATAAAATGCATCACAAATTAAACTTCAGGAAACAAAATATGCAAGAAACATTTTTGTATGTTTGAGATTGGTAGAGGTCGGCTAGAATCAAACTTAGATATTAAACTGCACAAAGGCAATTTGAAACTACAATCGCTTGTTCAAATGACTCAAATTTGGTACCAAGGTTTATTGACGAGATTTACCGACACCACTTGAATTTAGTGACCTTGAGGTCATTTTAAAGGTCACAGCGAAGGTGTAACAGTTTTGCACATGCCAAGCTTGGTAGCCGCGAACTTAGGAAAGTATTAATAGATTTTGATCCAATTTTATATCAAGGTGTATTGGCGGGATTCCCCCAACACCAATTGATTGGGAAACTTGTGCTCATTTTAAGTTCACAGTGAAAAGTGTTTTGCATATGTCTAACTTTTTTAGTGCCAAAATACAAGACAGAATTAATATGTTTTGCTTAAAGGGAGTACCAACATGCGTTGGAAGTATCGTCTAACGCCAGTCGAATTCAGTGACCTTCGGATTATTTTCAAGGTCACAGCGAGTATTGTTGCGATATCTCCAAACCTAATGGATGGAATTTGTTCGCATTTTGTATCAAGGCATCAGATGACAGTTTCGGTAACGTTTACATAATTTTCAGGGTCAGACAGAGGATAATTGCGACATTCAGATATCGACATGTGGCAGGGGTAATAGTTATGTTTGTGACAAACGCTTTGTCATTACTAATTTTCAAATTTTTGTTGGCATATGGTTTCTATAATTTCATGTTAATTCTACCAGCTGTGAAATTATTCGTGACACGTCTTAAAAAGCCAGAGATTATTTGTGTATGTTTCGCAAATTAAAGTTAATTGTTTTCATTATGGAGTTATTTTCGATGTTGACGCAAGGACATATTTTACGAGCAATAGCTTTCAATAATTTAATGTTATTTCTACTACATTTTGAATATCCCAAAATAACAGGACATTGTTTGTTTACGCTTTGAAATGTACATTTCTTTTTCTTCATTTTCGAATTATTTTCAATGTTGACGCAATGACATATTTGAAGTTAATTTAATGTTTTAATCATATGTGATTTATTATGATTTATGTTTCGATCATACATTAATATATTGCGTTGTCATAGTTTAACCTGGTTCGTATTATTTTCTTCATCATATTACTACATATTATTGTATTTTTATGAGAGGGAATTTTAAAGTGACTTTTACTAAGGATATCATAAATCGCTGGCGCCTGGTTATTCCTTGCCACATAGCAGTCAATCTGTCTAGACTCATTTGTTGTATTTGATTGATGCATTTAAAATAAAATGTAGAAATGATATTGAATTGCATCATTTGCTTCAAGGAATCGATCAGATGTGCTCGTTATCAAAGTAAAGTCAAAACTTCTTTCTGTAAGGTATACAGTGGATGTTGACACCTTAATTGTTATGGGTATACTAAAGAAATCATTTATTTAGTTTCACCGCTCAAAATACAACAAAGAATTCAACGGGTGGCATTAACCTCAAAAGAATGATCATAGAAATGCTTATAACCTACGAGGGCAAACATTACGGGGATAATTTGTTTTGATGCGATATGCACCGGGTAAAATATCACTTTGTCATGGTGACATGACATCATGAACAATGTTATGACTTCACGTTGCTTCTAAAAGCCGCCTTCTAAATACAACGATGACGGGGAGCCTGCCTTTGTTGGAAAGTAGATTATCGCGTAATTTCCGCAATTAAAGACTTCGGTAATAAATAGAAAATTATATTCGTGACCATAATATGCTAGGTTAACGACCTAAATATCGGCATATCCCTTCTCTGGTTCCGAAAATACCAAGATTTAGGCAGTTGTGTTGTAAACTGATATTTATCTTCTATAAAGTCGGCTATATTCAAACCATGAGAAATGTCGTCAAATAATGTGTGATGACAGTTACCAGCGTCCCAATAGTGTCCATATACATGTATTTCTCTGTCGAATCGTTGCAGCGTTCTATAATGCACGTATGAAATATAATATATGTTTTCCGACCGTGAAGTCATTAACAAGAATTATGCATTTTCTGCAGTCACTTGTGAATTGAACTAAATGAAGGTTCATCTGATTAATGAGTATCGAGGAATTATGTTCATCTATAAATTAGACGCAGCTTCATGTTTTTCAAGACATCTTTCCGGAATATGCGTCTGTGAAGGCGTTCAGATAATGATGATATTGCACAGTATTATTCATGAGATTCCTGTCAAAGTAAGGTCTGATAATAGATCGACTTTATTCAGCAGTGTTGGCCCTGGGGCCTATAGTACGATTACAGTTTGATTACTTGCACGTGGTGCTAGTAACATATTAAGTTTCTATTGGTATTGAATGCATATTTCAGATAAAAGCTATGGTATAAATTTCACAACATCTATATTGTTTGATGTTAAAAGATTTGGCAATGTGTGTTCATACATTACAATTTTTGACAGACTTGGCAAATAATTAATAAATGATATTGATAGCATCTTCACGACTTGGCCATACAGTCATGACAATTTAAGGAGTGAAAAGTGAGCGATAGGTCTTGTGGGAATTCAAAGATTCATTAAGACTGTAGCCGTCTAAGCGTAACTCTGTGTGTAATATTTATACATTTTCTATCCACGGACAACATGCTTCTAATATTAATATTATTTTCATGGATTCATCATATTTTATCTATAGCTGTGCTATAGTTTTTCATTAAAATGTCTTTTCTGTTGCTGGAATTGAAGTAAGTCCTACACAGAGCTGGGAT